GCTGGCCTTTGGGCAAAGACATAAGTTTCATAAATGGAATGTTGACAGCAACAAGGTGCTGTTCAAACTATTCAAACAACTCAGCTGTTTTGGGATATCGGGTAACTAAAGATTGTTCACAACAGGTTCAGCTGGTTCCTTGCCAGACTTTAACTTTCTGTGACAGGTATGGCATATCCATAACTTCCCACTTGGTTCTGTCACAAACACACGGCTACATACAAGGCCCAGTACATTTATGAACAAATGTTTTCGTAGTACAATGACCAGCCAGTTCTTGTGCATTATCATAATTAGTTTTCAAATATGTAACAACTGGATTTTCAAAAGGTTAGCAAGTATGATCACTTTAGTTACCTCGGGAGGCCCAATTATTCCAATAACCACTTGGTCAGCTTGCATGGACAACATAGCTTCCAAGAGCTCAGTTTGTGAGCAAGGACATGTAGGCAAGATTTGAGATTCTTAGTCACTTGAGGCAACTAAGGGTAATATTATATCTATAAAATTATGTCTATAGAGGAGTTCCACGAGGGCTACGACACTATGATCCATGTTGGGCGCCAGTGTAAGACCTGGTGATTTCCTACGGTTATGTAGCAGTTATATCTCATAATAGCAGGATGGGCAAGTGTGCCTAATTCACACATTCTTGGTGGCCCTCCTCCCTTCTGGACCCAGCAAGATCTTGCAAGATCTGGCCCTCCTCAACTGGTCCTCATACAAGTATACATGAGAGTGGGGTAGCAGTGCTTCCATCAATACATCAATACTTTTGAAATGAAATAACCTTTATGAAACATTTCACATAAAAATACTTCCTTTGAATTCACGATTTATTCATTATATATATCAATCAAAACCTCAATTTTCTACCAACCGAATGGTTCCTCCAGTTTCTTTATGTGCCTGCTCTTTTGGGCCAGTTCTTCTTGGAGGAGACAACACTTGGTACATGGATAGTCGTTCTGCTCATCTGTTCTCTTTCACGGCAGTTTAACAGCCATTGTGGAATGTCCCTTGCCGGTTCTGGTAACATCTTTAAGCAAACAAGTTTACCACAATTAATGACCCATGAACATGGAAGACAAGAAGTTCATGTGGCATGACTGTTTACAGCAAAAATATAAGGAATCGATGGTCAACATCCAATATCTCAAGTGTAATGGTACGTTCAAAGATAAAGGATCCATCAACACACACAACTCATAAATGGCAGAGTAAACAGTTATTAAGACTTAAAGGTTTTTTTAAACTTTTTCTTTCAGTTTTACCTGTAACAATAATGAACATATATAGATCTAATTCCTGTTACTCATTTACCCTCTACATTGGAAGACTTCATGGCTTTCTTTGCAAATTTGCAGAAAATGGCATGCCTCTTGCACAGCTTGTCAAAATGTGTGTGTTGTTGCAATGTAAAAAACAGAAAGACATAATCAACATACCATGTTTGTGTTAAGTAATTACACCAAAAGCATTCATAAGAAAATGCCCCCAACACTCTTTAATGAAAATAGACTAGATAAACAAATGCTCATGTCTGAGCTCCAGCTGTCCGCATTATCTTGAATGACTGTCCTCACATATACTGATTTCTTTACATGGTCTTGTTTCTTGTCTCTGCCGTAGAAGTGTCCAGCTGTCTACTACTACCCAGCAGGCACATCAACGTCTAATAGACCTCTAAATGATGTCTACACAATACGTTGAAAAGACATCTAAATATGGTTTAAAATGGAAGTCTAGAAGCCGTTGAAACTTTAACGTCATTTAGACGTCTAAAGATAGACATCATCTAAACATTGAAAAAAACATATGAAAGACGTTGATTAGATGCCAATTGTCACGGTGCTGGCAGCGGTAATGACCCCTGCGTTAAGGGTCATTGGCTCAACCATGTGTGGTCGTCTAGAGACACCATAATGACCGCACCAGTGAACTAAGATAAAATAATATATATGAAAAAGAGCACAACCCAACTGTAATGTTAATACATTTATTAGGACTATACATATAGACCTGAATAACCAAAATTAAAGTTGCAATATGTATCAATGAGCTGAACTCCTATTAAGCCTATATGGACATGAAGAACCAGTAATAATAAAAATACCCCTGACAGGAATAGTCTATTACATGAAGTAATAAGTGGAACGCCAGACTGAAGGTAAGATTACAAGGAACTTACCAACATATTCCTGTGTCCAGCGTTCCAAGAGGTCCTAGTAGGTGTGAGTCCACCGTTGGAACTGCCCCAACTAGAATGGTTTGGAATTTATAGGGAGTTGGCGGACGTCAGAGGGGACAACCTCTGACTTGACCAAGACAGATTGAAGCATCAAGCATCAAGTTTTATGATATAGCCAAAAAATATTCATTAATCTTATGAGTCAAATCTGGACATGTGATAGCAGACGTTAGTGGCTACCATCACATATGATTTTAATTGTTCTACATTGACTAATAATGAAGATATAGTCCCAATAAAGACTTGAAAATAGTCTTCCACTGGGATTAATAGAGGAAAATACTGCATTTCTCCCAAAATAAACAAGTTTATATAAATTAGACCATATAGACCGAAAACTGAGTATTATGGGCCTAGTTGCATGATACAAGATTTAGGTTACATTCAAAAGTTGACTTTAATACTTGACATGATAAGTCCGTGACAAGCACACATGGACTACATAAATTGTATTGAAGTCAACTTGATGCAGGGTTTCGACACACCAATTACTGTATTGTTTTAATGGTGCACCAAAACATTTCATTATTCTACTAGCTAGAATACCTGTTGTTTACACAAGTTGCCAGGTCAAACATGTACCGTCCTCATCCCACCGGCAGGGCTCCAGGTTATAAGACTTCTTGAGGTCAATTTCATGCAGTAGAAGTTCATTATCAGCAGTAGTTGTGTAACTTGGCGACATAATGTGTTAGTATAGATCTCCCTTTCAGGTGTCACAACATTGATTGGTTGATAATTACCAGTATTACGTGCATCCATTGAACCTACCATGTACCTGCTTGTTTTACCAGCTGCTTAATGTTACTGTGACTGGTTTTAGCAGCTGCTAAATGTTACTTAGACCCACTGTTTTACCGGCTACTTAATGTTACCGAGACTGGTTGTTTTACCAGCTGCTTAATGTTACTTAGACCCATTGTTTTACCAGTTATCCATAGTCCGTCTGACTCAAAAGCAGACTGATGAATACATGGCTATTCTTCTCTTTGCACTCCTTGCTCGTAACAAATAGTGAACTGTGTCAAAACTTAAATGATAGTAGTTAAGCAACGTTTTTGTATTGTTAGGACAAAATTTCTGCAAACTCATAGAGTTGGTCTGATGTTTTGATTATGATCAGCGTTTCATTGAGTATTATATGTTTATTAGATTTCGAGTTAGATTGCAATTCATCGGTCCCCTTTTGAGCCAAAGGGACTGTTACCAGGGCTGATTGTTTCACCAGCTGCTTAATGTTACCAGGGCTGATTGTTTCACCACCTGTTTAATGTTACTAGGGCTGATTGTTTCACCAGCTGCTTAATGTAACCAGGGCTGATTGTTTCACCAGCTGCTTAATGTTACCACCAGCTGCTTAATGTTACCAAGGACTGATTGTTTCACCAGACTGATTGTTTCACCAGCTGCTTAATGTTACCAAGACTGATTGTTTCACCAGCTGCTTAATGTTACCAGGGCTGATTGTTTCACCAGCTGCTTATTGTTTCTTAAACTGTTTGTAGTCATGTTTGATTGTTACATAACTATTGAACTGTCTACTGGAATTACCTTTCAATGCTACATTCTGTAAGTGTAAGATGTACATGTATGCTCATATAGCCATGTTTGTGTCACATCCCACTGCAATGATGCGGTGTAAAACTAAATTGCACAAGTATTCTGTGATATAACATTGGTTTGGGAAACTTTTACCATGTTAATAAAATATTCAGATAATTCATCTTGTGTTTTTCTTGGCAGCAAAGATGTACAATGTATAAAGGTTCGCAGGTACTGACACTCGCATTCACCTGGACTGACTGACTGAGTTTGGTTTTACGACGCTTTTAGCAATATTGCAGCAATATCACGGCGGGGGGCACCAGAAATGGGCTTCACTCATTGTACCCATGTGGGGATTCGAACCCAGGTCTTCGTGACGAGCCAACGCTTTAACCACTAGACTACCCCACTGCCCCATTCATCTGGAACCAATTTGATGGAATTAAGGTAATCTTGGCAAAACGGACATCAGTGAGGAACCAAATGCAGAAAGGAAATAGTTTCTTATATTAAATGCCTTTGGATGATACCATGTTTGGATTCCATGCAATTTTAAACCACACTCATCACGAACTAAAATCCCTTGTCATTAGTCACACACTTGTTTTCCCACTCATGATGAGTGAGTGCGGTTTTACACCACTTTTAGCAATATTCCAGCGGTGTCATGGCAGAGAACACCAGAAATTAGCTTAACATATTGAACCGATCTGGGGAATCGAACATGGGTCTTCAGCATTACGAGAGGCGAACGCTTTAACCACTAGGCTACACACACACACACACACACACACACACACACACACAGAGGAAGACTATAGTGTGTACATTACTAGAAAACTGCTTCCGTTCAAATAAACATGAAAATGTCTGTTTAGAACATGCAGAAAATCTCCCTTAAATCAATAGCTTGTGTTCAACAGTCTGTGACGTCAGCCACGAGCCTGGATGACGAGTCGTGGAAGTTTCTGTCCAGTAATTCTTACTTCTTTGAGTGGCATTTAGAAGTTGGTGTAATGAACGAGAGGAGTTCTATGGATATACAACTTCTTTATATAATATGAGCGACGTGTCAGTGTAGCTACAAACACTGTTATCAAGCAAGTGATCCTGTCACAGAAATGAGACAATACTGGATCACAGAAAATGAACTAAAAACTGTTCCATTTTCAAGCTAATGGACAAAATAATGAGACTGAGACTCTGTAAATTCAACAAAATTTATTATGCTCAGTGTTTTCAAACACAAAAACTTGTTCTCAAAAAAACAAACCCAAAACTTTTTGTCTAAAACATATAGCCAAGCAAGATTAAATGTTAGCTTACTTATGTAGCACGTTGGACATATATAACATGTAAAACAAAGATACAACATACTAAAGGCACTCGTATAGGTGTAAAGAGATGGACAAACCAAGAACACAGGTGATTGAGATTATACCCTGATACTCAACACATATACACATAAAAATTACCTGATCTCTTGAGAAAAATACATTTGGAGGTGTTTTGGTTGGAGAAAAACAAAAGATATCGATTGTCATAACCTTTTTTCATTAAAAAATATCTCCATCTTAGTTATAAATTATTGCACTGAAATATTGTACGACATGTAACATGGTGGGCCTGGTAGATTATGTATGTGTGACATCTGAAAGGTACATGGATTTCATCGTCTCTGAAAACTGTCACATATATCTCGGGGCGGGGCACAGAAATGACAAAGTAACTCTGATAATGTTGGGGAGGGGGTAGTGTAAGCAATAAATGATATATGTCCATACACTCAACCAACACAAGAGTGAAGAGTCGTTTTACTGGCCAAGCACCTGCTGCATATTAATTAAATATATGAATACAAGGTCGTCAATAAAAAGTCTACATTAAAAACATAAAAATGTTTGGAACTACAGAAGAAATGATCCCAACAACCTGGTCAGTACAGTAGATACACACTGCCCCAGCTGTTGAGAAATGCCATATATTCTCATAATCCTCCACTGATGAGCACTATTGGTTGATAATCCTGGTTAAATATCATATACTGGGATTATATACGAATTCTGTTGATATTAACATGATACTGGCCCTTAAAAGAGATGTATTTTGTATCTGAACCAAATGTAGACAAGGAAATGTGAGGAATGATGTACCATCTAACAAAAGTCTTATGCATCGTATCTGTAGCACAGGGAGGAGAACACTAGATTACAGAGGTGCAGGCAAACAATACTGCCACCAAAATGAATGCCAGTAATCATTATTTTACATCCTTTCCCATTTTGTGAAAAGCATGTTTTAAACAGTTTTACAAAGATTGTTGATAAATGTTGTTCAAGATTGTTTTTGGTTTAGTTAAATATAAAACACTTGCTCTTACATTTCTTGTGAGATTCAAAGGCCATGTCTCCATGTAGTCGTACATCAAAAAATCTATAGGATAAGTTTAGGATACAGGACTCTAGCCTTATGTATGAAGAAATGAGGTCCCGATTGTAGAACAGACCTTAGTGAGGGGGGCAACTGGCATTACCCTGCTTCAAAATATTAAACCTCAAATATTTCTTTCCGTTTGTACATCTCAGATGGTAAATGGAAGAGTGGAACATTTCAGTTAAAGCTCCTATTGCTATTTGAATTTAATATTTGATGTGGAGGAAATTCTGACTAATCTTCTTCGGCCATCTCAGCGGTTCCCTTCTGTTGTCGGCGGCCCTAAAACACATGATGCATATTACCATAACAGAACATATAAACAGATAAAGGTTTCATATCACTATGTTTCCTGTCAGCACCAGTTTAATATCCAAAAACACTCTGGAAAGTTATGTCCATTGTTCTTGGAGGTGTTTTATTTGCATAATTGATTAACTGCCCTAGGGCAATTATTTTTATTAAAAAACATAATATCGCACTTATTTTGATAATCTTCATCATGTCTAATACATTACACGCATATTAAATAAGTATGCCCATGTGCTTTAAGGCATTTAATCACCCTCACTACAGTAGGTATTTACATAACAATAAACTAGTTCTACTTCCTGTATTGATGCTATTAATATGTACTTACATGAGTTCTTGAGTTAGGCGGCACCAAACAACACAATGGCTGTAACCACGGCAACTAGACTGGCCACTGTCAGCTGATGATACCCTGAAGAGAAGGAATCATGATGTAATTTACAATGGCTACATGTCAGTGGTTGACGTCACATACAACCTGATCAGGGAATAACAACACACTACACGTCAGTGGTTGACGTCACATACAACCTGATCAGGGAATAACAACACACTACACATCAGTGGTTGACGTCATATACAACCTGATCAGGGAATAACAACACACTACACTCCAGTGGTTGACGTCACATACAACCTGATCAGGGAATAACAACACACTACACATCAGTGGATGACGTCACATACAACCTCATCAGGGAATAACAACACACTACACATCAGTGGTTGACGTCACATACAACCTGATCAGGGAATAACAACACACTACAAATCAGTGGTTGACGTCACATACAACCTGATCAGGGAATAACACAACACTACACGTCAGTGGTTGACGTCACATACAACCTGATCAGGGAATAACAACACACTACACGCCAGTGGTTGACGTCACATTGACAGGGCACAACATACAACACATACAACCATCAGGGAATAACAACACACTACACTCCAGTGGTTGACGCCACATACAACCTGACCAGGGAATAACAACACACTACACATCAGTGGTTGACGCGTCACATACAACCTGATCAGGGAATAACAACACACTACACGCCAGTGGTTGACGCTGATCACATACAACCTGATCAACCTGATCAGGAATAACAACACACTACACGTCAGTGGTTGACGTCACATACAACCTGATCAGGGAATAACAACACACTACACATCAGTGGTTGACGTCACATACAACCTCATCAGGGAATAACACAACACTACACGTCAGTGGTTGACGTCACATACAACCAGATCAGGGAATAACAACACACTACACGTCAGTGGTTGACGTCACATACGACCTGATCAGGGAATAACAACACACTACACATCAGTGGATGACGTCACATACGACCTGATCAGGGAATAACACAACACTACACGTCAGTGGTTGACGTCACATACGACCTGATCAGGGAATAACACAACACTACACGTCAGTGGTTGACGTCACATACAACCTGATCAGGGAATAACAACACACTACACGTCAGTGGTTGACGTCACATACAACCTGATCAGGGAATAACAACACACTACACATCAGTGGATGACGTCACATACGACCTGATCAGGGAATAACACAACACTACACAGTGGTTACCAGTGGTTGACGCCACATACCTAACCTGATCAGGGAATAACACAACACTACACGTCAGTGGTTGACGTCACATACAACCTGATCAGGGAATAACAACACACTACACATCAGTGGATGACGTCACATACGACCTGATCAGGGAATAACACAACACTACACTCCAGTGGTTGACGTCACATACAACCTGATCAGGGAATAACAACACACTACATGTCAGTGGTTGACGTCACATACGACCTGATAAGGGAATAACACAACACTACACGTCAGTGGTTGACGTCACATACAACCTCATCAGGGAATAACACACTACACATCAGTGGTTGACGTCACATACAACCTCGTCAGGGAATAACAACACACTACATGTCAGTGGTTAACGTCACAAACGACCTGATCAGGGAATAACACAACACTACACATCAGTGGTTGACGTCACATACAACCTGATCAGGGAATAACTACACGTCAGTGGTTGACGTCATATACAACCTCATCAGGGAATAACACAACACTACACATCAGTGGTTGACGTCACATACAACCTCATCAGGGAATAACACAACACTACACATCAGTGGTTGACGTCACATACAACCTCATCAGGGAATAACACAACACTACACGTCAGTGGTTGACGTCACATACAACCTGATCAGGGAATAACTACATGTCAGTGGTTTACGTCACATACGACCTGATCAGGGAATAACACAACACTACACATCAGTGGTTGACGTCACATACAACCTCATCAGGGAATAACAACACACTACACGTCAGTGGTTGACGTCATATACAACCTCATCAGGGAATAACACAACACTACACATCAGTGGTTGACGTCACATACAACCTCATCAGGGAATAACACAACACTACACGTCAGTGGTTGACGTCACATACAACCTGATCAGGGAATAACAACACACTATACATCAGTGGTTGACGTCACATACAACACACTACACATCAGTGGTTGACGTCACATACAACCTCATCAGGGAATAACAACACACTACACATCAGTGGATGACGTCACATACGACCTGATCAGGGAATAGCACAACACTACACGTCAGTGGTTGACGCCACATACCTAACCTGATCAGGGAATAACACAACACTACACGTCAGTGGTTGACGTCACATACAACCTGATCAGGGAATAACAACACACTACACATCAGTGGATGACGTCACATACAACCTGATCAGGGAAAAACAACACACTACACGTCAGTGGTTGACGTCACATACAACCTGATCAGGGAATAACAACACACTACACGTCAGTGGTTGACGTCACATACAACCTGATCAGGGAATAACAACACACTACACATCAGTGGTTGACGTCACATACAACCTGATCAGGGAATAACAACACACTACACGTCAGTGGTTGACGTCACATACAACCAGATCAGGGAATAACAACACACTACACGTCAGTGGTTGACGTCACATACCTAACCTGATCAGGAATAACAACACACTACACATCAGTGGATGACGCCACATACAACCTGATCAGGAATAACACAACACTACACGCCAGTGGTTGACGCCACATACCTAATTCCGATCAGGAATAACACAACACTACACGCCAGTGGTTGACGCCACATACAACCTGATCAGGGAATAACAACACACTACACGCCAGTGGTTGACGCCACATACAACCTGATCAGGAATAACAACACACTACACATCAGTGGATGACGCCACATACCAACCTGATCAGGAATAACACAACACTACACGCCAGTGGTTGACGCCACATACCTACCTGATCAGGGAATAACACAACACCACACGTCAGTGGTTGACGTCACATACAACCTGATCAGGGAATAACAACACACTACACATCAGTGGATGACGTCACATACGACCTGATCAGGGAATAACACAACACTACACTCCAGTGGTTGACGTCACATACAACCTGATCAGGGAATAACAACACACTACATGTCAGTGGTTGACGTCACATACGACCTGATCAGGGAATAACACAACACTACACGTCAGTGGTTGACGTCACATACAACCTCATCAGGGAATAACAACACACTACACGTCAGTGGTTGACGTCATATACAACCTCATCAGGGAATAACACAACACTACACATCAGTGGTTGACGTCACATACAACCTCATCAGGGAATAACACAACACTACACGTCAGTGGTTGACGTCACATACAACCTCATCAGGGAATAACACACTACACATCAGTGGTTGACATCACATACAACCTCATCAGGGAATAACAACACACTACATGTCAGTGGTTTACGTCACATACGACCTGATCAGGGAATAACACAACACTACACATCAGTGGTTGACGTCACATACAACCTCATCAGGGAATAACAACACACTACACGTCAGTGGTTGACGTCATATACAACCTCATCAGGGAATAACACAACACTACACATCAGTGGTTGACGTCACATACAACCTCATCAGGGAATAACACAACACTACACGTCAGTGGTTGACGTCACATACAACCTCATCAGGGAATAACACAACACTACACGTCAGTGGTTGACGTCACATACAACCTGATCAGGGAATAACAACACACTATACATCAGTGGTTGACGTCACATACAACACACTACACATCAGTGGTTGACGTCACATACAACCTCATCAGGGAATAACAACACACTACACATCAGTGGTTGACGTCACATACAACCTGACCAGGGAATAACAACACAGTACAAAACAGGTCGCACATAATGAACAGTGGCACCCATGCCCCCGATCCCATATCCCCATCAGGGTGGTAGGGGAGTAGCCATAGCGTAATGGGTAAAGCAAACACCAAAGCCCCAGTTTCACCACATGGGTGTCTACACACTGCGGCACACATGGGTGTCTACACACAGCGGCAGAGGTGGGTGTCTACACACAGCGGCAGAGGTGGGTGTCTACACAGCGGCACACATGGGTGTCTACACACAGCGGTACATGTCGGTGTCTACACACAGTGGCACATGTGGGTGTCTACACAGCGGCACACATGGGTGTCTACACACAGCGGTACATGTGGGTGTCTACACACAGCGGTACACGTGGATCGCTACACACAGCGGCACACATGGGTGGCTACACACAGCGGCACACATGGGTGTCTGCACACAGCGGCACACAAGGGTGTCTACACACAGCGGCACACATGGGTGTCTACACACAGTGGCACAGGTGTGTTGCTATACACAGCGGTACACGTGGATCACTACACACAGCGGCACACTTGGGTGTCTACTCACAGCGGCACACATGGGTGTCTATACACAGCGGCACACATGGGTGTCTATACACAGCGGCACACATGGGTGTCTATACACAGTGGCACACATGGGTGTCTACACACTGTGGCACACATGGGTGTCTATACACAGCGGCACACATGGGTGTCTACACACAGCGGCACACATGGTGTCTACACACAGCGGCACACATGGGTGTCTACACACTGCGGCACACATGGGTGTCTACACACTGCGGCACACATGGGTGTCTGCACACAGCGGCACACAAGGGTGTCTACACACAGCGGCACACATGGGTGTCTACACACTGCGGCACACATGGGTGTCTACACACAGTGGCACAGGTGTGTTGCTATACACAGCGGCACACGTGGATCGCTACACACAGCGGCACACATGGGTGTCTACACACTGCAGCACACATGGGTGTCTGCACACAGCGGCACACATGGGTGTCTATACACAGCGGCACACATGGGTGTCTATACACAACGGCACACATGGGTGTCTACACACTGTGGCACACATGGGTGTCTATACACAGCGGCACACATGGGTGTCTACACACTGTGGCACACATGGGTGTCTGCACACAGCGGCACAGGTGGGTTGCTATACACAGCGGTACACGTGGATCGCTACACACATGGGTTGTGAGACTGACCAAGCATACATGTTGGACATACCTGAGTAGGTCGGAGCGACCTTGTTGGTGGGGTCGGGGGCAGGTGTACTTGGCTCTGGTGCTCCATTGCATGCCACGGTCACGGCTGATTTACCTACAACATAAACAAACAATTGTTTTGACACTCAATATGCTGTATTTTGCTCGTTATAAATTGATATCACTGACGCTATGAAATCACCTGCACATCAGCCTTCATAATAACAGCTGCTTCCCTTCATATACTGCACTATTTGTTTACAATGTCATATTTTAGCTGCAAATTGCAATACACAGTCCCTACTTTTCAAGAAACCAATGGGACAGACTTAAATATACTCAATGACATGTGCTACTCTCCGAGACATGGGCTACTCTGAAATCCTGTGAAACAAGTCTCTTACCTTTAACTCTCATCCACAAATAGTTGTCATCTTTGCCCTCCTTCCCTCCAGCATTATACACCAGCCTGACATGCTTGACGTCCTTCAACTCTCTAGCTGTAAATGGCAGCACACCGGAGAAGATATGTCCTGTGACAGTGTTAACCTCTCTATCATTGGGATATACGGTGAAGCCTGCAGTCATGGTATACTTCTTGGTGTCATTTGAGCGGGCCAGGATCTTGGCTTCCAGGATCTGTAATCTCATTTCAGAACCCCGGATGTCACAGGTGCAGGTCCGATTCGGGTACGGAGAGCTGACCTTCTCGGGGTAGTATGGAGACTTCAGATACACATACTTGTCAGCACCAGCTGCAAGACCAGCCTCACCACAGATGTCAACAGGTGTCTCTGGAATACAACAGTGAGTGAGTGAGTGAGTGAGTGAGTGAGTGAGTGAGTGAGTGAGTGAGTGAGTGATGAGTGAGTGAGTGAGTGAGTGAGTGAGTGAGTGAGTGAGTGAGTGAGTGAGTGAGTGAGTGAGTGAGTGAGTGAGTGAGTAAGGAGTGAGGGAGTGAGGGAGGGAGGGAGTGAGTGACTCAGGCAGCACTGCAACACAGTCAGGGCTATGGAGACCAAGACTCAGCCATGTTAGCCATGTTATGTATTGTTTCCTGGCTCTGAAACTCCTTGGGTACATGAGTCATTGATTACTGCTTTCCTTCTAACTATCAGCCCTGGAGAAAGTGTCAAGCTTCAAACAAGACTGTAGAAATGTTTCAGACAGTCGAGGGTCACCAGTTACACACCAATGACATCTCAAACTGACAGATGGTTTTGACAGATACTAAGCATGGAATCAGATGTGTCATGATATACTAAAAGTAAAGGGTATCAAATCTTGAACTGAGACACAGACTGCTGCCTGCCTCAATTGTTAAGGCCGATGTTGACAACAAAAAAGGAAGTATTTTTTTTCTGGGCCACAAGACTGCTGGAAAAAAGATTCACTGGGAAATGAAGCAATACTGGCTAATGTCGGCTGATGAAAGCCAATCGAAAGAGAACATTGCATTTCATTTTTTGACTTTTTGACTTACTACATTTCTTGGGTCCAAATAATTGACCTACATGCAGTTTTCTATGTCAGATTCACAGCGGTGGAGGTAGCCTAGTGGTTAAAGCTTTCGCTTGTCACGCCAAAGACACTGGTTCGATTTCCCACATGTGTACAATGTGTTGAGCCCATTTCTGGTGTCCCCGCCATGATATTGCTGGCATATTGCTGAAAGCGATGTAAAACCCAACTCACTCACTATGTCAAATTCAGTACTTGAGAGTCTGCATAACCTAAAAACCTACACACCTTCAGCCTGCCCTGCCCCAAGTGTAAAGGCAATACAGCACTCACAATGATGGAGAAACATTTCATTCTACATCACATGCAAAACACACATGTTGCCATTGTGTACTGAACACATCACAATTGTGATTTCCAGGAAGAGGTACTTGCCGATGTTTGTATGGTGTACTTCCAGGACAGTGTAGGAAGTCATTGATTGGTTGTCAATATCAACTCCTGCTGTCTACACGGGGAACACTCAGTCGGCATGGTAACACAGGCTGTTTTCATATTATTGTGATATTGTGGCACAACCACACGTGAAGATCCGGGTTAGAACTGGTCTTCAGCAGCCTATGCCTGTTTTAAAGGCAACTTATGGGATCATGTAGTCAGGATCACTGACTTGGTTGACACATGTCATTGTATCCCAATGGCGTTGATCAATGCTAAGGATGTTGATCACTGGATTGTCTGGTCCTGACTTTATCATTTACAGACTGCCACCATATCACTGAACAAACAAGCAAATATTCACTCTCTCATACATCATGGCACAAAGAAAATATTATACATACCAGGAATACACTCATATAATAAAGTAGGTTGAAAGAAGCCGGTCTTGTTACAACCATCTTCATACCAGCTTTTCCGCACTGTCTTGTTACAAGCCGAAACCCCCACGCAGTCCGTGTCCGTGCTGACGGAGTGTTGGAAGTTACAGTCACCACCAGGCTTACAATCATCGGTCATATCTTGCAGTTTGGAATGCATGTAATACATCATCTCGTTATTCTTGCATGCCAGGTTGAAAGTCACATTGGCGTCGGACGTACACTTCTTCATCTCCTTCACGTCTTCACCTGGAACGAAGGACAAGTATAGAGAAATAGCACCTCACATTCAGATATCCTCAAGACAAGTATAGAGAGAGGAGAAATAGCACCTCACATTCAGATATCCTCAAGATAAGTATAGAGAGAGGAGAAATAGCACTTCACATTCAGATATCCTCAAGTATCAGTGACGAGACATTGAAGGGCAATCACCTTCTGTATCAGATATCAGTGACATAGATTCCAAATGAACAGCCTTTGACATGCTAATGGGTGAAAGGAATTGTTATTTTCGTTGACTGTAAAACAAGGCATTTAACATGTTACTAACTCCTTTCTCAGTACTGGTCCACAGATCACTGACAAAGATCACTGACACAGATCACTGACAAAGATCACTGACACAGATCACTGACACAGATCACTGACAAAGATCACTGACACAGATCACTGACAAAGATCACTGACACAGATCACTGACAAAGATGAAGCCAACATTAAATAGGATCAGTACAGTTCCATTTACTGACATTTGCTGTTGGTTCTGCTGCATATCTGACTCTGGTTCCCTGATCCATGAGCCCTCCATCCTGCACACTAACACTGCCGCTGCTGTTGGTTGGTTGTTTTATGCGGCACTTAGCAATACTCCAGCTATATGGCGGCGGTCTGTTAATAATCAAGTCTGGACAGACAATCCAGTGATCAACAGCATGATCATCGATCTACGTAATTGAGATACGATGACATGTGTCAACCAAGTCAGCGAGCCTGACCACCCGATCCTGTTAGTCGCCTCTTACAACAAGCATGGGTTGCTGAAGACCAATTCTAACCCGGATCTACACGGGTTCAGCTGCTGTGAGACTGTGTATATACACAGGTATGCATACCAAATGGGATGTGTTAATTAATTTCTTCAACCTGAACACCCAGACAAAATGAACATTTTGTGGATGTTCATATGACTCAAACAGTTTAGTGTACCTTGATGGCCAATTTCAGGCCAGCTGACCTATCATATCAAAACCACAGATTTGATTTATTTTAAACGAAATCAACCCCATTTTGCATCTTCTATAACTCAAAAATCCACTTTGGTAAACATCTATTTACAATTAGTTACTTTAGTTCACAGTAAATGTGTATATTTATGATTTAAGCAACAGTGTTAATCAGTTGGTATCCTCAAAGTGGCAATGGCCCTTCAGTTTCTTAGGCAACTAAATTTCATACAATACAAAGGGTGTTGTTGTCACCCATGATAAGCGAGATTAGTTTTACATTGCTTTTAGCAGTATTCCTGCAATATCACAGCGGGGAACACCACAAATTTAAGAAATCAAATGAATCACCCATGCGAGGAATTAAACCCGCATTCAATGTTTGGAGTCCCAGGGGTGGAAATAACTTTAGAATTGCTAGTGACTGACTGACTGAGTTTGGTTTTACGCCGCTTTTAGCAATATTCCAGCAATATCACGGCGGAGGACACCAGAAATGAGCTTCACTCATTGTACCCATGTGGGGATTCAAACCCGGGTCTTCGGTGTGATGAGCCAACGCTTGAATCAATAGACTACCCCACCGCCCCTGAATTGCTAGTGTACTCCGGTACAGTGGCATGTGTAAAATCACTTGCCCTGATAAGTTTTCCACTATACCGGCCGATTTTCTTGTTGATTTTTTAAATAAACAACATAATTAACACTGGAAAGTCAACTGGACATCGCTACAGCATGATATACAAATTTGCTTGCCCGACAGAAAAACACTGAACTGGGCGTCGGGCAATGGGTTATTTCCACCCCTGAGACCTGTATATACCTCCACCTGTATTGTCACACCACCATTCACTGGATACTCAGCTAAAGAATATGTAACATGCGCAATTAGAGGTAACACCAGTCTGATTACCTGACAAAGATCACTGACAAAGATCAAACCAACAGTAACTAGGACCTGTTCACTTCCATTTACTGACATTTGCTGTTGGTTCTGCTGCATATCACTGGATGCTCAGCTAAAGAATATGTAACATGCGCAATTAGAGGTAACACCAGTCTGACTACCTGACAAACTACCTTGTGCCTGGTTAATTTCTCAACCTTCTGAATTCAGGTCTGATGTTAATATATTACAAGACAAGACAAGACTTTTATTAGGTCAAAGACCAATACAATACAGATAAATTTATATTTGCCTGTGCACAGTTAATATATCACAAGTCATGTGATAATCCATGTGGAAGCGCAGTAACCATGGTAACAGAGGAAATGTCAAATGAGTAAAGCAAAAACATTGATCAATGGATCATGTTTATTGATTAATCTCTGTTGTCTTGCACAGATGACTTGTCAAATTACTGTTTATGTATGTAGGTTTCACTAGACAGTCTATCTCAGCTGATCCAACCTTAAAAATCTGAAACAAAGTCACAAGACCAGTTGAAAACCTATGATGATTTACAATGTCCAGAAGCACTCTATATATTTTACAATATTAGATTGTTAGAAGACACATGACACGGAACACTACCTTCTCCAGCTAGCCATCACTGATGGATATATTCAAATACAAGGTACTGCCTCATTATTCATAGAACTTTTGTCGGTTTTAATTTATAATATAATATATGTTTTTCGGTTTCATCTATTTTTTTAGTACAGAACCGATTCATTCAACTACTTATCACTGAGAATTTCATCTATTCGAGACAGACAACACTTAGTCATTATTTTCACAGCGTCTTAGGCGTCAATGTGTAAAATGTTTCACTTGGGCAATGTCTAGATATTGCAGTCATTTTACAGATTCACTAAACAGGGTTCGATTTAAGAGATGGCAACCAAGATGCACCAGGTGCAACCTAAGATAAAACCCTAGTTTCTCCAGCCAAATTTCAGTTGCACTGCTTTATTGCAATATGTAATGAAAGAAATGTGCTATTGAAGTATTCAAAGTTGAGAAGAAAAATGAGCTGACATACTTATGCTTATAATGTTAGATTTATTGTTGATTTATTTCTCTAAAATTTACTTGCACCTGGTGCAAGCTAGGCTAATAACTAGGTTGCACTTTGTAATTTTGGGTTGCACCCATGGAAGTAACATTACTAACAAAGCACTAAATCGAGCCCTGACTAAATAACAGATTAACTCATTTCTATAAAGACATCCCAAATATTAACTACACAAAAACCAAATGCAAGCTGTTCAGTGTGGAAGTGAGCATTTAAAGGAACTTCCCACACATGGAAACACCTGGCTTCTAAACATTTGATATTCAACAGAACAATGTTTTGACGTCATTGGCAGCATGGTCAATGAAACTAATGATAGGCTTTCATTGGATAAGAGACACACCCTTACCTAAATGCCCCAATCGTAGACAATGTAACAAAACCTTATATATATAGAGAGAGATTTTGTAGATATTGAAGTACCAATCTACATACATTCCTTCTAACTTGAGTAAAGATGTTGGAGAAAGAATAAAGCTTCAGTCAACATAAGTCTATGCATGATCAGATTGGTATAATATATGTGTATCTAACTAGTTTTTTGCCAAGTCTACGGTAAGACAACAGTTTATGCCAAGCAGGCAAATGATTGGTAGTGAAGTAGTGAGTGAGCTGGGTTTGAGGACACTTTAACACTACTCCAGTCAGCAAACTCAGGTAACTGTGGCAAGAAAGCCCCAGCTGATACAGGTTGTACACATTTAACACTTCAGTCAAACTCAGGTAACTGTGGCAAGAAAGCCCCAGCTGATGCAGGTTGTACACATTTAACACTTCAGTCAAACTCAGGTAACTGTGGCAAGAAAGCCCCAGCTGATGCAGGTTGTACACATTTAACACTTCAGTCAACACTCACTCAGGTAACTGTGGCAAGAAAGCCCCAGCTGATGCAGGTTGTACACATTTAACACTTCAGTCAAACTCAGGTAACTGTGGCAAGAAAGCCCCAGCTGATGCAGGTTGTACACATTTAACACTTCAGTCAAACTCAGGTAACTGTGGCAAGAAAGCCTCAGCTGTGGCACATTTAAAAGCCCCAGCTCAAGAAAGCCCAAGGATTGTACGTTTAACACTTCAGTCAAACTCAGGTAACTGTGGCAAGAAAGAAAGCCCCAGCTGATGCAGGTTGTACACTGTTTAACAGCCCCAGTCACAACACAGGTAACACTTCAGTCAAACACAGGTAACTGTGGCAAGAAAGCCCCAGCTGATACAGGTTGTACACATTTAACACTTCAGTCAAACACAGGTAACTGTGGCAAGAAAGCCCCAGCTGATACAGGTTGTACACATTTAACACTTCAGTCAAACACAGGGGCATGGATAGTGTGCTGACAGACCTCAAAACATAACTGGGTCAAAACAAGAGTCATACCAATGATCACAGGTGTGTTGGGGTGCAGGTCTGCCTTGTGAATTGTGGCAACGAAGCTATGTCCACACAGCATTAACACCTGAAGCTGTTTATTTGATTGGAATTTTAGAAGTTGATGAATTACAAGAAAGGTATGATACTTTATGGATAACAACTTTTTGTGTAGTATGATGTAACATTTCGGTAAAGATTTTTATACCATTGTCAAGCACTCTTCATATGTCCATCTTAAAGCTACTGAAGAAGGTTCTGTGCAAGATATTCTCTAGAAGTTTAAAACTGTCCAGATCATGAAAATTATGTCCAAGAACATTACTAACTTTAGGACAAAACATTATGACCTTTAGGGCAAGAACATTACTAACTTTAGGACAAGAACATTACTATCTTTAGGACAAAACATTACTAACCTTTAGGACAAGAACATTACTATCTTTAGGACAAAACATTATGACCTTTAGGACAAGAACATGACTACCTTTAGGGCAAGAACATTACTACCTCTAGGGCAAGAACATTACTATCTTTAGGGCAAGGACAGTATGATCTTTAGGGTAAGAACATTACTACCTTTATGGCAAGGACATTACTACCTCTAGGGCAAGAACATTACTAACTTTAGGGCAAGAACAATACTTCCTTTAGGGCAAGAACACTACTATCTCTAGGGCAAAAACATTACTAACTTTAGGGCAAGAACATTACTAACTTTAGGGCAAAAACATTACTAACTTTAGGGCAAGAACATTACTATATTTAGGGCAAGAACAGTATGACCTCTAGGGCCAGAACCTTACTATCTTTAGGGCAAGAACATTACTATCTTTTGGGCAAGAACATTACTAGCTTTAGCATGTTTAGGGCAAGAACATTACTACTTTAAGTCATCTGACTTACTCCACTCAACATGCTTAAATTATCCTACATAAGCATCAGATGCCATTTAGTGCTGAACATGGCACACTAGTTGAGGCTATTGTCCCTAACAAGGACAAAGAAGGAAAGACTGACTGACTGAGTTTAGTTTTACGCCGCTTTTGGCAATATTCCAGCAATATCAAGGACAAGAATGGGCTTAACACATTTGCCCATGTGGGGAATCAGTTGACGAGCCAAAGAAGGAAAGAAGTTTTCCAGTTATTCAATACTTTCACATAGTGACCACACAGAGATTACAAAGAAGTGGGTGTTGAACATGGAAAATATTCCAACTCAATATTTGCAAACATTTTGATTTATTCACGAGCGAAAGCAAGTGAATAAATCAAAATGTTTAGAAATACTGAGTTGAAATATTTTCCATATTCAACATCCAAGAGTTTTGTGATCTATTTATTACACACAGGACGGGAAAGCAGTTTGATCCATGATGACAAATCAAGCAGGCAATGCTAGATGTAAACAAAACGAAATGGAGATAACTGTTATGACTACTTTATAGATGAAAATAAACATTTACAAATATTCAAATGAAAAATAATTCTAATCCCAGGACACCAAATTGAATTTTAATCATCCAGAAACACAATGTTTCTGGTTGACATTTATGGTCAAAAACTTCTTCAATGGAGTATAATTATTGATTCAAAATTTCGAGGTGGCAACAGAAAGGTCACTTGCACTCGAGTAGTTTGGCATTATGACATCACTATCGTTGAATAACTTAGTTTGGTTACACAACGTTTGTTGGATAACTTTCAACTGGTTACACAACGTTTGTTTGATAACTTTCAACTGGTTACACAACAGTTGTTGGATAACTTTCAACTGGTTACACAACAGTTGTTGGATAACTTTCAACTGGTTACACAACGTTTGTTGGATAACTTTCAACTGGTTACACAACGTTTGTTTCAAACTACCAACAATATCCCATAAAGATTTTCAGAACACGTGTAAAAAATACCGATATATATGCTCTCTGTTTCAAAATTGGTGTGTTGTGACAGGGAGACTCTATAAGGGGGAGTGGTCACTCCTCGGAAAGCTCCTAAGCTATGCCTCGGCTCGTCACGTGACCAGTGCAGCCAATATGGCGGAAGCATAGTTTTTAAGATTGAGCCCGGTTTATTTTCAACAGCTGATTACATACGCTGAGTGTTGTGACAACTGAAAACCTACATGTAGAAGATAAGTTACCTATTCTGTCACTTCATTTTAAGTCAAATACTTGTTATTAGTGTCAGTATAAGTACAGTAGCTTTGTAGTAAAGTTTCAAGTGGGCATGTTGTAGCTCACTGGCTTCAATTCTCAGTACACAGCGAAGAAAGACTAAATTATATCGCTAAAAACTTCTTTCACATATTCGTTTTAATTTTTAGAAGGGAAATATACCTTTAGTTAAAAGGTGTTTGCAAGTAATAGTGATATTTTTATAACTAAAAAATTTGTTAGGGTGTATTTGAGGTGTGTGAAAATATGACATATCGCGATCTGCCATTGAAATACCACAGGGTTGTTTGAGTGTTTCTAGTTAGTGTTCAAAAAAACATCCTTCACATACACCTTCAATTTTTATGAGGGGAATGTACCATCAGGTGAAAGGTGTTTGCAAGTAATAGTGATAGTTTTATAATTTAAAAAATTGTTAGTGTGTATTTGAGGTGTGTAAAAAATATGACATATCACGATCTGCCATTGAAATACTACAGGGTTGTTTGAGTGTTTCTAGTTAGTGTTCAAAACATCTTTCACATACACCTTCAATTTTTATGAGGGAATGTACCATCAGGTGAAAGGTGTTTGCAAGTAATAGTAATAGTTTTATAATTTAAAAAAATTGTTAGTGTGTATTTGAGGTGTGTGAAAATATAACATATCGCCGATCTGCCATTGAAATACTACAGGGTTGTTTCAGTGTTTCTAGTTATTGTTCTAAAACATCTTTCACATACACCTTTGTATTTGAGGTGTGTGAAAAATATAACATATCACGATCTGCCATTGAAATACTACAGGCGTTGTTTCCAGTGTTTCTAGTTATTGTTCTAAAACATCTTCACATACACCTTTAATTTTTATGAGGGGAATATACCATCAGGTGAACGTTTTTTGCAAGTAATAGTGATAGTTTTAATTCTTTTTTTTTGTTAGTGTGTATTTGAGGTGTGTGAAAAATATTACATATCGCCAATCTGTTCTGATACGCCATTGGTGCTTGTGATGCTTGAGTGTTATAGTTCTAAAACTTCTTTCTTTCTTGTTGATCTTAGTATTTGACAAAACTGGTGTTTGCAAGGCTTTGTGATAGTTCTAAACTTTCTGTTCTTGAGGGGTCTGTGACAGTGTCAGTTAACATTCTGTCAATGCCCATATCACACATGCAATAAGATATCTGAATTAGTTACTAATGTAAAAAAATGTCTCAAAGTAATTTTTTTGGAAAAAGGACAGCTGATGTTAACATGTGTTCTACCGATAGTTTTCCGTTCTTTAACATGTTTGGGGAGGGATGGCCGTGGTGTATCATTTATTCTTTCATTCATTCACATATGTTCTTTTTCTTTTGTTCTTTTTCTTAATTTCTTTCATTCATTCACATAAAATTCTTGCTCTTAATTCATTCATTCATTCATTCATTCATTCATTCATTCATTCATTCATTCATTGTAAAATTCCGACCTATACAATACACTGGCTGAAGTACTGTTAAACGCAGCCGAAGTCGCGCTGGGACCGAACCAAGTCACTGTGTGCGTTGGAGCATGACGAGGCACACGTTAATTAGTACAAATGGTAAAGAAAGCAAGCGAGTGACCTATCCCTGTTGTAGAGTATCCCTGGTTGTGACTTTTAATCTGAGTATCATTAATATACATTTTGTATCTAATGTGATCGTATCTAGTGTTTTTTTATGTCGTTTTAATTGTTTTTCCTGTTGTTGATTTGGTGTGCGTGTGTGTTTTCCAAATCAAAGAATAATGCCATAAATCGATTTACTTATTATTAACGTTGATTATGCCCTCGGCCTGAGGACCAAACTGTCGTCCCACTCTGGCCACAGTAAACGTGTCGACCTGGTGATAAACTGCTTCATGTAATCAGCTTGTACAATGACTGATGCCACACACAAATGATTCTACACATCCGAGACTAAGTGGCACCGTGATATCTGTAGAAAGTTCAACTCACCTTGCACCATAAGTTGTTGACAGCACACGACGCTCAGAACAGCCAGCCATGTTGGAGCCATGTTGAGATGTGGACAAAGCCGCAAGTGGATTCTGTCCTAGCCTATCGCGGTTCTAAAGAAGCATCAATATTGAGCAATGCTTGCAGTATTGTGTAATATCACTCGCAGCTTTTCAAACCCCTTGAGTCTACAGCATGTGATCGTTAGTCATTACAGCGACAGCTGTCATCCCCAGGTAAATTTCGCAAGCAGTCAGGTGAACAGCACCAAAATACCCAATGAGGCAAATACTAAAGAGGCGTGGTCACATAAAGCATCATTGATCGGATCTCTTATTATCTGGATAGGGTGCGCAAACCGGTTCATTGACTGACTGAGTTTGGTTTTACGCCGCTTTTAGCAATATTCCAGCAATATCACGGCGGGGGACACCAGAAATCGGCTTCAGGATTGTCAAATACCCGGTCCGGACCAACTATGTTATTGGTCCATTGCTCCATCGTTGACAACCATATCCACATATTAATTATGAAAAATACACACGTGACAATCATGAAAAATCATAAAACACAAACATGCTGCATAAATGACGTTGTTGCGAGTATATTGCTTTAAACTCGAATGTAGCTGAGCTAGGTTACGTGTAAAAGTGGAACCGGGAAACGAAACAGGATTTGAAATGTATAAATACTTCATTCTAGCCTGATGCACATCTGGAAAACCCTTTTACATCTATATGCAATCAAATAATAAGATCACTGGTAATCGTATTTAAAGCATATAAACTTGTAAAAGTGCAGGGTTGTACCCTACGCTCCCACCGTCACAATTGTTTACAACAGACTTGGCCTGAGTTGTTAAAACCAAATAAAACGTCATAGATGTTTCGTCACTTATGTATCATGACATATGTTTTCATCTATAGAATAGTTTGATATCTACCCAAATACATTCATAGTGTCTCAAATCGTAGCACTTCAAGAAAACACGTTAGTCAAAGTGAAGCCCTTTCCCTCTACATTCTCAAAATCTTTATCTAAGTGTTTGGTCTATGTTCGGTCCATCTTGGCGCGGACAATTAAAATGTGTTTAAACACCAATCCATAGTTTCAAATTGCAATAGTGAAAGCAATCACGTTCCTTAAAGCAGGGAGACTCTATAAGGGGGTGTTGTAGAGTATCCCTGCTTAAAGTGAAGCCCTCTGCCCTATATTCTCAACATCGTCTCTATACCACATGTGTTTGGTCCGACTGGGCCCGGGCTATCAAAAACAACTTCAACATCACTTATCTTTCAAGAAACGAAGCGGTCGAAAAAGACCCAAACTGACCAGGGAATAGTCAAACCCTACCTCAAAGTAAGAACGAAATCAGATGTCTGTCAAAACAAAAAAGTCTCATACAGTAGTAAATTAATCATCAAAAGTCAAAATTACTCTACTAACCTACAAAAAACCCAAACAAACAAACACAAACAGAACAATAACCTATTTACAAAAAGAACACACTAAACGTTTTGTACGTTGACAAAATATATTCTTAAATTCAACCAAACGAGCAAAAAAACCCAACCCAACACATCCAACTTCACTGCAGCACCCCATCCGTCACAGAATGGTGCTCCAAAACTGCCTGGATACCAGCACCACTACGAAACAACTCTCATCATCATCATCATCATTATCATCATCATCCATCTATCCATCATCCATCATCAATCATAAGCAAGGGGCAGTTAAAATCCTTTTCACATCAAGACCTACGGAAACACTCGCTATGTAGTCATAGTTATCATTTTATTAATATTTAAATGCATTTTTATTCAAAATCAATAACTTACGCAAAACTATACATCGTGACATCGCACGTTTCGCTAAATATTCTCCAATCCATTTTTAGTATTACCCGCCGGCCGGGTCTTAGTCATAACGTCTAAGGAGGTAAGGGACGCTATCTAGCTATCTGCTCGAAGCTATGCTTGTCTGATGTATTAATAAAATTAGCCACCACTTCAAGTGTACATTGGCATTAGTAGGAAAACACATACCACAAGTATGCACAAGAATAAGTTATTGCGAGACAGTCGCCAGCTGACCAGAAAGTCAAGTACACTCTGAGCAATATAATAGGATTTGACACGTATTACATATCGATTGTGTACACACACTGATAGCGAGTAAAATGGCTCTACTCTAACGCACTTGTAATCCTAGTGTACGACGAGGAAGTAATGCTATAAAGTGATAGGTAGGTAAATATAACACCTGCATGTCTATACCTATCACTCACTGAGCGTGTTTAACTCGCCCGGGCCAATCCTGAACAAACGTCACGTCTCTTTGCAGGAACTGTATTAAAAGACTTCAGTTTAATGATCCGTGACGTTTCACTGTGATATATTGTGGCATTATAAACTGAATATATAGCAGTGATCTGAAACGATCAACAAAGCAGGTGAACCATTTGAAGCTCTTCAGCCAGTGAAGATCCGGGTTAGAATTGGTCTTCAGTAACCCATGCTGTAAGAGGCGACTAGCGGGATCGGGTGGTCAGGCTCGCGGACTTGATTGACTCTTGTCATCGTATATCAATTTCATAAATCGATGCTCATGTTGTTGATCACTGGATTGTCTGGTCCAGACACGACCAGTTACAGACCGCCGCCACATAGCTGGAACATTGCTGAGCGAGGCGTTAAACAACAAACCAATCAACCAATTGTAGCTCTTCAGTGAATAATGCAGTTTCTAAACCCTGTTGCACTTCAAAACAAAGTTAGGCCTTAGTTGTAATTTTCATTTCCATATTTCGTGACACAATGAAAATATGTAAGCAGTACACCGAAGACTGCTTGCAAACCAGCAGTCAGAGGGAAGATTTACTTCTGTTAGTCAATAAAACATCGCTTTTAAACCATTTTCCGTCAAGCCTTTGTTTTTATTTTGTTTGTTTAACGCCGGACTGAGCGTTATTCCAGCTATATGGCGGCGGCCTGTGAATAATCGAGTCCATGAAATCCAGTGATCAACAGCACGAGCATAGATATACGCAGCTGGGTAACGGTGGTAAACAATTGCTTGCACTCCGAAGATGGCAGGTTCCGCGAAGAATAGTTCCCTGGTGCTAGTCTGTAACGAGAAAGCGGTAGTATTTAAGACAACTGCAGCGGCTGTGAGTGGACCGCTCTATCGACTTCAGGTACAAGAAGAGGAACTGATAATACAAGGAACTAATGCTACGATATGAGAAGCCCAGTGATGCAGTGACTGACTGACTGACTGAGTTTAGTTTTACGCCGCTTTCAGCAATATTCCAGCAATATCACGGCGGGGGACACCAGAAATGGGCTTCACACATTGTGCCCATGTGGGGAATCGAACCCGGGTCTTCGGCGTGACGAACCAACGCTTTAACCACTAGGCTACCCCACCGCCCCGATGCAGTGAGACGAGAAGGCTAGTGATGCAGTGAGACAAGAAGGCTAGCGATACAGTGAGACGAAAAGGCTAGTGATGCAGTGAGACGAGAAGGCTAGTGATGCAGTGAGACAAGAAGGCTAGTGATGCAGTGAGACGAGAAGGCTAGTGATGCAGTGAGACGAGAAGGCTAGTGATGCAGTGAGACAAGAAGGTGATGCAGTGAGACGAGAAGGCGAGAAGGTGATGCAGTGAGACGAGAAGGCCAGTGATGCAGGAGACGAGAAGTGATGATGAGACGAGAAGGCTAGTGATGCAGTGAGACGAGAAGGCTAGTGATGCAGTGAGACGAGAAGGCTAGTGATGCAGTGAGACGAGAAGGCTAGTGATGCAGTGAGACGAGAAGGCTAGTGATGCAGTGAGACGAGAAGGCTAGTGATGCAGTGAGACGAGAAGGCTAGTGATGCAGTGAGACGAGAAATTGAAAACCGGAGACTAGTCTGACTGACTGACTGAGTTTGGTTTTACGCCGCTTTTAGCAATATTCCAGTGAACATCACGACGGGGACACCAGAAATGGGCTTCAGGCACATTGTGATGCAGGGACGAGAAGGCTAGTGATTCGGCGAGACGAGCCAACGCTTAGTTAACCATTAGGCTACCCCACCGCCCGGAGACTATAGTGTTCGAGTGGGGACATTATTGACTTCAATCTGAGCAGCAATAACACCAGAAGAGAAAGCGATAACACCAGAAGAGAAAGCGATAACACCAGAAGAGAAAGCGATATCACCAGAAGAGAAAGCGATAACACGAGACGGGAAAAGTATGTCAGAAGACGAACGAATTAGGAGCGCATGCATGGTCAAGTTCTAAAGAAAACCCTTTCTCCATTTGCAACTGTAGGAATGGACTCAATACTTGAATATCTGTTGATAACTTAAGTCATTTGAAGAAAACAGTTATGTAATTTTATGATGAAAGGCACTCATAGTTAATTAAATCTTTTGTTTCATTGTGGTAAGTCCCCTTCAGACCACCTCGGCTCACACATGTGATCTGTATTTGTTCAGTGTAGGTTGGAGTTAGTTGAGCTGACATGTTGTTTGTGTGTAGTTTATCTCGTCACTTGAGGGTATGTTTGTGTTTAGGTGCGTCTGTTGCACCGTGTTGTATGCGTGGTAACCTGAGCTTGTTTGTTCCCTTTCTGAGTGAGTGAGTGAGTTTGGATTTACGCCGCTTTGAGCAATATTCCAGCAATATCACGGCGGGGGACACTAGAAATGAGCTTGACACAATGTACCCATGTGGGGGGTCGAACTCGGGTCTTCGGCGTGTCGAGCGAACGCTTTAATCACTGGGCCTCCCCACCGACCATTCCAGTGTCCAGCATACCAACGACGCGGCTATGCTGGACGCTGATTGTGAAGTTCAGGTGTCAAAAAGCATGCAAAAAGTGAGTAAGTCCATTGTGCACAAAGTGCAGTGACACGCGCGAGTCTGACATCAAATTTTATGCCAAGTGCTTTGCTACATGTTTATTTAGAGTTATAACTTTTATTTCTGCAATGTTATGCTAATCACGGTAGTAGGTATAAATTAAGGGTTTTATACAAAGGGTTTTGTACAAATGCAGCAATATGCCTCAATATACCTTTCCAACTCCAGCTTCCGGTCCACCAACTCTATTATAAAACGAGGGTTGAGTATTGAGTAATATGTGTATATAATGCAGGCTTGTGGACAAACGAGGGGTTGAGTATGAAGTGATATGTGTATATAATGCAGGCTTGTGGACAAACGAGGGTTGAGTATTAAGTGATATGCGTGTATAATGCGGGCTTGTGGACAACTGAGGGTTGAGGGTTATGCGTGTATAATGCAGGCTTGTGGACAAACGAGGGTTGAGTATTGAGTGATATGTGTATAGAATGCAGGCTTGTGGACAAACGCGGGTTGAGGGTTATGCGTGTATAATGCAGGCTTGTGGACAAACGAGGGTTGAGGGTTATGCGTGTATTATGCAGGCTTGTGGACAAACGAGGGTTGAGGGTTATGCGTCAAAGAAACTGGGCCACTCTAACCATCGCACTAATGCATAAGGGTTTCCTTTCACACGTTTCTTCTTATGAATCTTTTCCACTTGCCACTCAACATCCTCCTCTTTGTTAACTCTCTGTAGTTCATTGGTGTAAAAGCTGCCTTCATCGTGGAAATCTTTGATTCTGTACAGTGGTGTTTCTTGTCTCTTGAAACGCTTGGCTATTTTGAACAGTTTTTGGGTCCAACGTATATCTAGTTCTTTGCTGAAGGGTCTTCTGAGATATGGGATGCGTACAATATCGTCTACTGTATATAGATATTTCTTTATGATAAGGTGCTTGGCTTTTTGGGATTTCTCAATGGCTTTGCACACAAATGCTCCCACACTTTGTGTTCACTGTTTTTGTGGACTTCAGCAGGTGAGTTGAGCCATCATTCAGCAATTTCAACCAGTGGTCTATCACGTGATTATCATTAATGATACACATTGCATAACTGAAGTATCTGTCAGCTTGAACCTGTTCTGACATATTATCACAACAGGTATGCACCTGTCCACCCTCGGAGTTAAACAAACATACATACCAGAGTTCATACGATAATCGCTTAATGGTTTTAGTGACTTGTAAGCTGAAACATAAAGTCATCCAATCAAATCGATAGAGAGGTCATGGGTTATCAAATCAACTCGTTCGAATCTCAGATCAAGTCGTTACCACACAGGTCAACGCGACGCGACACTCGTGTGACGTGCGAGGTTACTATGCAACTACCCTTACGTTGCCCAGGTGGATAACACATGGCAGTATAAGAAGGCAGGTGTGGTTGTCGGGGAACAACGTGTTGTCACTGTGACGTCTCTAACACAAAGCAGGGGTTATCAATAAACATCGATTTCATTACATGGCTTTATGTATATCTAATAAATCAGCCAATGGTTTGTTTTTGTTTGCAACCTGATGTTCTAAGATTTCCTGTTGAAGTTACCACGTCTCAGTTGAGTAGGACAACGGGGCTGTCATGCCCCCCAGTGTTTCCGCTGTTGGCTGTACTGCTTCTATACCGTGTGAGTATAACGTCCCGGTACATCATGATGGACTTTATAAAATTTAATCCTACCTTACATTATTTTAGTTGGTGAAATTTTCCTTGGAGCTGTTCTAATTACTCGTAGCTTGTCGACAATTGATTTATTCTGTAACCAAACAGGCTTTCATGAAAAATCGATGTTTGCCTTCCAAGCTGGCTATTTACATAGACATAGCCTTGTTAAGTTATAGATAATGGCTTTGTGATTCTGGGATAAAGTCACTCTGGAGTCACGTTGACATGATCCTCCTACACAGGGCAGTATCGGAGTTTGACAGCATTTTCTACAACTTAACCGAAAAAGCTGAACTTTCACATGCTTGTTTACACCACTGTTGACAACTCAATATGTGTACGAGATCCGATTTCGATTTTCAATATGGTCGCCACAAATGATCAACCAGTGCGCTCAAAATGTAATGTCATTTGGTGTGTACGTAGACAATAGTTGGGTTCGTTCTGCCTTGTAGCGATATTTTGACCTTGATTTAACCTATGCACTTCACTCAAAATTGTTTCAGGCTATGTAAAAGCCATTTAACAAAACATATTCCTCTCAATGAATGACACCTGAATTTGTTCACGAGGTTTGAACCGAGGTTTCAATATGGCCGCCATTTTGAAAAATCTGTTTCTGTCCAATAATCTCCCATGTCATAGCACAAGTGGGACGCAAGTCTTATGTAGCAATGTTACCTACACTCTTCAAAAATAAAAATGAAACGCATAGGTGTTTTTGAGAACAGTGAACTCGTGTAGCTGCGCCAAAACAATACAAATATAATATTTCTTTCCAAAACATCATCTTTGTGTGATTGTAAAGAGCTTCAGCGCCAAAACGCGGCAACTTTAACTTTTTCCCTTGATTGACAGTATTTGAAGAAATATTCGCCAAAACGTCACCAAGAAAACATGCAAAGCAAAATGCACGTTCCTATAAAAAGGCAAAGGTTGGGTTTGATTTTGTCATTCGTTTTTTTGCCTGGAAATGAGGAAATCATCATTGTGCCGCCAATCGGAACACCGCCACAGGCAGCACTGAAGCTGGGGAGTCGCAGTCTGCAGTTGCCTGACATTTCAACGTTCATCAGAGCACCATATCTCGCCTTTGGGATGGTTTCCTGCAGACTAATTCCGCCCAAGATCGCCAGAGAAGCGGCAGTCCAAGTGTTACCACACAAGTCAAGGACCGCTACATCCGGGTTGCTCACTTGAGTCATCGTCTTGCCACAGCGCACAACGCATGCCTGGTTTGAGAAATATTTCCGACAAAACTGTCAGGAATCAATTGCGTGAAGTGGGGATTCGACCAAGAAGACCAGTTGTCGCCCATGTTTTGAGAGAATTCCATCGGTGCAGTCGTTTGCGGTGGTGTCGTTGAGTCCGGAACTGGAACTTTAGAAACTAGAGGCGAATCTGGTTCAGTGATGAATCACGATTTCTTCTTCACCGGCGAGATGGAAGCCAGCATGTTTTTCCGAGAAATGAAAGTTTTGCCCATAAGTTCATTCTACAGATTCGGTGGAGGCGGTGTTATGGTGTAGGGTGAGATATCCAGCACACAGAGATCTGATTTAGTGGTGGTTCAGGGGAATTTGACACCAAATCGGTACATCAACGAAGTCCCTGCACGTCACATGCTTCCGATTATGGACCGACAGAGGGAGTTGTTCCAGCATGACAACGCAACTTCACATACAGAACGCGTCAATGTCTTGCCATCATATCTTCCCGATCACCAGATGTAAACCCGATAGAACACCAACGTCAAAACACGCCGCAGACACTTCCACAACTGGCCATCGCATTGCAGGAATAGTGGCGAAGAATTCCGCAAGAGCGACTTCTCCGACGTATCCAGTCTGTGCCGAGACGGTGCCGAGCAGTAATTGCTGCCAGTGGTGGCCTGACTTTGACGCCATCTTATGGACTCAAGTGAACAGAAACACAACAATAAAGGCTGTTGTGTTGGCGAACTCTTTGTCTATAGACGTGTGAATTTTCACCTTTGAAATTACATGAAATAACTGCTCTTAAACTAAGGCAATAAAATGGGCTTGTGCGTTTCTTTTTTTTAAGAATATAATTCTTGCAGATAGTTTTGTTCTGATCCTAAAGCTCCCTTCCACATTCGTCAGAGATTTATTTACGAGAAATATAGCTAATCCACATTAGGGTTCAACCTCGTCCATTTTGCCTTGTCATGACTCACCCCTATGATACTTTCTACAGTTCCATACAAGATATACATGTACCTTTACATGATGTGGGAATGATGTGGTTCTGTTTCAGAGCCATCTGATGTGTAATCAATGCAACAAGGTGAAACGGACATTCGGAAGACTTGGAAGTGTTGATGCGAATGTGTTCGTTGTTCACGCCAATAGAGATGTAATTAAGAAGGGGAAGCACCAGGATAAGAAGACACTCCTGGATGAGATTACAACCCCAGCCTCAGCTCTCAGAAACACAAGTGGTGGATTGCTGGTAGTACATTTAAAAGGTCAGTTTCCCGAAGACAGAAGCTTGGAATATTTTGATGAGTTCATCAGCGGTTCTTTGAATAATCTTATTTCCAACGGAACCCTCTATGTGCATGTGTATAAACGTGCTTGGCTAAATCTGAAGACTGGATTTCAAGAATTTTCAGATTTTGTAGCAATAAGAATTGAGCAGGACAATTCAAACGTAGCCACAGTTACCTTTAATACCAAAATACGATCTGACTTTGAAACGAGGGACCCTTCGATCTTGAATCTTGTTTCCCTTTTAACTAATAAGCCAAGAAATTCGCAGAGTGTACCACAGATTAGAGGATTACCAGTACACACTTCCAAACAATTTGAATGTCGAAATTGTGAGTTCAAAGCCTTTCAGCCAATGCCAGAGAAGGTGAATGAAATTAACGAAGGCAAGCTTGACATTGTGGAGTATCTGTGGTCAGATCTAAAGCTGAGGGACAACATAACTTCCTTTACCAAGGTACCTGATGGAGGATCCTTGTATGTAGGGATTTCTGAAAAACTGGACACAACCACAAAGTCAAAGTATCCTGTTATTACCGGATTTCAGCTTGAAAACACTTATGAACCTGAGGCTTGGGGGGTGATCAGTGTTAGTGACCATCAGTTCAAACTGAGGATAAACAGAAGTCAGCTTGAAAGGAAAATATTTGACAAATTAAGTGAGTTAACTCTCCTGAACCTAAATGGTGAATTCATAAATCCTCCAAATGATATGATAAAAGTCACCTTTCACAAGGTTGAAGGACGTTCAGCAGACCTGCATGTTCTTGAAGTATCTGTCTGCTACTTAGATGGGGTACTGTTTTTCGATAATGGTCCAAGGTCCCATGTTGTGGACACCAGACAGAGACCCAACAAATGCAAGCGGATGACCAATGACGAATGGTTGGACAGATTGTTTCGGCGCTGTGTAGGTTGTGGACAACAGTGGGGTTATTTCAACAAGTAGCAGACGACACAAACAGTATCTGTACATCAGCTACATTTAAAGACATTAAGATTCAAAAGTTGGTCTTCATTAAGGAAAGACTACTATAGTGTTGTGGTAGTTGCTGTTCACACGTAACGGCCTGTAGTGGAACGTTGTACAGTGGAAATGAAACAGTATTTATCGATACGCATCTCAATTTTTAAATATCACGAGGGTCCAGTGACAAGGCTGCCACAATCACAATATTTTTCAACAGTGTGTTTCATGTGTACACTTTCTTAAACTTCACGAGGATCCAGTGACTGTGGCTTTATTTCTGAGATCCCACAAAAGAGTCCATCATAGTGAAGCCAGGTACGTGTACTGTCGGCCATGTCGTCGTCTGAAGATGAGGAGTCGAGTGCTTGCATCCCAGAGGAGGATATCGTCTGCTCACTGACAAGGAGCGATGACTCGGATACAGATACGGAATCTGAAACGATGGACCACCTTGCAGGTACATACACATGAGTGCCAACATGCATAAGGCGTTGTTATTTACAGGACATATTGTGAGTTAGGCTGTAGACTGTGACATAAACACCGGGGTTGGAGAGAGAGAGAGAGAGAGAGAGAGAGAGAGAGAGAGAGAGAGAGAGAGAGAGAGAGAGAGAGAGAGAGAGAGAGAGAGAGAGAGAGAGAGAGAGAGAGAGAGAGAGAGAGAGAGAGAGAGAGAGAGAGAGAGACTCTGTGTGTACATACAGGTATGGATACTGTTATTCCAGGTGATACCTGCCATGTTGCAACGGAATAGGTTGTGTATTGGGGAGAGGAGACTGGTATATGTTTTCTAAGTATGCCTCATTGTGATGCTTTCAGAAATGGACATGCTGCTTCCATCGTTCGATCTTCAAGATGACGAATATCACAATATCCTTTCTGCCGGTATGATTCCATCAGCCGGTAAGTGTTTGAACTGGAAAATGGAAAGTATACGTGTAATAAGAAACTCGATATTATATGAGTTGTAAACTATTTGTGTTTATGTTTAGAATCCTTCATAGTCCCAGGAGCCATGTCCCAGTATTTACAGCACCACCAGCCGGCCATATACAGCAAGGCAATACAGGTACATGGAGGTCAAGGATCCATAGTGTACATCCCTGCCGCCATCATTAACCGCCATCAGTTCCAGATTTCTCACCCCAGGCCTAACAGTGTCTTGTGTGATGCGTTTGTGTTTCATCCTTCCTGGCCAATCATGCTGCTCACCTTCTCAACACAAACCAAGTCCCGAGTGTCCCGATACAACGCTAGTGTGGCCAGAGCTGGCATTCTGCTGCTGAGCTCACACCTTCAAGACACCTTCACTTTTGTCCATGGAGTGATTGACACCGCTACATGGCAATCTGATACTCTGTTTGCTGAAAAGATTAGGGAATTCGAAACCTCTGCAGAGAACTTTTCTGTTCCTATTTCCCTACAAATGACTGAAGTCAAATGCAGAAGTGCAATCAAGGTTTTGCTTAGAACAGACTCAGGCCAAGTGAACAGGACAAGAGGAGCAGAAGAAAATCTCTCATCAGTCTGGCGTCCAATGAGTCCGGACGAGAACTGCGACAAACACAATGGTAATACTTTACTCAATGTTACAACTCTAATAGTTTTTAATTCCAATATCTAACAATGTGTCGAAGGCATCATACGTATGTCATGATCGTCATTATGTTTGCGTTTGGTGCAATGTCTAATACAGTGCGTTCAGAGGAGTTTTACAATGTGTAGATAGAGTCTAATGCAAATTAGAACGTTTTTCGGGTTAAATGAATTTTTTTCACCGGGGTATACATTAATAGTACAGCCCCAAAACAGCCAGTTACATACCTGCAGCTAACTAATCAGGAAATTATGAAAAACTACAGGTATATCATACTAAAGTACGGTTTATGAACATTTTTGTGGGAGTCTTCCCTACAAAGAAACAAAACCCTTCCCAAACAGTCATGATCCCTGCCTTTTTGTTTCATATTCGTGTCAATGAGTTCGTTATTGATAGTCATATGAACTGGTGACCTTGGCCAATCTCTGCGATTGTACGATTCTGACACATCATGAGCATGTGTTGAATCACTATCTGTGTGTGTGTCTGACACATCATGGGCATGTGTTGAATCACTATCTGTGTGTGTGACACATCATGAGCATGTGTTGAATCACTATCTGTGTGTGTGACACATATTTCTATCCACCACGTGACTAACAGGGGAGTTGGAAACATAAGCAGCTGATCATCCGGAAACACAGAAACATGTCACCCAAACACAACATTACGCAACTACATTACCTTTGACATATGTAATATTTCCTTTTCTTTTGAGGTTTAATATACACTGGTTTCAGCATACAGAATTGTATGGAATGTAAAATAACTTTCATGCTTTCATTTTTCAGATGTACTAGGACTTGGATACTTAGTATTTTTCGGAAAGGCTGTCAAACGATACATATTTGAAGAACTATTTCCATACCCGGAAGAATTGTGATAGTTCTTCTTGGAACAGTATCCTGCTACCACATTTCCAGGGAGAGATTCATCTACAACTTCCCCTCTGTTCTTTAAATGGAAGTTATGTTTATTAGATTTATTGTTATGATATGTATAAGTGCTAATGATTAATGTAATGCCTTGTTGACATGATGTTAGTTATATCCCACGCTACCTGCTTCCTTCGCCTTGTGTCTTGTCTTGACGGATCCAGCTCCCAACACCACAGAAGTGTCGTAAACCCAGCGTGACACAAACACAAATGTCAGATCACCAATCCCTGAAATATGTTACAGTCAAAGACTGGTGCTTGCTATGTTATACAAATGGAACAAATATACACAGTGACTTGCTTGATAATTGCCTGCTATCATAAAAAGATTAAATTTCAGGATTATAAGTTATCAAAGCGACATGATATTTGTGAAGGCAGGTTTACGCTATGACTTGGTGCGTGTTCCGTCTGTGTCTCCGATGTAGCTACTTCTCCGCTCGCCTATAAACCAATAAACAGATACTCGAGATGGCTGCAGCTATATATTGAGTCATGTCCGTGTGACACATTCAATACAATAAGTTACGGTTCTGTTCTCTTCAAACATATTCCACAGAAAAAGTGAAAGTTCATGTTCAAGTATATATTTGATAAACTGAACAACACTACAAGACCAGAGGAGTTGGCAACTGACTGATCGCAAAATCGAGGTTTCTGTTTTCAATGATATCTCGCCATAGCACATACCCAGAATATTATGCTAAATAAAGTTATATCACTTCAGTGTGTTACTATTGAATTTATACAACTGAACGTCAACGACTACAATGGCCGAAACTGATATCTTTATAAAGGCACAGAAGCGGTTAATATGACCGAATGGGTCATTCAAAATCTGGCATATCACCTGGTGTTCCAGGCTTTGTTTTTAAACAAAGTTTATTGACATAAATGTTCATTGGGATTGTAAGGTGCACAGCTTATAATTCATACATTGTATTAGGTTTCAAAATAAGACACCGATAAATAGTTATATGAAAAAGCAGACACACCTTTTGCGTAGAATATGTGTGAAAAAATCATATAATGCATATGCTTTAAGAACAAATTCTTGTACTTACACATAAATCTATATACCAATATGCACAGAGAGAGAGAGAGAGGGGGGGGGGGGGGGCAGTCATGCACCTATGTACATATGTATGTCTGCGATGTAAGCACTTATGTCGCAATTAAGGGTCAGTGGTCACAGAGCAATATTTCATGGTATGATATTCATATCTATTGCTGGACAATATATACTCTCCCAGGAAAGAAACGCATATATGAATTTCAACTGTATTTCTATGTTTATTTTGAAACATCTTGTAGGCTTTATTAGTCAATGAAATATAGCGAAATTGCACACTGGGAATGCAGACTTATCCGTCTTTGGCACCAACTCGAGGAAAGTCAGTTTGAGTGTCACATGGAGACGTGTGGTGGCACTGAAGTCAATACCTCGTGTGACCACCGTGGGCATCCAGAACTGCACGGCATCTCGTGTTGCCCAATCGCTGCCCACTCTGCCTGTAGTGCCTGTGCGAGTTGCTGAAGTGTCTGGGGCTGAGGGTTACGGCGTCGCACCCGTCTCTCCAGGGCATCCCACCGATGTTCGATCGGGTCTAAGTCCGGTGATCTTGAGGGCCAGGGGAGCACATTGATGTTGTGGTTCTGGAGGAAGTCTCTAGTGTGACGTGCTGTGTGGGGCCTGGCATTGTCTTGTTGAAACAACTCCCTCTGGCGATCAATGATTGGAAGGAGGTGTGGGCGTAGGATTTCGTCACAGTACCGTTGAGCTGTCAGGTTGCCCTGGATCATCACCAAATCACTTCTCCTACGGCAGGTGATCTCTCCCCACATCATAACACTTCCCCGGCCGAATCTGTCCACCTGGGGAACGCAAGCGTCGGCGAAACGTTCACGTCGACGTCTGTACACCCACATTCTTCCATCGCGTCGTTCCAATAGAAATCGTCATTCATCACTGAACCAGATTCTACGCCAATTCGGTAGGTTCCAGGCCTGAACGTTGGTGCACCATTGAACTCGATGTCGACGATGTTGTTGTCGAAGCATAGGGCCAAAATAAGGTCTTCTGGCACGTAAACCAGCCTCTCTCAACCTGTTCCTGACGGTCTGTGCAGAAATCCTCCTCAATCCGGGTATTTATCGAGCGGACTGGTCGCCGTAGCTGTTCGATGACGCAGGTGATGTACCCGGATGAAGCGATCCTGCGCCGCAGTGGTCGCTCGATGTCGCCCACTACGAGGGGCATCTGCTACCGCATTCTGCCGGAGATATCTCTCCCAGAGCCGTGAAATGGTGCTTTGGTGAACATTCATGCGTCGGGCAACTGCACGTTGAGACTGGCCAGCTTCAAGCAAACCAATGGCGCGGGGGCGCGGTGGGCGAACTGGCTAAAGCGCCAGGCTAGTGATCCAGCGAGCTTGAGGTGACGGGATCGAGCCCACCTGTGACCGGGTGTAAAAACCTTGGGAGTCAACTTTGTGTGCAGACTCTTTCAGTGTTGTCACAACCCCTAGTGTACAGTACACAACCCTGTGCACTTAAAAGAACCCACGAATCCGTAGGTATATGACCAGATGGTGGCCACATGAATACGTGCAAACACCCAGTTGCGGGTACAGCAACGTGCAGTGAACTTGGACAAAGTACTGTGACTATGTGTCCCAGTGCACCCAGCTGTGAATGGGTACCTCGTAAGGATGGGAATGCCACAATAACTCGGTGCGCCTAGTGGCTGCAAGAGTTTGTATGCTCCCCAGGGAGTTGAGATTGACAATACGATGTGCCGTTGAGATTGACATCCAGTGAACGAGGGAAAAAACAAAGCGCCTTTGAGCAGCTGAGCGGAGCTGGATATCGGCGCTATACAAATGTATATATGATGATATGATGATGATGAATGGCGATATGACGGTTGGCTTCACTTAGACGTGGCATTTTGCGTTCGTCAACAATATTCCAAATACAGTGAATAATCGACAGACAGCGATCAACCTTTTATACCTATCATTGAGACTATCTGATCCCCAACTTTCACGTGTATTGCATGTGAATTGTGTATTCTGTGACACTACACGCCGAAATTGAAAATCATGCTGTAAAATACGGGTATTTTACGGATGGTGCGTTTTGTTGTGATGTTTCAAAACATAAACACCATAGGACTCATAAACAGAGCAAACCTTTTGTAAAATGAATCACGTTTTAATTCATTGCTACATTAAATTGCTATTTTCATGATGCTTTTCTTTTTTTGGAGGGTATATATTATATATTTGGAAGCTATCGACAATGAGAATATTGTCAGCGAGAGACAGTTCACAACAGTATTGTACATGCACTTCCAGCTAGTATAATATTAGAGAAAATATTTCTTCAGATTATATATTTGGGAATTTAAGAAGTGTATACTGTTTCTACATGGATTTCAAGAGCAGAACACAGAATCAGATGAGTTTACTTTGAAAATATCTGTATTCAGGAAACTACAAGAGTGTCTTAGACGAGTGTGTAAGATGATCATCATTATCATCACGTATAACATGTTTTGGTAAGATCCAGTTACATTATATAACAATTAAATTCAACACCGTAAAGTAGTTAGAAGATGCACTATGCGACCAGCGTTTGGTCCCTAAATGTGGCGTGTAGTGTTATCGCTGATATGCTTGGAATGATGCCTTGAGTATCTCTAGGACTCCGCCAGTTGCGTCAGTTTGTTTGACCACCACCACAGTTGAGAGGGGCAATGGTCAAGGGGGCTCTCCACAGCAAGCATTCAAACATCGTTAGTGCCATCTATGCTCACAGACAACTTAATGCTCTGATATCTCGGTCTGAGAGCTCGACTCGATGTTTCAAGTGTGCAACAGACGTACAGACATGTCCCCATGTTGGGTATAAGACTACAGGGGGAACCTCGGTGTCCCAAAGCCGACACCCTGTGTTACTGTTGTCTCCTCGATGGCGTCCACAAGGATCCCCCACCATGTAAGTAGCATTCGTTCGTTCCTTGTCATTAGGCAGAATAAGGTACCAGGCCCCGATTTCTCGAAACAAACTTAAGTTTTTACTCAAATTTCAAACTGAGTTTGACAATTTGAAACAGCTGAATTTTTAACTCAACTGCATTTTTTAACTAAAAAAAGCCCAAACAACTTAAGTAATCTATCCACCAAACTCAAATTGTCTGCTAAGTTTGAGTTCAATATTGATTTCAGTTTATTCTGGGAAATGCATTTTCCTGCGTTTTCTCAAATTTGAGTAAAAACTCAGACTTAAGTCAAAACTCAGACTTAAGTTTGTTTCGAGAACTCGGGGCCAGATGTATCATATCTAGTGATATTTTACCTCCTTTGTTCTAACCGCCTTGTTCCACGCCGCACAACTTAACATGAACAAGGGTAGTCAGTCGTGGAGCGGACGGGCACTAGGTATTCCACTGGTGCATGTCCCCGCTTGCACTACACAAAGGTCAGTGTCTTTTTTTAACAAAGCACCCCGTCCCATTTAGACTTTTGCAATTATTTTTTAAATGGCTACATTAATCATATTGAATAATGTGAGGACAATGAATCCGGACATATGAGAAAGAATATTTTTGGATCGGACGATGGACAAGCTCTTTGATGACGATGTCATCTCTAGGTATAGAATGCCAAGGACAGCTGTTTTTGACATTCTGAATGAAATAAGACCACATATTGAACGCTCCACTAAGCACCTCAATGCACACACGCCATTAACACAGCTATTATTAAAGCTTCGTTTTCTGAGCCAAGGAGTGGGGAGACTGGTGTTGTGACGGAGATTAGAGATCGAGTTTCTTATTCCATCGTATCAAAATCCTTCCACGGGATCATTGAGCAAAAATATGGAGACGAGAGAGAATCGCTTGACGGCAAGAACTAAATAACTTACATATTTCAGTACATTCTATATTTAAAGGCTGTAAGTGTATCCTCCCGCTATTTCCATGTAATGAGAGGACTCCAAATACTAAACCTGACATCTGACTAGATAATACAATATGAGATGTTCACGATATGCAATGAAATGCATTCTCTCTAAAGAAAATTCATATCCGAAATTTGTGCAAAATAGTTTAAGCCAAACTAAATCTGCCTTAATGTCTAAGTGAGATGGCAGTCACGAAGTGAAAGAAGCCGGTGCTTATCCTGCGTGGAAATGTCGCAGTGTAGTTGATCCAAATATATGGTGTCATCAAAACTTGAATCTCAGCAAACTTTTGTGACATTTAATGGACGCTGTTGTACTGATGCCGGGAGTAGGTGAGTTCACATTTATCAGTCACAGTGTAACTGGTTGTATTATGTCCTCATCGGGCCTGTGAGAAAGCTTCGACTACCATATGTGACTATTCCACAATGGAGGTGTGAACATTCCGGGTAACAATACTAAAACAGAAAAAATATCACAAAAGTCCATAAAAACTACTATAAAACAATACATAGGAAACTACTCAGGTGAAACGATCAAGTGTTATTTGTACAATTGGTTTTTTTTTATGTATAAACCTATATATATACATCGACATGTTACCGATTTACCGTAACATGACTGAAATTTATTTTCCCAGAATATTAAGGGCCCACAATCATTACATATGACAGTATCATATACTATGCAAGAAAGGAATACAAGAGTTGAAAGGTTGGATATATATGACGGAATTTTACTGATATTCATACAGAATGAATACCAAATATGAATTTCTCATGACTGAATGTGTCAGGAATGATTTGTGCCGGTAGAAACGCGACGCAGCCATGAACACTAACATGAAAGGAGCGTGCACCATGGAATGTTCATTGTATGTTGTCCATTTAGTGACTACACCTTACCACACTAAGCCGACCAGTGTTTCCAGGGAAATGTCTGTAGTTCTACTTCACTGTTAGTGACTCTCTGTCTCAAAACTAATACTGACCTACCTCCTGATTCATGAATCAAACACAACCTTCTTGCCATACATCTTACAGTAAATATACCACAGAGTAATATAGCCACCACCTAGCGCACATATAGACGCACACACGCACGCACATACATGCACGCACACACACACGCACGCACGCGCGCACACACGCACACACACAGACTCACATACATACACACTCACGCGCACATATATACTCACACACATGCACGCACATACGTGCACACACGCACATGGGGAACGGTGGGCGAGCTGGCTAAGGCGCCAGGATAGTGATCCAGCGAGGTTGAAGTGTCGGGATCGAGCCCACATGTGACTGCGTGTAAAAACCTTGGAGTCAACTTTGTGTGCAGATTCTTTCAGTGTTGTGCAAACTACTATGACTATGTGTCCCAGTCCACCCAGCTGTGAATTGGTACCTCGTTAGAATGAGCAAGCCATAATAACTCGTTGCGCCTAGTGGATGCAAGAGTTGTATATTCCCCATGGAGTTGAGATTCATAATACGATGTGCCATTGAGATTGACATCCAATGATCGAGGGAAAAAATATCAGCGCCTTGAGCATGCACTATAGTTGCCTGGATATGTGCGCTATATAAATATCCTATAATCCTATAATATACGCGCGTACATATACACGCATTCACACACACACGCACGTACATATACATGCATACACGCTCTCACACACGCACATATACATGCACTCTCACACACACTCACACACACTCACATATACACGCACTCACAAACACGCACACACACACGCACATATGCATGCACTCACACACACGCACGCACATATACATGCACACACGCATATATACACGCACTCACAAACACGCACATATGCATTCACCCACACACGCATATATACATGCACACACGCACTCTCACACGCACCCACATACACACACGCACACACATATGCATGCACTCGCACACAAACGTACATAACTGACACGGGGTTGTAGAGCGGCCCCCACTCGCTTATACTGAACTCAAAATTCACATAGTATGTCAATTTTAATGCAACTTAGGTGTTGTGTTCAATGTGGAGGTTTTCAGTGTGCGTGCGTGCGTGTGTGTGTGTGAATTGTGTTTTGTTTTTGTTCTTTCGTTTGTTTGTTTTTGTTTGTGTTTATGTCCAGTTCAGATTTTCTTTCTTTTTAAGAAACAACAGACGGCAAAGAAGATGGACATTGCCATCATTGGCGTGGGATGTCGATTTCCCGGGGCTTCCTGTCTCAGGGAATTCTGGAAAGTCTTGGTGAAGGGAGAAAACCACGTAACAGACATTCCGCCAGACAGATGGAACAAGGACAGTTTCTATGACCCGGATGTAACAGCCATGGGCAAGTTCTACTCTAAAAAAAGCGGGATTCATAAAGAAGTAAGTCTATAGCTTGTCTGTATGATCCTTCTACGAACCAAGATGATAGTAACTTTAAACGCGGAGCGAGTTCGTGGTTGTTGAGATATTCTCCTTGTTTTATTCGTAATCAAAATACAAATACAGAATCCAAATTTGTTAGCTTCTTTGATTAGCATTGAGTGTTTAAATTTTGTTATTCCAGTTATGCAGACTTTGACAACAAACTGTTCGGTATCAGCGAGAGCGAGGCTGCCCAGATTGACCCCCAGCAGCGCCAGGTGTTGGAGTGCACGTACATGGCGCTGGAGGACGCCGGCGTCACCAGACAACATATAGCAGGACAGAACGTCGGAGTCTACATAGGTAAGTCATGTAGCCATCACTCTGCAGGTAGATTACTAACATCGCATATTGCAACCCAGCTAACAAAACACCAGACGGGTATTTATACTTTAAAAGATAAGGAGCGCCACACTTTCAGGTTACATTCTGTTCTGGTAAAACATACTCCCAATATTTGTTGTTTAGTTAGACGAGATCATGAGGAATTGGAGGGAAATCCACACATGTTTTAATGGGCAGTGGGGTAGTCTTGAAGACACCATAACAAACAGTTCGATATATATAGGGGTAAAGACCCGTGCAGATCCGGGTTACAACTGATCTTCAGTAACACATGCTTGATGCTTGTCGTAAAAGGCGACTAACGGGATCGGGTTGTCAGGCTCACTGACTCACAACACACAGTTTAATATCCATAGGGGTAAAATGTGTGAAGCCCGTTCTATTCCCAGTTGTTGTGAGGTGCGGTCTTTTTCTAAAATGTGGAAATGTTTGAAGCCCATTTCTGGTGTCCCCCGCCGTGATGTTGCTGGAATATTACTAAAAGCGGCTTAAAACCAAACTCAGTCAGTCAGTCTAAAATGTGGAGTAAATCTAATCTCGCTCACTCTGAGAGGACACGAGTGATGACTGGTGTCTGTCTATAAGATACTCATTTACCTACCACCAGGTGCCATGAACAGCGACTTCACCGTGAGGATGACTGCCAACTCTCACGAGATCGACCACTACTCTGTTGCTGGTCTCGCAGGAAGTGTGTTAGCCAATCGTGTGTCCTACGTGTACAACCTGTCCGGACCCTCCATGGTAGTGGACACAGCCTGTTCCTCGTCTCTGGTGGCCATACACCAGGCAAGCCTGGCCCTCCGAGCAGGTGCGTGTACATCCCGTCTCAGTAATACTTCTGTTATATTTACAACTGGCTACCCCATATATCTTACATTCTCTTTTAAATATACCCATATGTTGGAATGCAAATGCAACGTATCAGTACATCTAGATGTCTACCTTTTCTCTGCCATGTAAAAGGTAGCTAAACAATATCTAGACATTTCATTTGTGTCTCACGCATCACAATCCTCATGTGTTGTCCAGGGGACTGTGAGATGGCGCTCTGTGGGGGCGTGAACCTGCTGCTGCACCCCACAGTGTTTGTCCCCCTCAGCAAGGCCCGGATGCTGTCCCCCAGTGGCCAGTGCCACGCCTTCTCCTCTAACGCAGACGGGTACACGAGGGGAGAGGGGTGTGGGATCGTCCTCCTCAAACCACTAGCACAGGTGAGCAAGTTTGGTATCGCGCTGCTTTCAGTTTATCAGGGCGTGTCTGCCTGATGTTGGATCATTTCTACCGGGATGAGACACGAGCACTAACACAGGAACATAATTTGCAAATGAAATCATACGTTTCTGCCACGCCTAAGGGACGCAACTCTGTATGGCGAATTGCGGCGTGTTTGAAGACTTGAGTATTCATGCCTCCAAGCTGAGGTACCCTACTCCAGTTTGTCTGGGTATTATCAACAGTAAGAACCAGAGTCTATATTGTGAAACCGAGTCACATAGTGAGATCAAACACTGTTTCATATTATGTATGTGTTATTTGGAATCAGATTAAGTGAGTAGTGTGTGTCCATGTTGAAGGCACTTCATGATGGTGACAACATTTGGGCGACGATATCTACTGGTGTAAACCAAGATGGTCGAGCGGCCCAGCCCATCACAGCGCCATCTGGTAGCCAGCAGCTTCAGCTGCTCCAAGACCTCTACAGGGCGCATGATGTTGACCCTTACGCCGTCGAATACATTGAGGCCCACGGTAAGTCTTTGTGTGTTTGTGTTACACTATATTCTCATGGCGTTCGTTTATCTGTCAATGATCAGTGTACAGATACAGATTAGATACATAGTATGTATTCCTGAAAATATAACAGTTGATTTAATGTTTAAGGCCACTAAATTGCAATAATTTCGGAGGTTCAAATAGTCAGCTCCGAATCAATCTGATCTGATTATGTTTCACAGGTACTGGCACCAAACTAGGCGACCCTATCGAGGTCAACGCGTTTGGAGAATTCTTTACCTCTGATGGGAATCCAAGAACACGTTACCTGGGTTCTGTAAAGACCAACATCGGCCACCTGGAACCAGCAGCAGGGGTGGCTGGTCTTATCAAGGTCCTGCTAATGATGAAACACAACACAGTCGTACCATCTCTTCACTTCGACAAGCCAAACGAACATATAGACTTTGAAAAGTTTCGGTTTATCATTCCACAAGAACCTTCACAATGGACATCAGTTGCGAAAGTAGCTTGCCTCAATTCATTTGGTTTTGGCGGAACTAATAGTCATGCAGTTTTACATAGTTACAATAAACCACCACGTGCCAGCAGGCCCATCTTGGGGGCTTCACATATTGTATGTTTTTCAGGCAGCACCTCAGAGTCACTGAAGAAAAGTCTTGAGAACTTTCTTTCTTGTGATGATCTCACAGACGATGACCTGCCAGCATTGTCCTACACATCGACAGTCAGAAGGGAACATTTCCCGCATAGAAAGGCATTTGTTGTGAAGACTATTAGTGACTTGAAACAGCAAGCACAAATAATACTGAAGAGCAGAGACGTCCTTGACATTAACGCAAGCAAGTTGAAGATCATCTTCGTCTTTTGTGGGATGGGCACTGCTTGGCCAGGTATGTGTGATGGCTTCATGAAAAACAACAAAACTTTCAGCAAAACAATCAACATGATTAATGCGTCTTTGCAAAGATTCGTCTCCTGGTCATTGACAGAGAGGCTCAGAAACGGTTATGACGTACAAGAACCTCATTTCGGCCCAATCGCCATATTTGCTTGTCAGGTCGCTCTTGCCAAACAGTGGGAGTCCTGGGGAGTAAGCCCAGCCGCTGTTGTCGGTCAGTCAGTAGGGGAGGTGGCTGCAGCACACGTTGCTGGTATCCTGTCACTGGATGAAGCTGTGAGGGTCATCTTTCACAGGACACGAATCCTGGCTGAAGCCACAGGAGGTAAGATGGTTCTTGTCAGAAACCTTAAGACAGAGAAGGTACAAGACATTTGTGAAGAAGTTGCAAGCGTGAATATTGCAATTCGTTACAGCCCTGTGTCGTGTACAGTTAGTGGTGACTCTGCTGCCGTGGATGAGGTGAAGTCACGTCTTCAGTTGTCTCACAGTGATCTTATGATGACTGATCTCCCTGTCAGTGCCGCATACCACAGCCACCACATGGACCGATGCAAGCTGCAGTTAGACAACATACTTGCAGACCTGAAACCCTTACCAGCGAGAATACCTATGATGTCAACAGCTGCTTCTCACTCCACAGAGGAAGATGTCACATCATCTGAATACTGGGGTACGAATGTTCGAAATCCTGTTCAGTTTGCTTCAGGAATACAAAATTCTACCTCTGACAATCATCTCAATGCATTTATAGAAATTGGTCCAAAGCCAGTATTGAAAGCTCACATGGGTGACATTTTTCAGGAAAGTACATCATCGTGCATATGCCTTCCTTCCTTGACAGTCAAGTTTAGAGAAAAGACGATCCTGGGGACCCTCTCCGAGCTGTACCAGATGGCCATGAACATAAACTGGCAGGAGCTGTTTAACCACACAGAACCCCCAACACCAGTCCCGAGTTATGCCTTCTTTCACAAGCACCTAATGATCTTGCCTCCTATTACAGAGGAAGAAGTGTTTGGATCTAATGGAAACTCTGGAAGTCATCTCTTTGTAAAACTGTCACCTTCCACAGCCAAGTGCATACTGAACATCAGACCATCTACCTTTGGAACTGTCTATGAACACAAGGTCAAGGACATTATTGTCGTCCCAGGAGCAACCTATGTGGAAGCGGGGTTTGGAATCGCAAGATCAATGAATATTGCTGATGTTAGACATCTAGTGGTATCTGTCAGCTTTCTGAATCCAGTAACTCTGAAAAAAGACATGTCTGTTCAATTGGATGCTGATATTGAGGATCAAAGCCAAACTACAAATGACTGCACCAAAGAATTCACCATCCAAAGTACAGGTGATGTCATTGCAAAGGGGAGAATATGGGCGTGTCACGGTGAACTTCAAGAGGAACGGATGGACATAGAGGCCATAGAGGAGAGATGTACCCAAACAATCACCGGCGAAGAAGTGTATCAAATTCTGCAATATTCTGGATTTACATATGGAACTAACTTTGCAACCATACAATATGCATCAAGGGGGAAATCTGAGAGTCTCACAAGCTTAGCAGTCGGACAAAAGCTGAGAGAGGAGATGACCAACACTGTTATTCATCCTGCAATACTCGATGGAATGCTGCAGTCGGCAGCTGCATTCGACATGCAAGAAAGGGAATTTCTCCCAGTCGAGCTCAAGAATGTAATCGTCAGACATTCAATGGAAACAGAAATGTTTGTTTATACAAGAATGACAGACAGCAACGGTTCCCACACATCCTTTACCTTAACACTTCTTTCACCCAATGGAACAATCATAGCAAATGTTGAAAGATTCACAACAAAATTTATAGGGTCAGATACTTTTGATATTCACAAAGCGACATTCAAAACAAGCTTGGTTTTGTTGGATTCTTTTGACGTCTCACAGAACAGTGTTGATACTGGAACTGTCATCTTCACCAACGTAGATCTAACCAGTTTAGAACTAGCTTGTGTCATACATGAATTGGATCACATGGGTGTTGAAGGCACAAGACACGCTCTTGACTCTGTCATACACAACATCAAGCAAATCTGTTTCGTCTTTGCGGTAACTGACCTCCAAACTGACAGAGGAAAACCCTGCAAAAGAACTCACAAGTAGGATTATGTCCTTGAGACTCATTGCCCTTTACCTAGCCAGTAGAGGAGTGTCTATTCCTCTGGTGATAATTTCAGAAATACAAAACAGTGGAGAAAATGTTGCAAGTGGCTGTCTCAGTGAAGCTGTCAAAGGTTTCATCAGGTGTGTCTTAAGGGAGTACAGATCTCTTCACATTCAGCTTGTGGATGTTCTAGTTGACAATGACAGGAACTTCTTAGAAAGGCTTCCAGGGATATTATCACAATGCAGATCTGAAGATTTCAAAAGGTACCCTGAGATAGGTCTCCACAATGATAAAGTCTACATGCACACAATTCTGTCACACCCAAGCCTGCAACCACTGTTTCGATCAGTTACAATGGATGAACGCTCTGAGGGTATGCTCTGCACAAGATCAAAGACATCAATAGTCAGTCCGTTTTTCTACCCCAAACAAAAGACAGCTACATCCATGAAAGATATGAGTGATATAGTGGTGACTTCTGTGGTTGTGCATAGCCCCATGCTGCATGGACTTCGCAGTGGGTGCCCTGCAGGATCCACGGCCAATATACACCCAATTCTGTGTCTTGAAACAAATGGTAAATTGTCAGTCGGATCCAGACGTAGCCATCCTGATGTAATAACCCTCTTTCCTTCAAATGTTTGCAAGACTATCCAGGTTCCAAAGTGCTGCACCATAGACGTAGAACAGGTGCCTGGTTATGTTCCGGGTCATCTTACTATACTGTATCTGATGTGGAGTTTGTCCATTAATACAGCAAGGAACAATGTAGTCATTTTGTACACAAACAGCACTAAGCCATTTGCAAATGCAATGTCACATTTGTTTCTTTCACAAGGGACAAAGAATGTGTCATTAGTCAAGCCAAACGATACTGTACAGCAAAGAAGTGACTCTGTAACTTTGATTTCGACAGTTTTATTGACAGAAGTGGAAGCCAAAAGACTCTTGACATCGTTCACAAATGTACAGAAAATAATTTGCTTTGAACCTATCACTAGACGATCTGTCCTGGAGTACCTACTTGGAGCTTTGCAAAACCTGCAACTTCATGTCATACGATCATTTGAAATATTTTCTCCAAGGGTAATGACTGCAACAGTACCCAAAATGATTAAATGGATAAAATCCCACAGTAAGACGGTGCTCAAAATATGTCACAGCTTCAGTGACATCGTGGTATCAAAGCAACAAGAAACAACCACCCCACTTAACATTTCAGAAGTTCTTAATAGCACCGTGTTGTCCTTGTCTTCAGATAGCAACTTGGACATGAATTCTATGATGACACCAAGTTCCCACCTGTTCCAGCAGACAGGTTCCTATCTGGTTGTGGGAGGTCTCACAGGACTGGGATGGGAATGTGTGACATTCCTTGCAGCAAGAGGAGCTGGATGTGTGGTCATTCTGAGTAGACGTAAGCCTAATCCTGAACGACAAGCAGATATGGACCATCTATCTCAGCAACATAACTGCTACGTAACATCCATTCAAGCTGACGTCACAGTCTACAAGGATCTGGAATCAGCTATATCAAAGGTAAAGACACATTTGAAACCTCTCAAGGGTGTATTCTACGGTGCAGCTGTTTTACAGGATGCTTCCCTCTCTGAGATGACAAAGGAAAAACTCGTCACAGCTATGTCTCCAAAGGTAACAGGTGCTTGGAATCTTCATATCCTGACTGCAGATCTTCCTCTTGATTTCTTTGTCCTGCATTCTTCTGGTGCAGCTGTTCTGGGGAATGCTGGTCAGTCAAACTATGGAGCTGGTAATGGATTCTTGGACGGATTGGCAGTGTACAGGAGGCAGCGTGGAAAGAGTGGCCAGAGCATCAATTGGGGACCTCTCGACCTTGGGATGCTAGAGAACAAGGGATCTGTTCTGAGGAAGTTGGAGAGTCAAGGATACATGGTCATTGGTAGGAAGGACATAAGTCAGTGCCTGTCACACATGCTAATGCTGAACGAGCCCCAAGCCTTGATGTGTAGAATAGACAGACAGAAAATGGCAGAACAATTACAGAGGGATAAGGAAACAACCCTAATGGTACGACTTAAGACATATTTGGAACCTGCCATGAAGATCATAAATCAAAAGGCAACATCGGAAGGGGGCAAATGTTCTTTCAGTGTTGACAGACTACAGACTTGCACAGAGGAGGAGGGGCTGCAGATGTTGCGGGAATATGTAAAACAGCTTGTGTGTGATAAGGCTTTGTTGGATATAAAGAGTTTTCAGCTGGACGCCAACATGAAGGATCAAGGGGTGGACTCAATGTATGCCATGGAAATTACAGGCGGAATCTTGTCAGACATTGGAGTAAAGCTGTCCACTCACGAAATCCAGCTACAATCAACATGCAGCATTGCCAGAAGAATACTGGACTTACTGTCAGGTAAAGGGGAGGAACAGACGCAAGCCTATGACATGGAGTCCGTCATAACTAAACAAGCAATAAGCATGTCAATTGCAAGGTCAGTTTGTGGACTGAAGACAAACTGTGATCACAACATGGGTTTTGTAATCGTCAGTACCATTTCTGTACCAGATGTGGTAAATATATCAACATTGATAGCTGTGGCAAAAGAGTGTGTGTCGCGCCATCAGGTCACAAGAACCTCTTACATTCTTAGCCATGACAAAGTCTCCACAAACATGTTGCCTCTGGAGGATGCCTTGGACTTCCGTGTACTGTCCGGAGAAGACCTGTCCGAGGTCAGGAAACACACAGAGGAGCCAATGCATCTTCAGCACAAGAGCCCTTTACGATTCATATTTCTTACAAGGTCCCTACAGCTCAGAATGATTTTCCACAGACTTGCATTTGATTTGAAAGCCATCACAATCTTTGTGAAGGAACTTGAAAGCATGGCCAATGCAGCACAGCTGGGTAAACCCCTGGAAGATGTTGTAACTGATCTAGATGAGGATATTGCGAAGGAAATCCAGAAAGTTCTTGCTCCGGACTTCAAGAGAGTAAACCAGTTTTGGAAGACAAAGACAAAGTACATACCTTACAACAGTCTATCGAAAGGGTCAGTTATACACAACGTACAAACTGGTCACATCTTCCTCACAAGACCAGTAAACAATCACCTGTACACAAAAATCATGAAATACGTAAAGGACAGAGGCCTCACTCCTTTTGATTATCTTGCTAGTATCTACCAGCTGTTTCTTGCCTTTGTCAGCAGCAAAACAACATCAACCATCACGACCTCTGTTGACCTTCGTGGCCTGGTTCCTGCTCTGACTAGAACGCTGGGGAGATGCACGAACTTCATTCCCCTGATCTGCCAAATACCAGAGGACACCACTACAGTGGAAGAGTTCCTGAAGCTTAACAAGAAGACTATACAACACTTCACCCAGTATGCAATATATCCGTCAGAAGAAATCAAAAAGCTGGTTCCCGAGGACCAAAACCTTGGTACAAACTACTTCATATATGAAACTGATATCATCACCAATACATCTAACCAGTTGACAATAGACATGCCAGTCATCTTTGATTCCTCCACTGAAACATTCATGTACATTTGGCAGAGGAAGGAGACGAGGCTCATGGAGATGAGATTTCATCTCAGGAAGGATCTGTTCACTGTCTCCAGGGCAGAGGTCCTTGTCAAGGCATTCCTAGGTCTAGTGGAAGATTCTTTGAACTTCCCTGGATCAACTGTAGGGCATCTAAGACAACAAAAGTACATGACCTTGGACGAAAGGAGTTCCAAGAAACATGTCCTATCAGCATTGTGCTCTCTGATGTAGCGCTGTAACATCCACCTCTGGTGGTGCACGATTAACTTGGTCTTCCATCATTGTGCTCTCTGATGTAGCCCTATAACATCCACCTCTGGTGGTGCACGATTAACATGGTCTTCCATCAGTGTGCTCTCTGATGTAGTGCTGTAACATCCACCTCTGGTGGTGCACGATTAACATGTCCTATCAGCATTGTGCTCTCTGATGTAGCACTGTAACATCCAGCTCTGGTGGTGCACAATTACCGTAACATGGTTTTCCATCAGTGTGCTCTCTGATGTAGCTCTATAACATCCACCTCTGGTGGTGCACGATTAACATGGTCTTCCATCAGTGTGCTCTCTGATGTAGCCCTAAAACATCCACCTCTGGTGGTGCGAGATTAACATGGTTTTCCATCAGTGTGCTCTCTGCTGTGGTGCTGTAACATCCACCTCTGGTGGTGCACGATTAACATGGTCTTCCATCAGTGTGCTCTCTGATGTAGCACTGTAACATCCACCTCTGGTGGTGCACGATTAACATGGTCTTCCATCAGTGTGCTCTCTGATGTAGCACTATAACATCCACCTCTGGTGGTGCACGATTAACATGGTCTTCCATCAGTGTGCTCTCTGATGTAGCTCTGTAACATCCACCTCTGGTGGTGCACGATTAACATGGTCTTCCATCAGTGTGCTCTCTGATGTAGCACTGTAACATCCACCTCTGGTGGTGCACGATTAACATGGTCTTCCATCAGTGTGCTCTCTGATGTAGCTCTGTAACATCCACCTCTGGTGGTGCACGATGGTCTTTAACATGGTCTTCCATCAGTGTGCTCTCTGATGTAGCACTATAACATCCACCTCTGGTGGTGCACGATTAACATGGTCTTCCATCAGTGTGCTCTCTCATGTAGCTCTGTAACATCCACCTCTGGTGGTGCACGATTAATTTGGTCTTCCATCAGTGTGCTCTCTGATGTAGCTCTGTAACATCTATGTCTGTCCACGAAAATAGTTTTTTCAGAGTACTTTTTTATATATATCTAGAAACAATATGGGGATGAATATATTACAGCAACATTTTGATACTGTCTATATCTTACTCAATTTAAGGAACTACTCAATCCGTGGATCACATCAAAACAAATCACAATGGAACCACAAAACAAACTATACCTTTTTATATTTCGTTATGGCTCTACAATAGTTATCTTGAAACAGTTCAAGCTGCTTGTTTCTGTTGATATCCCAATCCTTGTGTACAGGAAATGCAGTCTTAAAGCATCAACACAGTGTCTAGAGTTAGACATCATTTACTATGGCATGGGTGAATATATTTGACATGAAAAGATTCATTGTGGTAGATGATGAAAAGTACTGTCTTCTGACAACATACCGGGACATGTGAGACAACCTGGAACAGGTCTGTATGCGCAGACAGTAATTGTGTAGAGAAGAGAACTGAATAGAAGGTGCAGAGATGACAGCACAATACAATTGGTTGTGAATGTGGAAATGTGGGTTTAGTATTATGCCAATGTGGATATATATTGATGATGTACATGACTTGCCACTACCTATTGAACATCCAATATACACCATTTCAAACTCTGGTAAACCGGAAACCTGTTGTCAACACCTGTACTGTTGGGACCGTCTTCGTGTAATATGGCCAATGTACCATTGATTTGTGAATCCAGGTATTCATTAATTTGGACATTCTCTGAGAAGTAACAGCCTGAATTAAACAATAACTCGTAGTTGGTATTACCTTGTATTTACCGGCTAAACTTACGTCCGTTACACCTGCAATAGATGTTTACCTGTAATCAGTGGCTGGGTGAAAATATCCACAGCACTGTGTTTTGTTGTGTGTAACAGCAATCTAACACACACTTGACCATGATGGTCAACAATCTATGCCTCAATAAATCAGTCATTCTGTGAGTAGTTGTTTTGTCTTGTTTAGCCCATATTCTACTTCAACTAGCCTGGGAGATCATGTGATAACCAGCAATCCCTCATGTCCCGCCATAGACTAATGCTTATGCTCTGAATATATAATTTTGATAGTAACAAATAAACCCATTTAATTGAAAAGGAGCCCCAGGGAGATCAGAGATTCAGAACCTGAGGAAATCTAGATTTGCTTCATTTAGGGCTTTAGCACTGCAGCACTAGTCCAGCCAATCAACCCTCTTATAACCAGAGTTATTCTAAAATCTAAGTAGGGGCTTGAGATGGATTTACAATATTTCAAACATTAGACTACCAATCCACACAAGGACGAGTAACAAGTAATGTATTACTGCTGCAGTCAGCAATATTTACACACACACATCTCTGCAGTCTCTGCTAAGTCTTTTAGCACAATTTGATGCACTTGTTTGTAACTGATCAACACAGCTTTATAAAATAACAGGACACCAAGGTATGTTACTACACATGAAATCCACCCTGCTTTGCTTGTGTTATGAGTGGACACACTATCCTCTGGCCTACCTCCCAGCCTCTCACAGAACATCAACACAACATTTATTTACAAAAACATTCACTTTATTTCTCATTCATACATGTCTGAATACAACTCCTGCCCAATACGTATATACTCGTCCTTCTCCGCTGGGGTCATCTGTTCCACCATGTCGGGTGTCACTTCCTGGTATGGCACCTTGCGGATACCAACTGTTACCATGGGAACACTCTCTTCTTCATCATCACTCTCCATTTCTTCAACAACTGTGTAACACAAAACATCTTCAGAAAATAATCAGAGTTATAATGTATACTTAGGTATCTTATGTACATATCTAATGTAGGTAAAAATAAAAGAACATTTACTTCTCAAGTAATTACCGTAAGTTGGCATTGATTTCAGTGTGGTATCACAGTTTGTAGAGTCAAGGTTAAATAAGGGAGTGTGACAAGTGGAGAAACAATGTTACCAAGCAAGGAAACAAGTTACCACACCAAGGTGATCGATGAAGGGTTGTCCTGTTTTTCACACCATATAAGGTGCACACCTATCGTAATGAAGGAGTGCCCTGAGTTATATCTCCCCTGTTTATCACCATATAAGGTGCACCTATCCCGTAATGAAGGAGATGTATATCTCCCCTGTTTATCACACCATATAAGGTGCACCTATCGTAATGAAGGAGATGTATATCTCCCCTGTTTATCACACCATATAAGGTGCACCTATCGTAATGAAGGAGGTGTATGTATATCTCCCCTGTTTATCACACCATATAAGGTGCACCTATCGTAATGAAGGAGTTGTATATCTCCCTGTTTATCACACCATATAAGGTGCACCTATCGTAATGAAGGAGATGTATATCTCCCCTGTTTATCACACCATATAAGGTGCACCTATCGTAATGAAGGAGTTGTATATCTCCCCTGTTTATCACACCATATAAGGTGCACCTATCTGTTTATCACACCATATAAGGTGCACCTAAATGAAGGAGTTGTATATCTCCCCTGTTTATCACACCCTTTATCGTAATGAAGGAGTTGTATATCTCCCACCATATAAGGTGCACCTATCGTAATGAAGGAGTTGTATATCTCCCCCCTGTTTATCACCTACCATATAAGGTGCACCTATCGTAATGAGAAGGAGTTGTATATCTCCCCTGTTTATCACACCATATAAGGTGCACCTATCGTAATCGTAATGAAGGAGTTGTATATCTCCCTGTTTATCACACCATATAAGGTGCACCTATCATAATGAAGGAGTTGTATATCTCCCTGTTTATCACACCATATAAGGTGCACCTATCGTAATGAGGGAGTTGTATATATCCCCTGTTTATCACACCATATAAGGTGCACCTATCATAATGAAGGAGTTGTATATCTCCCCTGTTTATCACACCATATAAGGTGCACCTATCGTAATGAAGGAGTTGTATATCTCCCCTGTTTATCACACCCACACCATATAAGGTGCACCCTATCGTAATGAAGGAGTTGTATATCTCCCTGTTTATCACACCATATAAGGTGCACCTATCGTAATGAAGGAGTTGTATATCTCCCCTGTTTATCACACCATATAAGGTGCACCTATCGTAATGAAGGAGTTGTATATCTCCCTGTTTATCACACCATATAAGGTGCACCTATCGTAATGAAGGAGTTGTATATCTCCCCTGTTTATCTGTTTATCACACCATATAAGGTGCACCTATCGTAATGAAGGAGTTGTATATCTCCCGTTTATCACACCATATAAGGTGCACCTATCGTAATGAAGGAGTTGTATATCTCCCCTGTTTATCACACCATATAAGGTGCACCTATCGTAATGAAGGAGTTGTATATCTCCCCTGTTTATCACACCATATAAGGTGCACCTATCGTAATGAAGGAGTTGTATATCTCCCCTGTTTATCACACCATATAAGGTGCACCTATCGTAATGAACACCTGTTTATCACACCATATAAGGTGCACCTATCGTAATGAAGGAGTTGTATATCTCCCCTGTTTATCACACCATATAAGGTGCACCTATCGTAATGAAGGAGTTGTATATCTCCCGTTTATCACACCATATAAGGTGCACCTATCGTAATGAAGGAGTTGTATATCTCCCCTGTTTATCACACCATATAAGGTGCACCTATCGTAATGAAGGAGTTGTATATCTCCCCTGTTTATCACACCATATAAGGTGCACCTATCGTAATGAAGGAGTTGTATATCTCCCCTGTTATCACACCATATAAGGTATCACACCATATAAGGTATCACACCATATAAGGTATCACACCAACTTCTAAATGGCAATTAAAGAAGTCATCAAATTTTCAGTTCAAGTAGAACTAAGAATTCAACTGAGATAATTATGGGGATGCTAAGACGAAACAATTAACAGGGCACAGCTAGATTGTTTACCCTATAAAGACATAACATTGTGATTTGGAATAGGAAATAATCAGCTCCTCTAGTTTTTAGGCCTGAAACAATTCAGTTCAATCGAAAATCGAATCTGACACCTTAGTTTCGATTTTTGCTAACCATTATCACTATTTCGATTCGATATTTGAGTGCTGTTCTGTGTTCGATATTTGAGTGCTGTTCTGTGTTCGATATTTGAGTGCTGTTCTGTGTTTAAACATCATGTTTGAAAAAGGTTACGTCATTTACATTCCTGATTTCCTAGTCAAATCTTGGAAAAAGTTTTCAGTGTGATGATTTGTTTAATAAACTCTGAGAGTTAAATGAAATCTGATGATTTTACTTGTATGAAGAATCGAATCGAAAATGATCGAATCGATGGTCCAATATCAAAAATCGAATCGAGGTCTGGGTGAATCATTGCAACCCTACTAGTTTGGGATCTTGTACTTTCTCAATGCATCACATGTTTGACATTACTTTATTCCTCCTTGATGAATATGTTGAAAATTATTTCACAATTATGATTATCATTACTTTTCCAAAAATGTTTCTTTAACATACTGCACAAGACATCCTACTTGAAAGACGCTCCACAAACAAGCTTTGTTTGTAAGGAGCTATCCTTTAAACAGAAACAGGAGTTACCAGTTTATTAACAGCTGTAAGACTTAGATATATGAGAAAAGAATATCTTTCCTGCACCAGAGACATTACAACATTACTCCAGCATGAGGTAAATGCTGGAAAGCTTTCTTGATGCAGTGGCAGATAACAGAAACACAGCAACAAACCTCCATGTGATGGACCAGGTTTGGGGGCTTCATCTTCTGATGAACTGCTGGAGTTTTCTTCCGCTCTGTCTGTGGGGATCCGAAGTCTGGCACCAGGCTTGGATTGCTCGTGAACCAGCAGGGCGTTCATCACCTCGTCATTGGCGTTCACCTGAGACAAGTCCTGAGATGGTCCAGCCTCGTAAGCACTCTCCATCTAAAGAATGGAAAAAGTTGACATTACCATGTTGAGATTGTACTGCTTTCAGTAATATTGCAGGAAAAAGATGACAGCCTGTCAGTAATCTGGTCAGGGCAGCCATTGATGTTAGTCCATGTGATCTGGGTATTCTGACATTTAGTCACATCTTATGATCAACATTAGTTACTAGGGACCTTTCATTACTTACTGCACTGTATGGTGAAACCACAACCACAGGTACAGTGAAACCACAGCCATGGGTACAGTGAAACCACTACTACAGGTACAGTGAAACCACAACCATGGGTACAGTGAAACCACTACTATAGGTACAGTGAAACCACAACCATGGGAATGGTATAACCACAACCACAGGTACAGTGAAACCACTACTATAGGTACAGTGAAACCACAACCATGGGAATGGTATAAGCACAACCACGGGTACAGTGAAACCACAACCATGGGAATGGTATAAGCACAACCACGGGTACAGTGAAACCACTACTATAGGTACAGTGAAACCACAACCACAGGTACAGTGAAACCACAACCATGGGTACAGTGAAACCACAACCACAGGTACAGTGAAACCACAACCACAGGTACAGTGAAACCACTACTATAGGTACAGTGAAACCACAACCACAGGTACAGTGAAACCACAACCACAGGTACAGTGAAACCACTACCATGGATGCAATATGAAGGAACAATATCAAGGCAACGTTCAGTACTGCCGATAGGCACACCTGATGAAACCAGGTTGAGTCACACTGAGGCAGTCTCACACTCTAGCCACTGGAATGAAGCCTGTGTCCAGCAAAATACAGATCAGTCTGGCAAGCTCATCAATACAAGACCATATATTACCACTAAATCATAAAAAGGATATATGCAGGGAGACACAGAGGTTTTGGGTGCACACTGCTAAGGTACTAAATGGCAGGAAAACAATCAAACAAGCAAAATGTTTACATTTCAGGAAAGTGAGTGAGTTGAGTTTTATGCCGCACTCAGCAATAGTTCAGCTATAAGGCGGGGATCAGTAAAGAATCGAGTCTGGACCAGACAATTCAGTGATCAACAGCATGAGCATTGGTCTGCGCAATTGGGAACCGATGAAATATGTCAACCAAGTCAGCGAGCCTGACCACCCGATCCCGACAGTTGCCTCTGACGACAAGCATTGGTTACTGAAGGCACATTCTAACCCGGACCTTTACGGGTACATTTCAGGAAAGGGACTCTAAACAATTGACTGCAAAATGTTTGGTGAATAAATAACAATTGCTTGTTTATTACCCTTCACAGCACAAGCTTCCCAGAACCAGTAATTCATTACTTGTTTATTACCCTTCACAGCAATACAAACTTCCCAGAACCAGTAATTCATTTCATGAGAAAAGGTAAGGAATGCAAATTCAACATGTTGAACGACTACATCAAGGGTTCAGTGATAAATATCTAGTGATGATGTTACCTGTGAGTCGATGACTGTGGCGCCCTCTACAGTGCTCTTGGACATCCATTCAGGCACCTCTTTCTTCTGTACTGTCGCATTCTTTTCATCCTCGTCCATGCTGATGGTGATGCTGTTGTCTGTGTAGCCAAAGCGGTTGTTCCGAGACAGTTCCCCACTCCAGACCATTTTTTCCGCATCTACGTTGGTCCTGTTCTTGTCACTTGGTGCCCTGCGGATCATGCACAGAAATAACATGAGCCTTACAGTACCTCACAGAACTATGTTAGACACTTTCCTCAACAACTTGAAATCGTTCTAAACTAAGCTCAATACAACATGATGACCAATAATAACACTCCCAAACTACTCACTAATAGTCTCCATGTCCCACACCATGCTCACTGTTTACCACTACTGCTACTGATCTTCCAGGTTGCTAATGCAGAGCACGATTCGTATTGGCTTCAAACATTTGGTTAATCTTTAGATACATGAAAAAGATTGTTACATAACAAATACTTGTTGTTTTTTTCTCAACATGCTCAATTCATTAATATTAACATAAAGGAAGGAATATTGTGTATCCGTGGCATGTGAAGACATCTGATTTACACTGTATTCCACACTCATTGTTATCCTTCAGCAGCAGGAGTCATAGTTTATCATGTTCACACACAAAACCATTGCTGCAAACAAAGTGATGATATATTGACTTCAGTCTTTAATCATTATCAACAGTATGACCAAACATCAACAAGGAATGATTGACACACAACATACCTTGGTAATAATTTCTTGATGTCAATAGGTTCCCGGTTCTAAGATTTCAGGAGCAAGTTTGATATCCTCACAATCCCGTAATAAGTCATAAATAACCTGAATCTGTTCATTAAATTTGGCCATGGTTGTGCGAGCATCCTTCTTTGGCATGGAGCTCTCATCCTCCTCCACTTCAGTGTGGCAGTAGGTGCACTGTAAGGAGCCTGTCATTGGGTCTACAAGCTGCCCAACCTCCAGATCCGTGTATGACTTCAAACAGTTTGGACATTTAAATGAGGCACGACTTGTGTTATCCCGTTCCTCAAGCTCAATCTTTCTCCTCATGTGATCAAGCTTATATTTCACCACATTCACAAAAACATTATAGTTGATGAAATAATAATTGTGTCTTGTTGTCTTTCCTTCTGTATCAGTCTCTACCCTCATTCTCACTTTCAGTATCTTGTCTACTTTCAAGGAGTTGATGATTGCTCGAAGTTGTTTCCTCTCAAATTTGAGCAACTCTAACATATCATCCTCCTTGATACAGGGATTCCGGACGAGCATGTCAATAACTATGGCTGTTTCAACAGTGTAGAACCCTCGCACAATCAGCCGGATCAGTCGCTTGAGGGAGTCAGGAACTTCAGTTGCTACGTCAGTTTCCATTGTGGAGCGCTTTGTACTCTATAAAAGACATTAAAATTACTCATTCAATGACTATGAACAACTGACAAACAAATTATTGGTTAGACAGACAAGTGTTTCAGACATAACACTTGATGTTTACCGTTTTGTTTCACATTTAACATTTTCTTTGCTGAAAGTTGGGTGATCTATGTCAATTTGGGGAATTTTATTGTGTTATTATGTTGGAATTTAATAGCTTACAAGTGTTTCCATTGAAGATTAATTTGCATTGTATATATTCACAAACATGATAATCTAACATATTTGTCATATATATATTCCATTTTGTTTCAGGTGGTTTTGTTTGACTGGGCAGTGCCTGCGTTTCCACCACAGCTTGTGTCGACAGATTAGAGTTAGTTGCTGAGATTGGATGCAATGCTTTATTATTTGTATCAAGAATATTATAACACATTTTATTGGATAACAACTTCATTTTCTTCTTTGAAAATATGTTTAGAGATACCTCTTACCCCTTCATCAGAAATACACTGAGGAAGTTGCAAATAGTAATTTAATACATTGTACCTGTGTGTGGAATCGAATCTGCCGTATGATGAGTAAACACTTTAACCACTGAGCTACCTCACTGCCCCAAGTTGCAAATCACGGAAGAGGCCTTATTATAGGGAAGACCACAGTGACATCAGTGTTTTGATCACGTGATGCGTCCGAGTACTTCCGGTAGGCAGAAGGTAAACATAAACAGGAGAGAACCACACAAGCTGCACTCATTTGATTGTCGACTTTACATACGTAACAACTCTTCCCGGTCTGTTTTTTTGGCTTGACACTCAGTGCATCTTCAATCACCAGAATTGTCCTTGTGACGGGATTTTACGGGATTTTGAATCAACTTAGAAAATGTATCAATGGTCGTTTTCCAACTCGTGCCTATTTTACCTCCATGAGTGCCATGCCCTACGTGCTTTCCTGCAAGTTTGGGCACACCCTTACGCGTCACCCACGGCTGTCAACAATGTCAGTGTGGGAAGGTTTATCCAACAAAATCATTATAAACTCGATAAATATGATAATTTTGTTACAAAGACAATAACATTTACCTGATCAGACCAACGAAAACAGTTGGATCTATCAAAAGGATGGCACATTTTTTCCGGTATCACGATGCATGTGGAGTTGTTTGCTTACCACCGTTGCCATGATCGTTCGTAACATTGAGATTGTTTTTGTTTATAAATAATTAAACCGAAAGTTACTAAGTTTTAGGAAATGGGAAACTTCAGTGTTTTCTCTTGACCAAAGAACAAAAATACTGATCAAATTATTAAAAAAAATATTTCATTATGACGAAAATATTAGACAGGGTACCACTCGACGTGATGTGCCGACCTTTCGTTTTAAGGTACATAAACTAATTGAAGATTATATATTTAGAAACCTGAGAATTAATTCATTCCATACATGATTCAAATGACATGTAAATCCGACTTGTTGAATAATTATTGCAAGTTTTATTTGGGGATGTCATTATGCTGCTCTCCTGTCGAATGGGTTCGACAGTAGCATTGAGAGGATTAAGTACATAATCCGATCATTGTTTGCTTTTTACGCTACACCGGTTCTCATTGTTATCGTCAGCCATTGTTGCTTTCTGCCTACCGGAACACGAGTGAGCGTAGTTTGTGAGGTCACTTCCGTAAACATATGGACTTTCCTATACAATTTGAGAAACAGGAACTAGGAAAGATTATATAAGCTTCCTGAACTCATAAATAGTGCTCAAATGGCAATCCTGGGGAAAATAATAAATCGGCCACAAAATCTTACACAAATAGTTCTACAACGTTCGTTGGGAACAGCCAACATAAGTGTTCAGTGACAAGAGGTTTTTTTCCCTAACATAGATGTTATGGTGACCCGACACGAGTTGATGGTACCAAACATTGTCAAATTTCTATCAGTATCAGTTCCAGCTCATCCTCGATAATCTCCAAGTTATAAGTTACGATCACTCTCCACTATACCCTGGATGCATCTATGGCTTGGGGCGATGATTTTATTACCTCCCTTTGCTGGCGTTTTATCCAGTCAGGTGCCTACGCTGGGAAGTTGAGCATACCAATCACTACTCACTTTCATGTCTTAAATTATCTAACCGTTTAGACTTGGCAACACAATTGATGCAGAGGTACTCTGAAAGAAGTAGAAGGAGTTCTTTCATATATTCTTTTTAAAGTTTCAGATCTGTGATTTTGTCTTTATTATTTCCCCAAAAATCTGAGTGGCACTGCGAACAAACCTTTGCAACTGCGACCGCAATCTTTGTTGACACTGGCAAGCTTGGTTGTAACGGCGGCTTAGCTGATTGGTTACTGTGAAAATGCGGAGCCAGCCAAGGGAGGTAATAAAATCATGCATCCAGGGTATAGTGCATTCGTCACCACTCGCCTCTTTCCATAACCTCCAAGAAGACTCGTCCCCCTCTCGATGCTTGTTATGTGCGAAAATACGACAAACCAAACAGAACGCGTGTAAATGACTGCGGTGCTTTGGTAAAAATAATCCTGAGTACTTACATCGTTTATGGCATTATGTCATTGTTTAAATAATCAGGAAAAATATATATCGTCATATTGAAAGTACAAAGAACTGAGCTAACAGGATTTTGCTGCCTATAATGAAGTTTTTGATAAGAATCATGCCATTGACGGTGACAGATTCAAATACACGCACGTGTGTGTGTTGACAAAACGGGTCTCATGGGTCCAACTGAGGGTATTTCTGACGATCTTGCGGGCTTGCTATGGAGATTGTACGTGCGCTTCCAACATTTTGGGAAATGTAATTATAAATCGCTTCGAGTTTCAAAACAATAATATTAAACATATATCTGCATGTAACTGATCAACTTTAATCTTTAACATTGGGCATAGATTCTATATTTCACATCTCTGGGAATATTTTAGTCTGACATTTTTTTTGGTCATTCATATATTTTCAGCGAATTCATTTAAAATTCCACTTGGGGTATGACAGCAAGGTTACACGAATATTCAGTTTGAGAAATATTTTAAAGTCATTTTTGAGTTTTTGCTTTAGGATTTAATGTACCTTTATAAATTTTATTTACATAATTAATAAAACAAATCCCTATGGTGATTATCAAATCCTATTTAGAAATATATTTGGAAATATTAGGTGAACATCTGATAATAATTACGTGAGAATAAGTCTGTAACAAATAAGTTTCCCCTTCTTTTAGTTGTATCAAAAAGGTTTAATTCTTAAAAAAACACAAACAGCAATACAATGTATGATTACTTCGGTGATATTAAGTACCATTGGAATCAAACAATAATTGAGTTATCGTTCCTGTTTAAAGTAGTTCTGATGTTCATGCGCCAATATGAAATCCTCCCAGAGGGGCACGAGTCGCTATTCGGCTTGTCCCGGAATAACACGAGTTGGTCACCAATGGGTATAGTGGAGAGTGATCGTAACGTATACCCTGGAGATTATCGAGGATGGTTCCAGCTTTGCTTGGAGAGATTTAAGTGAGAATATGACAGACCTTAAACATGTTAAAAGTTACTTTGGCAATCAGTAGCTCTGATACTCTGATACAAAGAATACAAGAAGACGCTATCCATAAAAAGTGCCATGTTTTCGATGTTCTTACAACTTCTAAATGTTCTTGAAAGACTTTATTTGTATCATGCAGACTTACTTTATTTGTTGTCGAAACTCCGGGTCTTGATGAAAACGTTTTCTACTTTCAAGGCCTTTGAACTGGCAATTCGTAACACCTTAGTTCAAAACAGTTATACTGGATGTTTAGTGAGAAGGATCACAAGAACAAACCTTAACTTTTCAAAAGACGTTCCCGCAAAATTATTTTCGACGCCATTTTGAAATAAGTGTTACCTCCCTTTCCGGGTTACCAAAAACCCATCACCCAGTTTTGCTTTGGGTTGATAACATGTATTTGAGCCTTTGCTGCCTCAGCCTAGTGATGACACTGTATCCACATTACACAAGCCTTACAAAGATCATTTAAAAGTATGGCTGAGTTGTTCTTTTCAAGACAAAATGAAATAATAATTTTACCGGCATTTGGGTTTTTAGATTCACCATCAGTCGGATTTCCCCACGAACCTTTGAATATGTATCTTGAGTCAGCACTATGACCAAAATGATAAATAGAATAATACCTTTTCACGACATCTTTGGCGAAAAATGGGACATTTGACAAATAAATATCGTGGCATCCTTTTTCTACACCATGCGTTTGGTTAAATATGCTATGTCATATTTTTTTAAACTTCCAACAGACAGATTTTGGGAAGAAAAATCCAATATACTTTTAAATGTGTGCTACATTTCAGCTGATCAAATTTTTAAACATGCGTACCTATTTTTGTTCTACAAATCTATGCCAATGATATGATCTATTTTTAGATGCCTATATACCATTCACTTTCTCAAGTAACAGATTCATGCTATAACATATCGAAATTGTGCCGTTTTAATCAACCAAAGTGATGTCAGTTTGATACGGTGCCGATTTAGGCTATAGCACAAACTATTTTACGAGACTTTCCGAATGGTACAGCAATAGCTCCTCGCACCGCGGGTACCAACCGAAGCCAGGAAACGGGAAGTAAGCAAGATGGCAGCGATAGACAAAGTTAAAGTTGTGGTAGTCGGCGATTCCGGTAAGTCCACAATGACGAACATGATGGTAGATACTCCCGATATTCTACTCAATGTATTAACCAGGCAATATCAAAAACCTTAAAGGTTGCAGGTGAGCAGAATATTACTGCCACGTCATCAAGAATTACGAATTGTTATAATGTTGAGGGTTATTTCCCTTGGGCTGTCTGCTATTTGATCAAGTGGCCGATCAAGTGAGTTAATGTAGTCCTTTATGTTTGAACAGTATTGTACAATGTTCCCACACAGCTGACATCGATCATAGCTGTTCTTTATTGCAGGTGTGGGTAAAACATCACTTGTCCATTTGATCTGTCACAATGAACCACAATCAAATCCTGCTGCAACAATTGGCTGCTCAGTGGAAGTGAAGGTAACTCTGATTTTTGTTAAGAAAGTGATTAGTTGATCCTGTACCAAAGGTAGTGAGTTGAGGATTGAACACTCTATGGAAATATGTTCCCTTCTCAATATTCCTACTACACATTGAAATGAGGTGAGGTGAGGTGAAATTGGGTTTAACGTCATGCTTGAGAATATTTCGCTCATATGACGACGTGCATGCGTGTGTATGTGTATGTGCGGCTGCTTGTACTAGCCCAGACTTAAGCTGGTTTTATAGTGCTAGCCCAATGAGATACCATGCCGCAGTGAAGCATGAATACCCCACTCAGACACATTATACTGACTCCGAGCCGACCAGTCCTTGATGTACCCATTAATGCCAAGCGCCAGGCAGGGACCAACAAGTACCATATTTTAACGTCTTTTGGTATGACGCGGTCGGGGATCGAACCCGCGGCCTTCCGCTCTCCGGGGCGGACGCTCTAACCACTACACCACGGAGGCGGTCTCACATTGAAATGAGTTGCATGACAAATATTACTCTTGATGATTGATAACACTTGTTGTGATCAGACTAACATGCAGTGATCAGTCTGCAGGAAAAGAGAAAGCAAAGATCTGGAACATGTGTTTTTTGTATGGATACTGCACTGATTCATTTGCATACACAGTGGGAAGTGTGCCATATCTACTCATAGAGTTGGTTAGGTGTGTCTTTTATACCTTAAGTGTATCAAGAAGACTACCATAATTACTTTGATCTGTAGTTGCCCATAACTTCTGAAAGGTATTGACATATCACCATGAATGAAAAGAAGCAAGTGTTTGTTTGCATAGTTATATTCGTTTAAATCATTCTTTCAATGCAGAGTAATATGATGGGAGAAAACGCCATTACATGTACAGACTTATGTTGTTTAATCTTCAGCTTCATGAATACAGAGCAGGACTACCCAATGAGAAAACATACTTTGTTGAACTGTGGGACATCGGGGGGTCAGCTAGTCATCAGAACAGCCGCTCCATCTTCTATAACTCAGTAAACGGTAGGTTACCTAGGTGATGACTTTGTACAGAGTACAAAGTTGTTATTCCCAAACTAATCCTGTTACAGTTTCAGTGGCCTTCCTTGAACCAAGGCTAACTGGTTTAATGTTGTATCATATGGAGACAATTGTTCAGTAATTCTTGCATTGATCAGGGTCTATAGTATGAAGAGAGTGAGTGAGTGAGTTTAGTTTTGCGCTGCTTTTAGCAATATTGCAGCAATATCACAGTGGGGGACACCAGAAATGGGTTTCACACATTGTACCCATGTGGGGAATCAAACCCGGGTTCTCTGCATGACGAGCGAACGGTTAACCACTAGGCTACCCCACCGCCCCTAGCATGAACAGAAGTAACTCAGATAATGGTATTGGAAATACAAGGAATGGTCCCTGATCATCGTCCTTGTTAAGGAAAGTATGCTGCAACTTAGGGGTGCTCTTAATGAATGTGTATATTTACAGGTAAGATGAATAAGGATATGTGATAGTCAACTGTGTTTAACATGGGGTATGAATGTACATGTATACCATGAATAAACTTGGAAAACAGAGCACCTCACACATGACACATCATGAAGTAAATGAAATAATGTTCACAGCATGCAGTAACATGACACTATCTCGATGTTGGCACAGGTATTATTCTAGTCCATGACTTGACAAACAGGAAGTCCCATCAGAATATCAGGAAGTGGCTGTCCGAGGTCCTCAACCGAGACTCCACACAGAAAGGCAACGGGTGAGACATTTGAATCCCTGCCTGCCTGGTGTGGTCTCATAGCATGGATGTCTGCAGATATCTGTAACTGGAACATACCTGGTGTGGTCTCATAGCATGGATGTCTGCAGATATCTGTAACTGGAGCATACCTGGTGTGGTCTCATAGCATGGATGTCTGCAGATATCTGTAACTGGAGCCTGCCTGGTGTGGTCTCATAGCATGGATGTCTGCAGATATCTGTAATTGGAGCATACCTGGTGTGGTCTCATAGCATGGATGTCTGCAGATATCTGTAATTGGAGCATACCTGGTGTGGTCTCATAGCATGGATGTCTGCAGATATCTGTAATTGGAGCCTGCCTGGTGTGGTCTCATAGCATGGATGTCTGCAGATATCTGTAATTGGAGCCTGCCTGGTGTGGTCTCATAGCATGGATGTCTGCAGATATCTGTAACTGGAGCCTGCCTGGTGTGGTCTCATAGCATGGATGTCTGCAGATATCTGTAATTGGAGCATACCTGGTGTGGTCTCATAGCATGGATGTCTGCAGATATCTGTAATTGGAGCAGATATCTGTAACTGGAGCCTGGTGTGGTCTCATAGCATGGATGTCTGCAGATATCTGTAATTGGAGCCTGGTACCTAGCATGGGTGTGGTCTCATAGCATGGATGTCTGCAGATATCTGTAACTGGAGCATACCTGGTGTGGTCTCATGGATGTCTGCAGATATCTGTAACTGGATGGATGTCTGCAGATATCATGGATGTCTGCAGAATCTGTAATAGCATACCTGGTGTGGTCTCATAGCATGGATGTCTGCAGATATCTGTAATGGATGCCTGGTAATTGGAGCATATGTCCAGATATCTGTAATTGGAGCCTGCCTGGTGTGGTCTCATAGCATGGATGTCTGCAGATATCTGTAACTGGAGCACTACCTGGTGTGGTCTCATAGCATGGATGTCTGCAGATATCTGTAACTGGAGCATACCTGGTGTGGTCTCATAGCATGGATGTCTGCAGATATCTGTAATTGGAGCATACCTGGTGTGGTCTCATAGCATGGATGTCTGCAGATATCTGTATGTCTGCAGATATCTGTAACTGGAGCCTGCCTGGTGTGGTCTCATAGCATGGATGTCTGCAGATATGCCTGTGGTCTCATAGCATGGATGTCTGCAGATATCTGCAACTGTGAGCATACCTGGTGTGGTCTCATAGCATGGATGTCTGCAGATATCTGTAACTGGAGCATACCTGGTGTGGTCTCATAGCATGGATGTCTGCAGATATCTGTAACCTGGTGTGGAGCATGGATGTCTGCCTGGTGTGGTCTCATAGCATGGATGTCTGCAGATATCTGTAACTGGAGCATACCTGGTGTGGTCTCATAGCATGGATGTCTGCAGATATCTGTAACTGGAGCATACCTGGTGTGGTCTCATAGCATGGATGTCTGCAGATATTTGTAACTGGAGCCTGCCTGGTGTGGTCTCATAGCATGGATGTCTGCAGATATCTGTGGAAGCATGGATGTCTGCATACCTGGTGTGGTCTCATAGCATGGATGTCTGCAGATATCTGTAACTGGAGCCTGCCTGGTGTGGTCTCATAGCATGGATGTCTGCAGATATCTGTAACTGGAGCATACCTGGTGTGGTCTCATAGCATGGATGTCTGCAGATATCTGTAACTGGAGCATACCTGGTGTGGTCTCATAGCATGGATGTCTGCAGATATCTGTAATTGGAGCCTGCCTGGTGTGGTCTCATAGCATGGATGTCTGCAGATATCTGTAACTGGAGCATACCTGGTGTGGTCTCATAGCATGGATGTCTGCAGATATCTGTAACTGGAGCACACCTGGATGTGTGGTCTCTAGATAGCATGGATGTCTGCAGATATCTGTCTCATAGCATGGAGCCTGCCTGGTGTGTGGTCTCATAGCATGGATGTCTGCAGATATCTGTAATGTAATTGGAGCATACCTGGTGTGGTCTCATAGCATGGATGTCTGCAGATATCTGTAATTGGAGCATGCCTGGTGTGGTCTCATAGCATGGATGTCTCTGGAGCATACCTATCATAGCATGGATGTCTGCAGATATTTAGACTGGAGCCTGCCTGGTGTGGTCTCATAGCATGGATGATATCTGCAGATACCTGGTGTGGTCTCATAGCATGGATGTCTGCAGATAGCATACCTGGTGTGGTCTCATAGCATGGATGTCTGCAGATATCTGTAATTGGAGCATACCTGGTGTGGTCTCATAGCATGGATGTCTGCAGATATCTGTAATTGGAGCCTGCCTGGTGTGGTCTCATAGCATGGATGTCTGCAGATATCTGTAATTGGAGCATACCTGGTGTGGGCATGGATGTCTGCAGATATCTGTAATTGGAGCATACCTGGATGTCTCATAGCATGGATGTCTGCAGATATCTGTAATTGGAGCATACCTGGTGTGGTCTCATAGCATGGATGTCTGCAGATATCTGTAACTGGAGCATACCTGGTGTGGTCTCATAGCATGGATGTCTGCAGATATCTGTAATTGGAGCATACCTGGTGTGGTCTCATAGCATGGATGTCTGCAGCCTGCCTGGTGTGGTCTCATAGCATGGATGTCTGCAGATATCTGTAATTGGAGCATACCTGGTGTGGTCTCATAGCATGGATGTCTGCAGATATCTGATATCTGTGGAGCATACCTGGTGTGGTCTCATGGATGTCTGCAGATATCTGTAGTGGAGCATACCTGGTGTGGTCTCATGGATGTCTGCAGATATCTGTAATTGGAGCATACCTGGTGTGGTCTCATAGCATGGATGTCTGCAGATATTTGTAACTGGAGCATACCTGGTGTGGTCTCATAGCATGGATGTCTGCAGATATCTGTAATTGTACCTGGTGTGGTCTCTGATGTCTGCAGATATCCTGGTGTGTGGTCTCATAGCATGGATGTCTGCAGATATCTGTAACTGGAGCATACCTGGTGTGGTCTCATAGCATGGATGTCTGCAGATATTTGTCTGGAGCCTGCCTGGTGTGGTCTCACCATGGATGTGGTCTCATAGCATGGATGTCTCATAGCAGATATCTGCAGAATCTGTAACTGGAGCATACCTGGTGTGGTCTCATAGCATGGATGTCTGCAGATATCTGTAATTGTCTGCAGAGCCTGCCTGGTGTGGTCTCATAGCATGGATGTTCGCAGATATCTGTAATTGGAGCACATACCTGGTGTGGTCTCATAGCATGGATGTCTGCAGATATCTGTAACTGGAGCATACCTGGTGTGGTCTCCTGGTGTGGTCTCATAGCATGGATGTCTGCAGATATCTGTAATTGGAGCATACCTGGTGTGGTCTCATAGCATGGATGTCTGCAGATATCTGTAATTGGAGCCTGCCTGGTGTGGTCTCATAGCATGGATGTCTGCAGATATCTGTAATTGGAGCCTGCCTGGTGTGGTCTCATAGCATGGATGTCTGCAGATATCTGTAATTGGAGCATACCTGGTGTGGTCTCATAGCATGGATGTCTGCAGATATCTGTAACTGGAGCACCTGGTGTGGTCTCATGGATGCAGATGTCTGGAGCAGATATCTGTAATTGGAGCCTGCCTGGTGTGGTCTCATAGCATGGATGTCTGCAGATATCTGTAATTTGAGCCTACCTGGTGTGGTCTCATAGCATGGATGTCTGCAGATATCTGTACTGGAGCCTGCCTGGTGTGGTCTCATAGCATGGATGTCTGCAGATATCTGTAACTGGAGCATACCTGTGTGGTCTCATAGCATGGATGTCTGCTTGGAGCATAGCATGGATGTCTGCAGATATCTGTAACTGGAGCATACCTGGTGTGGTCTCATAGCATGGATGTCTGCAGATATCTGTAATTAGAGCATACCTGGTGTGGTCTCATAGCATGGATGTCTGCAGATATCTGCCTGGAGTGTGGTCTCATAGCATGGATGTCTGCAGATATCTGTAATTGGAGCATACCTGGTGTGGTCTCATAGCATGGATGTCTGCAGATATCTGTAACTGGAGCATGCCTGGTGTGGTCTCATAGCATGGATGTCTGCAGATATCTGTAATTGGAGCATACCTGGTGTGGTCTCATAGCATGGATGTCTGCAGATATCTGTAATTGGAGCATACCTGGTGTGGTCTCATAGCATGGATGTCTGCAGATATCTGTAACTGGAGCATACCTGGTGTGGTCTCATAGCATGGATGTCTGCAGATATCTGTAATTGGAGCATACCTGGTGTGGTCTCATAGCATGGATGTCTGCAGATATCTGTAATTGGAGCCTGCCTGGTGTGGTCTCATAGCATGGATGTCTGCAGATATCTGTAATTGGAGCATACCTGGTGTGGTCTCATAGCATGGATGCCTGCCTGGTGCAGATATCTGTAACTGGAGCCTGCCTGGTGTGGTCTCATAGCATGGATGTCTGCAGATATCTGTAACTGGAGCATACCTGGTGTGGTCTCATAGCATGGATGTCTGCAGATATCTGTAACTGGAGCATACCTGGTGTGGTCTCATAGCATGGATGTCTGCAGATATCTGTAATTGGAGCATACCTGGTGTGGTCTCATAGCATGGATGTCTGCAGATATCTGTAACTGGAGCCTGCCTGGTGTGGTCTCATAGCATGGATGTCTGCAGATATCTGTAATTGGAGATATCTGTAATTGGAGCCTGCCTGGTGTGGTCTCATAGCATGGATGTCTGCAGATATCTGTAATTAGAGCATACCCAGCATGGATGTGGTCTCATAGCATGGATGTCTGCAGATATCTGTAATTGGAGCATACCTGGTGTGGTCTCATAGCATGGATGTCTGCAGATATCTGTAATTGGAGCATGCCTGGTGTGGTCTCATAGCATGGATGTCTGCAGATATCTGTAACTGGAGCATACCTGGTGTGGTCTCATAGCATGGATGTCTGCAGATATCTGTAATTGGAGCATGCCTGGTGTGGTCTCATAGCATGGATGTCTGCAGATATCTGTAACTGGAGCATACCTGGTGTGGTCTCATAGCATGGATGTCTGCAGATATCTGTAATTGGAGCATGCCTGGTGTGGTCTCATAGCATGGATGTCTGCAGATATCTGTAATGGAGCCTGCCTGGTGTGGTCTCATAGCATGGATGCATGCAGATGTGGAGCTACCTGGTGTGGTCTCAGCATGGATGTCTGCAGATATCTGTGGAGCCTACCTGGTGTGGTCTCATAGCATGGATGTCTGCAGATATCTGTAATTGGAGCATACCTGGTGTGGTCTCATAGCATGGATGTCTGCAGATATCTGTAACTGGAGCATACCTGGTGTGGTCTCATAGCATGGATGTCTGCAGATATCTGTAATTGAGCCTGCCTGGAGCCATGCCTGGTGTGGTCTCATAGCATGGATGTCTGCAGATATAATTGGAGCCTGCCTGGTGTGGTCTCATAGCATGGATGTCTGCAGATATCTGTAACTGGAGCATACCTGGTGTGGTCTCATAGCATGGATGTCTGCAGATATCTGTAATTGGAGCCTGCCTGGTGTGGTCTCATAGCATGGATGTCTGCAGATATCTGTAATTGGAGCATACCTGGTGTGGTCTCATAGCATGGATGTCTGCAGATATCTGTAATTGGAGCCTGCCTGGTGTGGTCTCATAGCATGGATGTCTGCAGATATCTGTAATTGGAGCCTGCCTGGTGTGGTCTCATAGCATGGATGTCTGCAGATATCTGTAATTGGAGCATACCTGGTGTGGTCTCATAGCATGGATGTCTGCAGATATCTGTAATTGGAGCCTGCCTGGTGTGGTCTCATAGCATGGATGTCTGCAGATATCTGTAACTGGAGCATACCTGGTGTGGTCTCTTAACATGGATACCTGGTGTGGTCTCATAGCATGGATGTCTGCAGATATCTGTAACTGGAGCATACCTGGTGTGGTCTCATAGCATGGATGTCTGCAGATATTTGTAATTGGAGCCTGCCTGGTGTGGTCTCATAGCATGGATGTCTGCAGATATTTGTAACTGGAGCCTGCCTGGTGTGGTCTCATAGCATGGATGGCCGGGTGTTTGAACTCCCAACAACACAGGAGTGGTCACAGGATCACAGGATGTTCAAAGTGTAGCACCTTGATCAACTTTTAGATCAATCTGTAGGGAATCTTTGTAGATGGCTCCTACTATAACCAAAAGTTTAGTTGACAGTTGGGATGTTAAGTAACTGATGATAGAACTATTTTTGTTCACTATTGCTTAATTTCTAAAATATTTGAACTTGATTTGTATGGTTTTGATAAGCACCTGCCATACAGTCTTTGTCAATCTTCTTAGGGCCCAGGACTCTTGTTACAGTGACTATGGTACTTACATCAGCTGAACATCACATTTCAGGTATGAGTTTGACCCTGAGCAGTTTGCTGGGAACCAGATCCCAATACTGGTGGTAGGCAGCAAGGCCGACCTCGCCCAGAGTCTCCGCGAGGACACACGCACCTATGATAAATACTCGTCTATAGCCGAGGAATGTGGAGCCGATGAGCTGAACCTGGTAGGTGGCGCTGCATGCTTGAGGCAAAAGATACATGTCTTATTTCTATAGGACGTGACAGTTGTACCAGGTGTAATTGACAGAAGAATCATTATCATAAACTTATGGCACAACCAGATTATTATGTGATCAAGAATATTTGTGGGTTTCAGGATTGTATGCAAGTAAAGTATTTAGCCCCAGGCACAACAAATGCAGTGAAGCTGACCAAATTTTTTGATAGGGTAAGTTGAAATTAAAAAATTATGATATACACTATATATGTGTATTTCTCACGAAACGTTAAAGTGCATTGTATAAAAGATTAGTAGTAGTGTTATCTTTTATAAGTTTGGATGGATCCATGTGCCAGTACTAATTCCACGTTCAGGGTTTGGTGTACAGAGATGAACTTGGTCAGTTTACCCCCAGGAAATATGAAGTGGAAAGTTGCAGAGGGAGGCTGCAAATAATTGATAATTCATCCGTTGACCTTTTGTCATTAATTATCAGTCTAAAATCATTGTTTATACTTTTACGTTTTTTGGTATAATTGCCGCTATCCATGTAGTTTGTTATGATTTGTGTTTCCAGACGATCGAGCGGCGTGCGGCAATCAGGTCAGTGGTAACCGAGCAGCCTATGACTTTGCTGAGTGATAGATTCTGTCTCATTAACCAGTAACAGTAAGACAGCTATTGGAATATTGGCTCCCGGTGCTGGGCCCCTAGAACCTTTCTCACCTGTCCCCCTCCCTGGAGAAATGATTGACAGCTCTCTATTGTTGTAGTGGTAGATGTACAGGTGTCTCTACTGTGGTAGATGTACAGGTGTCTCTACTGTGGTAGATGTACAGGTGTCTCTACTGTGGTAGATGTACAGGTGTCTCTACTGTGATAGATGTACAGGTGTCTCTACTGTGGTAGATGTACAGGTGTCTCTACTGTGGTAGATGTACAGGTGTCTCTACTGTGGTAGATGTACAGGTGTCTCTACTGTGGTAGATGTACAGGTGTCTCTCTACTGTGGTAGATGTACAGGTGTCTCTACTGTGGTAGATGTACAGGTGTCTCTACTGTGGTAGATGTACAGGTGTCTCTACTGTGGTAGATGTACAGGTGTCTCTACTGTGGTAGATGTACAGGTGTCTCTCTACTGTGGTAGATGTACAGGTGTCTCTACTGTGGTAGATGTACAGGTGTCTCTACTGTGGTAGATGTACAGGTGTCTCTCTACTGTGGTAGATGTACAGGTGTCTCTACTGTGGTAGATGTACAGGTGTCTCTACTGTGGTAGATGTACAGGTGTCTCTACTGTGGTAGATGTACAGGTGTCTCTACTGTGGTAGATGTACAGGTGTCTCTACTGTGGTAGATGTACAGGTGTCTCTACTGTGGTAGATGTACAGGTGTCTCTACTGTGGTAGATGTACAGGTGTCTCTACTGTGGTAGATGTACAGGTGTCTCTGTGGTAGATGTACACAGGTGTACTGGTAGATGTACAGGTGTCTCTACTGTGGTAGATGTACAGGTGTCTCTACTGTGGTAGATGTACAGGTGTCTCTACTGTGGTAGATGTACAGGTGTCTCTACTGTGGTAGATGTACAGGTGTCTCTACTGTGGTAGATGTACAGGTGTCTCTACTGTGGTAGATGTACAGGTGTCTCTACTGTGGTAGATGTACAGGTGTCTCTCACTGTAGATAGATGTACAGGTGTCTCTACTGTGGTAGATGTACTGTGGTAGATGTACAGGTGTCTCTACTGTGGTAGATGTACAGGTGTCTCTACTGTGGTAGATGTACAGGTGTCTCTCTACTGTGGTAGATGTACAGGTGTCTCTACTGTGGTAGATGTACAGGTGTCTCTACTGTGGTAGATGTACAGGTGTCTCTACTGTGGTAGATGTACAGGTGTCTCTACTGTGATAGATGTACAGGTGTCTCTACTGTGGTAGATGTACAGGTGTCTCTACTGTGGTAGATGTACAGGTGTCTCTACTGTGGTAGATGTACAGGTGTCTCTACTGTGGTAGATGTACAGGTGTCTCTACTGTGGTAGATGTACAGGTGTCTCTACTGTGGTGCACAGGTGTCTCTACTGTGGTAGATGTACAGGTGTCTCTACTGTGGTAGATGTACAGGTGTCTCTACTGTGGTAGATGTACAGGTGTCTCTACTGTGGTAGATGTACAGGTGTCTCTACTGTGGTAGATGTACAGGTGTCTCTACTGTGGTAGATGTACAGGTGTCTCTACTGTGGTAGATGTACAGGTGTCTCTACTGTGGTAGAGGTACAGGTGTCTCTACTGTGGTAGATGTACAGGTGTCTCTACTGTGGTAGATGTACAGGTGTCTCTACTGTGGTAGATGTACAGGTGTCTCTACTGTGGTAGATGTACAGGTGTCTCTACTGTGGTAGATGTACAGGTGTCTCTACTGTGGTAGATGTACAGGTGTCTCTACTGTGGTAGATGTACAGGTGTCTCTACTGTGATAGATGTGGTAGATGTACAGGTGTCTCTACTGTGGTAGATGTACAGGTGTCTCTACTGTGGTAGATGTACAGGTGTCTCTACTGTGATAGATGTACAGGTGTCTCTACTGTGGTAGATGTACAGGTGTCTCTACTGTGGTAGATGTACAGGTGTCTCTACTGTGGTAGATGTACAGGTGTCTCTACTGTGATAGAGGTACAGGTATCTCTTTGTGGTAGATGTACAGTTGTATCTGTAGTGGTATTGGTAGATGTACAGTTGTCCCCACTTTGGTAATGGTAGATAATCTGGTATTGGAAACCACAGCCTGATATTTGAATCCACAGCCTGGTGTTTGAAACCACAGCCTGGTACTTGAAATCAGTCTGATATTTGAAACCACAGCCTGATATTTGAAACCACAGCCCTGATATTTGAAACCACAGCCTGATATTTGAAACCACAGCCTGATATTTGAAACCACAGCCTGATATTTGAAACCACAGCTTGGTATTTGAAACCACAGCCTGGTGTTGAAACCACAGCCTGGTGTTTGAAACCACGCACTGGTATTTGAGACCGGCTGAAAATACTGAAAAACGATTTGCTGTGTTGTTGCTAAAGTTTCAAATAACAATGGACACAGTAGGAACTGAACGTAGAAATCCCATTGAAATGTACATTGTCATTAATGTTTGAATCTGTACATATATATTGGAGACATGTAATTGCATATGGATTAAGGATGTTGCAACTCATTGAGGCATTAACACATTTAGTCCTGCCAAGTGATGCGCGACACACACACCAATATACCAATTTATGTTTACTGATCTGTTTTGAAGCTGTACAGTGAAACCTGTGTAAACCGGCACCCCAAGGGACCCAAATAAAATGCCGGTTTAGACAGGGTGCCGGATTAGACAGTGACGATCATTTTCGAACATGGCTGCCATTTACCCTCACTAATCACTTTATTCCTGATTATCTAGCGTGCCGAGAGGAGTGTATTGGATTAAGGGACCTTGATTGGACTGCTCATACCCGTGCTTGCTAAGAGCGTTTTATTCAATGCGCAATCACATGCGTGACAAGAGGATTAATTAGTGTATTGGATTATGGGCCCTTGATTGGACTGATCATAATCATGCCGGTTTAGACAAATGTTAATTACAGTTAAAATTGCTTGTTGGGACCGGAAAGTCGTGCCGGAATACGGAATACACAGGTGCCCGATTAGACAATGTTTTAATAATCATAATATCTTTGTAAAATGGCAGGACCAAAATTTTATGCTAGTTTTGACAGTGTGCCGGATTAGACAGGTGCTGGTGTTGGCAGGTTTCACTGTATTTGTTTTTAGTAAGTGATATTTAGGTTTTGTGATGTCACTCACTGATGGCTAGACGGGGCTAGTATTACTTGACCTCCAAATATTCTTATTCTGACAGCATGATATGAGGACACGACTAATTTTAGTACAACTAAGACTGGTTGGTTTCCATGGCAAGATGGAACAGGTTATGTTTGTGCAATGCAGCAAAAGTCTGCTATCGTGATTAGGATCGTAACACGAATCAAGTATTGTGATGCATGTCATGACTCTGAATAAAGATATACATTGTATATGTGTAAATGTCCAAACTGAGAACAATGAACTGATTGTGAACGGTAACAGATGGTGTAAAGTGTTTTATTAATGATGTAAAGTATATAATCAATGATGTAAAGTGCAAGAGGGCACTGAGATGAGTAACTGTGTCTGTGCAGGAGGTGGGCGAGGAGGACCTCGAGGTAATTACCTGAGCGTTGTGTGAGCACCTTGACATTTTCTCACCCTGGGTTCTGGCATGTTGTCATTGGTCTTGCATCCTTATATCCGTGTGTTACATATCTGGGGAAGGGTTCACCGTCACAATGAGCAGCCATGACAGTGGTGCTACAGAAACAGTGTATGCAACTAGTTGTAGGACAATATTATCATAGACTGGAACAGTTTGCAATTTATTAAAATAATGTAAAAAATGTTTCATGTGTCCCTTTAAACAAATAAATAAAATGCAGCAGTAATATTTTTTTTAGATATTTGAGCATAGACAAGTTTCAAATGTTGATGTTTCACTGAGGTGTGTTTGGAATATACTTGGATTGTACTTTCTATATGTTCATGCCGAAGACAGGGACAGCTCACAGTGATAAGATGTTTATATGTTTGAGTCAGGTGTAATCACTGATGCTGTGTCATGTGTCAGTGTGTGTCATTTTAGTATGTGTCTGTGTCATTTTAGTATGTGTCATGTGTCAGTGTGTTGTATGTTCATGTGTCAAGTGTGTGTCAGTGTAAGTCATGTTAGTATGTGTCAGTGTGTCATATGTTGGTATGTGTCATTGTGTCGTATGTTCAGTATGTGTCAGTGTGTCATGTTAGTATGTGTCAGTGTGTCATGTTAGTATGTGTCAGTGTGTCATATGTCAGTGTGTGTCATGTTAGTATGTGTCATTGTCATATGTTAGTATGTGTCAGCGTGTGTCATGTGATATTTTGTATCAGTGTGTCGTATGTGAGTGGGTGTTTTACGTCAGTGTGTTGTATGTCAGTGGGTGTTTAACGTCAGTGTGTTGTACGTCAGTGTGTTTTACGTCAGTGTGTCGTATGTCAGTGGGTGTTTAACGTCAGTGTGTTGTATGTCAGTGGGTGTTTAACGTCAGTGTGTCGTATGTCAGTGGGTGTTTTACGTCAGTGTGTTGTATGTCAGTGGGTGTTTTATGTCAGTGTGTTGTATGTCAGTGGGTGTTTTACGTCAGTGTGTTGTATGCAGTGGGTGTTTAACGTCAGTGTGTTGTATGTCAGTGGGTGTTTTACGTCAGTGTGTTGTATGTCAGTGAGTGTTTTACGTCAGTGTGTTGTATGTCAGTGTGTGTTTTACGTCAGTGTGTTGTATGTCAGTGAGTGTTTTACGTCAGTGTGTCGTATGTCAGTGTTTCAGTGTCAGTGTCAGTGAGTGTCAGTGTTTTATGTCAGTGTGTCGTATGTCAGTGTTTTATGTCAGTGTTTACGTCAGTGTTTTCGTCAGTGTGTCATGTCAGTGTTTTACGTCAGTGTGTTGTATGTCAGTGAGTTTTTTACGTCAGTGTGTTGTATGTCAGTGTGTCGTATGTCAGTGTATGTTATCTGTCAGTGTATGTCTGTGTCATATGCCAGTGTATGTCAATATGTGAGAATGTGGGTGTGTATGTAATTGAGATCATGGGTTTGTTTCCCTCCTCACATTTCACTTTTATAACAAGTTTTTGAGTGGTGCCTGCATTACTAAATTGAGCATCTCTTCAGAATGTTTTTCTTCCCAAGCTAGTGAGATATATTTTGCTATTTTATTGTTTGCAATAATCTGACTAAGATGTGAATTTAGTTTCACTCATTTCCATCTGTAGATACCGCTTGAAGTATTCTCGTCTTAGTTTGTACTCATCACATTTATTCCAGTGCAATTTATTATTATTTTATTCAAGTTTGTTCTCCGATATTCCACCTCTCTCTTGTGTATTGTCTTTTCCTTGGTGGCAGTAATCTCCCTTGACAGGGATGACGGTGGGAGGCTTCTCATACTCTGGTTCTTGTAATGCTGTATAACGAGTGTGTGTTAGGGCCTATTTCTATCTTTTTCATCCTTAATATTGTGGAAGACTGAGGATTTAATTTGATAATACAGTAACTGTTAGATTAAAAATTTATCCTAAAGTCATTAAAAAATTTAAAAAGAATTGTTTTCAGGCTTCCTCTGAGTTTCAAATCTTTAAAACAAAATCTTTAAATATATGTTGAAACTAATATACATGTTTCAAGTTGACAAATGCTCTACCCAGTGTCTCAGTTGTTGTCTTCCTTTAACTTTAGTGCAGGCCCATCCATAAAACAAACATTTAACTGGCCTGGCCTAATGAGTATAAACACCTCAACCCTCATTCAGCACTACTTCATATAGCTAGATCAGGATATATTGTCAGGACATGTGTTCCATGCTAAACATGTGATGGACATTTCAAGCTATGTTGACTGTTGTCATTTTTATTTATTCAGTCAAGTGTGTGTATATTTCAAACATTAATTGATATGTCTTGATATTTCTTTTTTTCAGGGCCATATAAGTCCAAATCAGGATAGGAGACGGTTTTGGAAAAATTCCCATGTGGACTGAGAGCTATGATGGAAGTGTTAAAACTTGATCAGTGTTTGGACCTGCAGACAGTCTGTGCATGCAGGGGTGGTGAAGTCACCATTGACCAGCAAACGCTGCTGACAATTCTGCCACAGTGACAACATTCCTCATACCCTGTGTGACACTGAATAGAATATGTGATACAGCAGTCAGAGCCTATGTCACCCAGGATACTGTGTGAACCAGCCCCATCAGCTGAGATTTGGGATCCTGCTCAAGACAGAGTTATCCTCTGATATTCTCCATCGGTCTGGGAACAACCATTTACAATCTTAATCTGTTGGTGGAACAGCAGCATTGCACAGTTATTTCAAACTCTAACATTTGATTGAAGATTGTTATGCTTTAGTCAAAGTCATCATGATGTATATATTTGAACTATAAATATTATATTGTACAGGAAACCAAATGTGTTCAGTTTTCAGTGTCTGGCATTGTCAAATGACTGACATTAGTCAGATCAGGTGATTTGTTGTGGAGGATGCTGAAGGCATACTGGCCTGCCTGAACACTGGTCAGATAACAATGGCAGTATCATTTCTTAAAACAAGTACACCTATTCTCACCACACAGCTCAGTTCTTATTCCAGCAGGTACCTGTTGTCCATTAGACAGCAGGTGCCTGTTGTTATCCATTAGAGAGCGGGTGTCTGTTGTCCGTTAGAGAGCAGGTGCCTGTTGTTATCCATTAGAGAGCGGGTGTCTGTTGTTGTCCATTAGACAGAAAGTGTCTTTTGTCCATTAGAGAGTGGGTGCCTGTTGTTGTCCATTAGACAGTAGGTGTCTGTTGTTGTCCATTAGACAGCAGGTGTCTGTTGTCCATTAGAGAGCGGGTGCCTGTTGTCCATTAGAGAGCTTTTGGTGCCTGTTGTTGTCCATTAGAGAGCCGGGTGTCTGTTGTCCATTAGAGAGCAGGTGTCTGTTGTCCATTAGAGAGCGGGTGCCTGTTGTCCATTAGAGAGCAGGTGTCTGTTGTTGTCCATTAGAGAGCAGGTGTCTGTTGTCCATTAGACAGCAGGTGTCTGTTGTCCATTAGACAGCAGGTGTCTGTTGTCCATTAGAGAGCAGGTGTCTGTTGTTGTCCATTAGAGAGCGGGTGTCTGTTGTCCATTAGATGGCAGGTGTCTGTTGTTGTCCATTAGAGAGCAGGTGTCTGTTGTCCATTAGAGAGCAGGTGTCTGTTGTCCATTAGAGAGCTGGTGTCTGTTGTCCATTAGAGAGCAGGTGTCTGTTGTCCATTAGAGAGCCGGGTGCCTGTTGTCCATTAGAGAGCAGGTGTCTGTTGTTGTCCATTAGAGAGCCGGGTGTCTGTTGTCCATTAGAGAGCGGGTGTCTGTTGTCCGTTAGGAGAGCAGGTGCCTGTTGTTATCCATTAGAGAGCTGGTGTCTGTTGTTGTCCATTAGACAGAAGGTGTCTTTTGTCCATTAGAGAGTGGGTGTCTGTTGTTGTCCATTAGAGAGCAGGTGCCTGTTGTTGTCCATTAGACAGCAGGTGTCTGTTGTCCATTAGAGAGCTGGGTGCCTGTTGTCCATTAGAGAACGGGTGCCTGTTGTTGTCCATTAGAGAAGCGGGTGTCTGTTGTCCATTAGAGAGCAGGTGTCTGTTGTCCATTAGAGAGCGGGTGCCTGTTGTCCATTAGAGAGCAGGTGTCTGTTGTTGTCCATTAGAGAGCAGGTGTCTGTTGTCCATTAGAGCAGGTGTCTGTTGTCCATTAGACAGCGGGTGCCTGTTGTCCATTAGAGAGCAGGTGTCTGTTGTTGTCCATTAGAGAGCAGGTGTCTGTTGTCCATTAGAGAGCGGGTGTCTGTTGTCCATTAGAGAGCAGGTGTCTGTTGTCCATTAGAGAGCGGGTGCCTGTTGTCCATTAGAGAGCAGGTGTCTGTTGTTGTCCATTAGAGAGCAGGTGTCTGTTGTCCATTAGAGAGCAGGTGTCTGTTGTCCATTAGAGAGCGGGTGTCTGTTGTCCATTAGAGAGCAGGTGCCTGTTGTTGTCCATTAGAGAGCGGGTGTCTGTTGTCCATTAGAGAGCGGGTGTCTGTTGTCCATTAGAGAGCAGGTGTCTGTTGTCCATTAGAGAGCAAGTGTCTTTTGTTGTCCATTAGAGAGCAGGTGTCTGTTGTCCATTAGAGAGCCGGGTGCCTGTTGTCCATTAGAGAGTAGGTGTCTGTTGTTGTCCATTAGAGAGCAGGTGTCTGTTGTTGTCCATTAGACAGCAGGTGTCTGTTGTCCATTAGAGAGCAGGTGTCTGTTGTCCATTAGAGAGCGGTTGCCTGTTGTTGTCCATTAGAGAGCAGGTGTCTGTTGTCCATTAGAGAGCAGGTGTCTGTTGTCCATTAGAGAGCGGGGTGCCTGTTGTTGTCCATTAGAGAGCGGGTGTCTGTTGTCCATTAGAAGAGCAGGTGTCTGTTGTCCATTAGAGAGCAGGTGCCTGTTGTTGTCCATTAGAGAGCCGGGTGTCTGTTGTCCATTAGAGAGCAGGTGTCTGTTGTCCATTAGAGAGCGGGTGTCTGTTGTCCATTAGAGAGCAGGTGTCTGTTGTCCATTAGAGAGCTTGGTGCCTGTTGTCCATTAGAGAGCAGGTGTCTGTTGTTGTCCATTAGAGAGCGGGTGTCTGTTGTCCATTAGAGAGCCGGGTGTCTGTTGTCCATTAGAGAGCGGGTGCCTGTTGTCCATTAGAGAGCAGGTGTCTGTTGTTGTCCATTAGAGAGCAGGTGTCTGTTGTCCATTAGAGAGCAGGTGCCTGTTGTCCATTAGAGAGCAGGTGTCTGTTGTCCATTAGAGAGCAAGTGTCTGTTGTTGTCCATTAGAGAGCAGGTGTCTGTTGTCCATTAGAGAGCGGGTGCCTGTTGTCCATTAGAGAGCAGGTGTCTGTTGTTGTCCATTAGAGAGCAGGTGTCTGTTGTCCATTAGAGAGCAGGTGTCTGTTGTCCATTAGAGAGCAGGTGTCTCTTGTCCATTAGAAGCAGTTGCCTGTTGTCCATTAGAGAGCAGGTGTCTGTTGTCCATTAGAGAGCAGGTGTCTGTTGTCCATTAGAGAGCGGGTGCCTGTTGTTGTCCATTAGAGAGCGGGTGTCTGTTGTCCATTAGAGAGCAGGTGTCTGTTGTCCATTAGAGAGCAGGTGCCTGTTGTTGTCCATTAGAGAGCGGGTGCCTGTTGTCCATTAGAGAGCAGGTGTCTATTTGTCCATTAGAGAGCCGGGTGTCTGTTGTCCATTAGAGAGCGGGTGCCTGTTGTCCATTAGACAGCAGGTGTCTGTTGTTGTCCATTAGAGAGCGGGTGTCTGTTGTCCATTAGAGAGCGGGTGTCTGTTGTCCATTAGACAGCGGGTGCCTGTTGTCCATTAGAGAGCAGGTGTCTGTTGTTGTCCATTAGAGAGCAGGTGTCTGTTGTCCATTAGAGAGCAGGTGTCTGTTGTCCATTAGAGAGCAGGTGTCTGTTGTTGTCCATTGGAGAGCAGGTGTCTGTTGTCCATTAGAGAGCAGGTGTCTGTTGTCCATTAGAGAGCAGGTGTCTGTTGTCCATTAGAGAGCGGGTGCCTGTTGTCCATTAGAGAGCAGGTGTCTGTTGTCCATTAGAGAGCTGGGTGCCTGTTGTCCATTAGAGAGCCGGATGTCTGTTGTCCATTAGACAGCTGGTGCCTGTTGTCCATTAGAGAGCGGGTGTCTGTTGTCCATTAGACAGCAGGTGCCTGTTGTCCATTAGAGAGCGGGTGTCTGTTGTCCATTAGACAGCAGGTGCCTGTTGTTGTCCATTAGAGAGCCGGATGCCTGTTGTTGTCCATTAGACAGTAGGTGTCTGTTATTTTCCATTAGACAGCAGGTGTCGGTTGTCCATTAGAGAAGCCGGATGCCTGTTGTTGCCCATTAGAAGCGGGTGTCTGTTGTCCATTAGATTGCAGGTGCCTGTTGTTATCCATAAGGGTGAGCGGGTGCCTGTTGTTGTCCATTAGACAGCAGGTGTATGTTGTCCATTAGACAGCAGGTGCCTGTTGTCCATTAGGGAGCTGGTGTCTGTTGTTGTCCATTAGACAGCAGGTGTATGTTGTCCATTAGAGAGCAGGTGTCTGTTGTTGTCCATTAGAGAGCGGGTGCCTGTTGTCCATTAGAGAGCGGGTGTCTGTTGTCCATTAGAGAGCGGGTGTCTGTTGTCCATTAGACAGCGGGTGCCTGTTGTCCATTAGAGAGCGGGTGTCTGTTGTCCATTAGACAGCAGGTGCCTGTTGTCCATTAGAGAGCGGGTGTCTGTTGTCCATTAGACAGCAGGTGCCTGTTGTTGTCCATTAGAGAGCCGGATGCCTGTTGTTGTCCATTAGACAGTAGGTGTCTGTTATTTTCCATTAGACAGCAGGTGTCTGTTGTCCATTAGAGAGCCGGATGCCTGTTGTTGCCCATTAGAGAGCGGGTGTCTGTTGTCCATTAGATTGCAGGTGCCTGTTGTTATCCATTAGAGAGCGGGTGCCTGTTGTTGTCCATTAGACAGCAGGTGTATGTTGTCCATTAGACAGCAGGTGCCTGTTGTCCATTAGAGAGCAGGTGTCTGTTGTCCATTAGACAGCAGGTGCCTGTTGTCCATTAGACAGCAGGTGTCTGTTGTTGTCCATTAGATGGCAGGTGCCTGTTGTTGCCCATTAGACAGCAGGTGTCTGTTGTTGTCCATTAGAGAGCGGGTGTCTGTTGTCCATTAGAGAGCGGGTGCCTGTTGTTGTCCATTAGAGAGCGGGTGTCTGTTGTCCATTAGATGGCAGGTGCCTGTTGTTATCCATTAGAGAGCGGGTGCCTGTTGTTGTCCATTAGACAGCAGGTGTATGTTGTCCATTAGAGAGCAGGTGCCTGTTGTTGTCCATTAGAGAGCGGGTGCCTGTTGTTGTCCATTAGAGAGCGGGTGTCTGTTGTCGGTTAGAGAGCAGGTGCCTGTTGTTATCTATTAGAGAGTGGGTGTCTGTTGTTGTCCATAAGACAGCGGATGCCTGTTGTTGTCCATTAGATGACAGGTGCCTGTTGTTGTCCATTAGATGGCAGGTGCCTGTTGTTGCCCATTAGATGGCAGGTGCCTGTTGTTGTCCATTAGAGAGCAAGTGTCTGTTGTTTTCCATTAGACAGCAGGTGTCTGTTGTCCATTAGAGCGCGTTGCCTGTTGTTGTCCATTAGAGAGAGCGGTTGCCTGTTGTTGTCCATTAGGGAGCGGTTGCCTGTTGTCCATTAGAGAGCGGTTGCCTGTTGTCCATTAGACAGCAGGTGCCTGTTGTTATCCATTAGATGGTAGGTGCCTGTTGTTTTCCATTAGATGGCAGGTGCCTGTCAGTGTCCATAGACAATAAACTCAAATTGTGGGAGTCTAGATTTTGAAACAATTCTGCCAGCTCTTTCACTGATTTCCTCAAACATACAGCTGTATTTTCTAATAATGCTCTAAACATCTAAACAAAGCGGTAACTGCATCACTGAAAGTGGTAAGATGACTGTTAAAGTTACAAGACAAGATACTTTAATGGAGTACAGCTTCTTTGCTCTATTATGAAGTCTTGTGATAGATCCAAATACCTTTGTCAGGCCTTGCCAGCCACTTCTCAACCTTCAACATGCCAATCTAACCCTGTCAGGCCTTGCCAGCTACTTCTCAACCTTCAACATGCCAATCTAACCCTGTCAGGCCTTGCCAGCCACTTCTCAACCTTCAACATGCCAATCTAACCCTGTCAGGCCTTGCCAGCCACTTCTCAACCTTCAACATGCCAATCTAACCCTGTCAGGCCTTGCCAGCCACTTCTCAACCTTCAACATGCCAATCTAACCCTGTCAGGCCTTGCCAGCCACTTCTCAACCCTCAACATGCCAACAAACCCTGTCAGGCCTTGCCAGCCACTTCTCAACCTTCAACATGCCAATAAACCCTGTGCCAGGTTTATCTGCTGAACATTTACCGGCCTTTTTCAACAATTTAAAAGACTCAAAGTTTTAACCAGTCCCCAATCTTAAAGATGGACGATGTACTGTTAAAGTATATTAGTCTACTTCATTCTTCATATTGAATAAGCATGTGAGGGTGTAGACAAAATATCCCGTGATGACTCGTCATGGATGGGGTACAGTGGGGTAGCCTAATGGTTAAAGCGTTGGCTCGTCACGCCGAAGACCCGGGTTTCAATTCCCTCATGGGTACAATGTGTGAAGCCCATTTCTGGTGTCCCCCGCCGTGATATTGCTGGAATATTGCTAAAAGCGGCGTAAAACCCCACACACTCGTCATGGATGGTGAGGACAAAATATCCTGTGATGACACTCAATGGATGGCTGAGTACCTCCTCCCACTGTCGCAAGGCATGGAGATTGTGCCTTGTATGCCTTGCTACACATCAGTACAGGGAATGGCAGAAGGGGAGCGGTCACCTCGGAAAGCTCCTAAGCTATGCCTCGGCTCGTCACGTGACCAGTGTAGCCAATATGGCGTCAGCGTAGTTTTTAAGGTTGAGCCCGGTTTATTTTCAACAGCTGATTACATACGCTGAGTGTTGTGACAACTGAAAACCTACATGTAGAAGATAAGTTACCTATTCTGTCACTTCATTTCAAGTCAAATAATTGTTATTAGTGTCAGTATAAGTACAGTAGCTTTGTAGTAAAGTTTCAAGTGGGCATGTTGTAGCTCACTGGCTTCAATTCTCAGTACACAGCGAAAGACTAAATTATATCGCTAAAAACTTCTTTCACATATTCGTTTAGTTTTTAGAAGGAACTATACCTTTAGCTGAAAGGTGTTTGCAAGTAATAGTGATAGTTTTAAAACTAAAAAAAATTGTTAGGTGTATTTGAGGTGTGTGAAAAATATGACATATCGCCGATCTGCCATTGAAATACTACAGGGCGTTGTTTGAGTGTTTCTAGTTAGTGTTCAAAAACATCTTTCACATACACCTTCAATTTTTATGAGGGGAATATACCATCAGGTGAAAGGTGTTTGCAAGTAATAGTGATAGTTTTATAATTTAAAAAAATTGTTAGTGTGTATTTGAGGTGTGTGAAAAATATGACATATGGCCGATCTGCCATTGAAATACTACAGGGCGTTGTTTGAGTGTTTCTAGTTATTGTTCTAAAACATCTTTCACATACACCTTCAATTTTTATGAGGGGAATATACCATCAGGTGAAAGGTGTTTGCAAGTAATAGTGATAGTTTTATAATTTAAAAAAAATTGTTAGTGTGTATTTGAGGTGTGTGAAAAATATGACATATCGCCATTGGTGCTTGTGATGCTTGAGTGTTATAGTTCTAAAACTTCTTTCTTTCTTGTTGATCTTAGTATTTGACAAAACTGGAAAGGTGTTTACAACGCTTTGTGATAGTTCTAAACTTTCTGTTCTTGAGGGGTCTGTGACAGTGTCAGTTAACATTCTGTCAATGCCCATGTCATTCCACACATGCAATAAGATATCTGAATTAGTTACTAATGTAAAAAAATGTCTCAAAGTAAATTTTTTTTTTAAAAAGGACAGCTGATGTTAACATATGTGTTCTACCGATAGTTTTGCGTTCTTTAACATGTTTGGGGAGGGATGGCCGTGGTGTATCATTTATTCTTTCATTCATTCACATATGTTCTTTTTCTTTTGTTCTTTTTCTTAATTTCTTTCATTCATTCACATAAAATTCTTGCTCTTAATTCATTCATTGTAAAATTCCGACTGATACAATACACTGGCTGAAGTACTGTTAAACGCAGCCGAAGTTGCGCTGGGACCGAACCAAGTCACTGTGTGCGTTGGAGCATGACGAGGCACACGTTAATTAGTACAAATGGTAAAGAAAGCAAGCGAGTGACCTATCCCTGTTGTAGAGTATCCCTGGTACAGGGAATGGCAGAAAAGGAGCGGTCGTGTCACAATAAGTCGCAATCTGACTTGTACATGTCACAACCACCGTCGTCGGAATTGCTTCTGTTACTGCTGCTGATCAGAATTATAGGTGGGATTGTTGTGTGCGCACGCACGCACACACGCACGCACACACACACACACCAGTGAAGATCCAGGTTGGTTACAATTGGCCTTCGGCAACGTAGCCAGGCTCGCTTACCTGGTTGACACATATCATCGCATCCCAATTGCGTAGATAGATGCTTACAAATAATGTTGATCACTGGATTGTCTGGTCCAGACTCGATTATTTACAAACCGCCGCCATATAGCTGGGATATTAGTGAGTGCGGCGTTAAACAACAAACAACATCCCGTCACCTCAGACGATACCCCACACATTTTATTTATTTGAATCCGTAAACTAAATCAACCCCACTTTGCCATTGCTAGACCCACTTTGCCAGTTTCGACTAGTACACATCAAATCTAGAAATGTACCTGGGTAAATAGGTCAAAACAAGAGGTACAAGAGTCAGGCACACAAAGTCAACCGCCTAATCCGCTCATCGCCGACTTTGTGTGCTGGCGATTAGGTGCCTGACTCTGAGGGTGTGGGTTTGAATTCCGGATGGGACTAAACCCAACAAAAGTACTAGAATCTGTACTTTACTAAGAAAATGTAATCCCATGAACATATGTTACATTTGAACACTTTCTAAATGGCATTGTGTATTCAATATACTCTTTATCGTAATTGATCTGTCTTGCTCTAACTCTCTATCCGGCCTCATCCAATTACAGTATTTTCTACATGTTATCAATCAAATGGAGCCTGCCTCTGGTCGGAACATATACTATGCGTGTATTCGTCTCATCACTTGGTTGTAGTCACATTTAGCTTGATAACGGTGTAAGAATTTACATCGAAACACCCCTGTATGTAGTAAACAATGAAGTTGTTTTCCATAAAATTGTATGCTTCGTTTGGGTACCAGTCAAATTGCTCCAGCTACAAAATGCCCTGGATATTTGGTCAAATTGCCCCAGGGTGAGGGTAGTCAAAATGCCCCAATTTATTTAAAATGATGAAATGTGTGCCACAAATGCATAGTTTTTTGTCAGCTTCGATATTATAATCTGCTCATAAAAACTATTAGGAAATAATATTTCTGATAAGTGTTCCATTAGTAAACTCATAAGAGAAAAACGAATATCTCTGTATAGACAACACTGTAAAACTGAAAGACTTATGTGACTTCCTACTTATTTCTATAGTGAGGGTTGTAAGATCCCAGTTGACAAATACTATGTATTTATGGGCAGTAGACATATTATACAAATATGTAATTTAATTCTTGTACTTCTTTACAAAACATTAATAACATGCACAATAACTGGTATTACAGTGTTGTCTAAACAGGGGTGCTCCTTTTGCTCAGAAATATTACTTCCTAATGACTTGTAAGAATATAATATGGAAAGCTACAAAAACTATGCTTTTATTGCATATATTTGACCATCTTAAACAAATTTGGGCATTTTGACTACACCTCTGGGGCAATTTGACCAAACCGTGGGCAATTTGACAAAAAAATCCGGGGCATTTTTGACCAAATTTGCTGGGGCTGGGTACCTACTGGTTATCTACTCACCAACAATCGTCGTTATGAAGCTAAAATCTCGTAAATAAAAAAGTCGTGAATACCCAGATCTAATGAAATAATCAGTCGACCAGTGTTTGGTATTTTGAGTTACGACAATATGAAACAAAAACAAATCCTGCTGTCCCCGCGTTTCTCAAAAAGGTTAACGGGACAAGCCGAAAGGAGCGAGCGGTGACGAAGGAAAGGGGAATTCCCTTCACCGTCCATTCGTGACCAACTCGTATTATTCCGGGACAAGCCGAGTATGGAGGTTACGAAAAGGGGCGAGTGATGACGAATGTTTTCGTGGTGGTGAATATGCGTGTCGAAGTTTACGGAAAGAAGCGAGTGGCGACGAAGAGTGCCGACTGTGGTTGCGAAAGGAACGTAATAACGAGAAGGGGAATCCCGGTGGGCTTGTCTGAGGGTCACAGATTGGAAAGGGCGTATTCTTCTTCTTGTTTGTTTCGCCGCTTGGTAAATTCCACTCAGTAAGTGAGGAGTGGTTTATTACTGTTGGTATGTCATGTTACTACTTGTCACTGATTCATGCCCACTGGATCGTCTGTGATCGACATAAGGACAGATGTCTGTATAAATTAACTATACTTGATACGAATGTTTTTTGAGATAAGAAGGCCGCCAGTGTTTTAACTAAAACAGAGAAAACGGTATGTTGTTTTACGTAATGTACGGAGTGATTGTCAGCTACCATCTGTTTTCGACTCTAAGTCTTACAGACTTCGGACCAGAACTTGCAGAAGAATTTGCAGTTCCCTCCCTCTCCACTTCTGAATACCTGTATATTATGTTCTTGACACCCACTTTCACTTGGTCCATTACTCCACCGTGAGTTTCACTGCCCCCAACCCAACCCCTACCCCAACCACCACCCATAGAAAATTGAAAACATTTATTTCCTGCTTTCATTTCAATTTCCTGTTTCAGGTATTTATGTTGGAACACCTACAAGCAACTTCTAAAACATCTACTCAACTACGGTCAATAAGCCGTAAATAATCATCATATTACTCGACGTATCATTTTCATCAACATACGTCTGCCTGTAGGGATCTGGTTATAAGTAATTGAGAAATTTTGAAAACTGAATCCAAGTTGAGAAATCATCACAATGGATGACACTGGGTATGACATCGGACCACAGGACGAGGAATATCAACATGGAATGGACTTGACAACAGATAATCCTCCTGATATAGGTTTCAGTCACGAGAACAACATTTCCTCGATGCCCCCCGAGTACACCCGGCACCAGGTGTACGGAACCAACCATGTGGTGTGGCGTAGGATGTTTGAGGAGCCCATTGACATGACACCCCCGGAGCAGAACCCCCTCAACAGAGCTGATGCTTGTCCACAACCTGTAGACATTGTAAACAATCCCTTGCACATGGAAAGTAATCGGTTAAAGACATTTGAAGGTAAATGGCCAGCACAGACTCCTGTCACCCCCAAGGCTTTGGCCCGGGATGGGTTTTACTATATAGGGCCTGGGGACAGAGTGAGGTGCGCCTTCTGTACGGGAGTGCTGAAGTTATGGGACAAGGGAGACGTTGTTTCGGAAGAGCACAAGAAACACTTCCCCCATTGTGTGGTACACAGGGTCCGAGCAGCTGGTGCCCAGGTAGCACCCGACAGCTCCCAGATAGCAAAGGCAGACAGCCTGGGCATTGTGATAAATCAACCCAAATATCCTCAATATGCACTTGAGTCCACACGCCTGAGATCATTTAATGTCTGGCCCAGTCAAATGAAACAGAAGCCCGCAGACTTGGCAAAGGCTGGACTGTTTTATTTGGGTAAGCTGGAAATACTTTCTTCAACTTCAGTGACTTTGCTATATTTGACTGTACATCAGTACATGGTGATGCTTTTCACATAAATCTTTTCTGACTGCTTGTCCAAATATGTTTTTCTGCCTGTGATTTACTGACAAAGTATAATCCCAAAAATAGCATGTGTTAGTGAGATTTCTACTTTTTATCATATGATCATAAAAGCATGATAATAAGCTATGCTCTGGACTCAAAATGAACATAATTCTGCTAGTCTGAGACGTTTTACATTCAGGAAGGACTAGTGACATTGAAGTGTGAAGTAAAGACACTTTACTCTCTTGTGTGTATTTCTTGCTGACAAGTGTAAATATAAATCAATTTCTAAAACCCTAGGTTCCGTTTACTCTAGTTTTTGTCATTATAATTGGGTTGGAACACAACCTAAATCATCAAAAAACACAGAAACTGATGTCTGTTTTTGCTATGTGTATAAATTCATTGCTTCACTGGTGGACTGAGTTGAATAGTAACACGGTGATGTTTATTCCTGGTTGTTCCTGCTGTTGGTGATCCTCCTCCACTATTACAGGGAAGGGGGACCGAGTGAAGTGTTTCACCTGCGGCCATGTCCTGAGCTCCTGGGAACCAACTGATAACCCTATGGCAGAACATGAAAGGTGGTTTCCCACGTGTCCCTTCGTCAGACTTGTCAAGGGAGACAATTCATCAGAGACACAGGTAAGAACTGTACCATTATCATATATTTCATTAAACACTTCCACAGGTATCTGAAGAATACTATTGTTAACTTCCTGTTGTATTCCATGACTGATTCATCCCTTTGTTGAAAAACTTGCTGGTTTCTGTGGTAAACTTGCAAGACACCATCCAGGTTAGAATTGGTCTTCAGTAACCCATGCTTTGTAGTAAGAGGCGACTAATGGGTGGTCACTCTCGCTGACTTGGTTGACACACGTCATCGTATCCCAATTGCGTAGCTCAATGTTTATGCTGTTGAACACCAGATTGTCTGGTCCAGACTTGATTATTTACAGACCGCCGCCATACAGCTGGAATATTGCTGAGTGCTGTGTTAGACAACAACCAAACCAAACCATTATACTTCTGGTTCAGAGCATCTCAACCACAGATTGGTTGGTTGGTTTGTTGTTTACCACCCCACTCATCAATATTCCACCTATGTGGTTGTTGTCTGTAAATATATATATATGGGTATTTGTATAGCGCTATAGTCCATCCAGCATGCATGCTCAAAGCGCTTGTAGAAGTGTCACACTCCTGTGCTGATATACTGTACAAACAGTAACAGAACTGGAAGAGATCACTCAGAGTAATATTTAGCAAAGAGGTGGGTCTGTGTCTGTGTCTGTTTGGGGGCATGGTGGGCGAACTGGCTAAAGTGCCAGGCTAGTGATCCAGCGAGCTTGAGGTGACGGGATCGAGCCCACCTGTGACCGGGTGTAAAAAAAACCTTGGAGTCAGCTTTGTGTGCAGACTCTTTCAGTGTTGTCACAATCCCTAGTGTACAGTACACAACCCTGTGCACTTAAAAGAACCCACGAATCCGTTGGTATATGACCAGATGGTGGCCACCTGAATATGTGCAAACACCTAGTTGCGGGTACAGCAACGTGTGCAGTAAAACTTAGACAAAGTGCTGTGGCAATGTGTCCCAGTCCACCCAGCTGTGAATGGGTACGTCGTAAGGATGGGAATGCCACAATAACTCGGTACGCCTAGTGCCTGCAAGAGTTGTATGCTCCCCAGGGAGTTGAGATTGACAATACGATGTGCCGTTCAGATTGACATCCAGTGAACGCAGGAAAAACAAAGCGCCTTTGAGCAGCTGAGCTGAGCTGGATATCGGCGCTATACAAATGTTAGAGAGTGTGTGTGTTTGTGTGTGTGTGCGTGCGTGCGTGTCTGTGTGTAAATAATCTCAACCACAGGTAGTTGATCAACATATCAAATAAACATTCTACGATGAATTTAGGAAATGCGCAATTCTGTTTGGTTAGGCAAAGGCATGAAATATCAGACCTTGTTTCAGTTTGTTGATGTAAGTAGAGCTACCATGTTCCATAGTGAGTTAGAAATCCTAGGTTGTTTGTTTATGTCTTCAGAATGGCACAACTGTAGCTGATACAGGTAATTAGTTTTCTTTGTTATTTAAGCATTGAAACGTTTATGTTTCCTTTCTCAAGTCACAAATCAGTGGTGATAGTGGACAAACATTTACAAGTGAATTATGATTGTTGTGCATTTATTAACTTGTAGGGATTTATATAGGTGTCCAAGCTAAATGCCTTTGGCAAGCAATTTAGAAAACATGTCATGAGATTGTTCAAATTATTTTGTCCGTGACATACAATTTTGTATTAACTTGTAATTCCTATCTTGGAATATTAAAGATTAGCTGCATATTTGAACATGATAAGGGCAGGTCTAGATGTGCCGCTTGTTTGCCTGAAATCCTGTGAACTGAAGATGTTGTCATTGTGTAAGAGAGGAGGATCTTTTCCATTGCCTGTTCGATCAGTGCTCAGTAGTGTTGGGAATTGGTTTAAATCTCATAATTGATGATTGGTTCATTACAACCGATCTATTATTGAAAATAATTGGTTAGCGCCATTTATCAAATCTCCCTGGCTGTGTTTGTTAATGCACAAAATATCTAGAAAAAGCATGTAGTTATGGTTGTTTTTGCAAATTGCACAAAATGCATTTGCAAATTTCACATCTTTAAAGGTTGACTAGTATGTTAGGAACATAAATATACTGGAGTCTTTAAGAAACGTTCAATCATGACTTGGAACGAGCTGGTAGTGCTTATGAAATGTAACAGACTAAACAAACCTTGTGAAAAATATTGTTAATGCAAATAAGTGTTCCAAAATTGTTTGTGTTCGAGTATGAGAAAACATGATCGAATGCTTGGTCGTTTAGTCATTGAGACCAATCTTCGATTATTTAAAATAATCTGACCACCACTAGTGCTCAGATGGAACTAGAACTCATTCCCTACTTTATCATGCTTCAGATCAACTTGCAAAGAATGCCTCAGTCCAGGCCTTGATCGACAATGGCTGCAAGCTGGAGGACATCAGTAAAGCCATTGAGGATCTGCATATGGATGGAGGTAGATTGTCCTGGGCCCACTTGCACAAAGCGATCTTAGGGCTACAATGATTGTAACTCCCATTCCCCAACATAGGCTTAAGATAGTTGTAGCGCTAAGATCGCTTTGTGCAAGTGGGCCCAGCAAAGCGCTGCGGTGAATTGTCGTGTTCCAGTGTAATCAGCAGTAGTCAATACAGATGATGGCTACCTGTGACCAAACAAACAAGTGATTGGCAGTAAGAGCAATGTCCCACATCTAACAAACCTTGACTTGATGTTAGGTGTTTATGAAGGTCGCCTTTGCCATTGGCATTTCGGGAGACCTAGCAAGTCTGACCACCCAGTCTCTATGTAGTGGCTGATGCCGACCAGAACTGTCGGCTGAGATGTACTCTACCTGAGAATGTGGAGACTACCATTCAGACATGTTCTGTTACCGCTGAGGATGCAGGAGATGAAGTGGATCGGGTGGACATACTGCTTACCTGGTTGACACGCAGCACTGTTTTGGAATTAATCTATGATCACAGTCTCTTGACCGTTCTGTAGTAGACTGTTTTGGGCTGCAACCCAGACAACATGGATTGTCAAAGCCTGCCATTACTGCTCTGTATAAGGACATTCCAAACAAACTTGTGGTTTGTCAAGGAAGACAAGTTGGGTGACTGGTTACCTCATCTCTGCATACAATGAATGTCCTAACTCAGAAAAACTGAGCAGTCTGTACGTTTATACTGAATTCATTTAACTCCACAGATGATTCAATACCATCAGCTGTAGCCATATTGGAAAAGATAGAGGAGAGGTCCCAGGCACAGAACGGGATGAGGATTCAAAATGGACACTCACAAAGTAATGATGGTAAGGCTTTCTGTAGATGTGGGCAAGCTGAAACAATAGGTTATTACATGCTCATTTCGGTCAAATTTATTTAGTTTTTAAAAAAAAAGAATTTCTGGGGTGAGTAGCCTTGATGGGGGTAGCCTGGAGGGGTGTTAGCCAGAGTAATGCATGTACTTATTGGTTCATAACTTATTGGCACATATGCTAATCTTTCACTGGCTTAAGGTAGTGAAGATGATGTCATTGGTTTTGTCTTCAGATGTGCAAGTGCAATCATTGCTGAATGAGAATCGGGAGCTGAAGGAACAACGTCTGTGCAAGGTATGTCTGGAAAATGAGATCAGCGTCATCTTCCTGCCCTGTGGCCACCTCGTCTGCTGCAGCCATTGTGCTACGTCGCTGTCTAACTGCCCCATCTGTCGCGTCAAGATCAATGGGTCTGCCAAAGCTTATTGGCCATGATAGCATGGTCCTCCAACCAGTGATGACCACCAGCCCAGGAGGTCCTGTATGTGGGTGATCATTATTACACTATTAACATAGTATATGATGTGTGCAGCCAGCAACACGTCTGTCAGATTGTCAGAGGTGTCGGGGGACCGCCAGGTGTGCTGCTGCACTACAATATTTGAATCCTGGGACCTGCATGTTCAACTGTTAAGTAGAGGATCTGTACATCTGACCATTCTGAGTGTGTCTAAGTTTGCTCTATGTATGTCATTACACTTTAGTTCATGCATGATTAACGTCTCACACCTCAACACTGGTGCTCCACACAGTGGACAACCCAAGCTCTGCACTGTAACTCTTTCTAGAGGCAAACTGAAGAGAAAACTCCTGTCTTCTTTTTGATTATACAGTAGAACACGGATATAACGAACTCCAAGGGACCAAGAAATTTAGTTCGCTATATCCGTTGTTCGTTATTCACATTTGACGGCCATCTTGGATTGTAGAGATGTAGAGACATGTATATGCTGAGGCTACAAATCTTTATTCTTGTACATGTACATTGGCATAACATTAAAATTCTGAATTTATCATTCACAGACATTAGCTAGAACATGTTTAACAATCACAACAATTCAACAATACATGTATATAACTTAATTACATTTAACAAAGTCCACAATTTTGCTCTGCACACCACGTCTTGCAGACTTCATTTTGTCAACACAAGTTTGTCTTAGATTTTACACCTGAATCTACAGCCTGAATTATCTGAAGCTTGGTGTCAGAAGTGATAGCTTTACATTTGCCTGCCATAGTGACGAGAGTGAACGAAGACCTGTATACCAGTCAAGCTTTTAAACACGACATGTTTGTTTTGTTAATTAATTAATGACCATCAAACATTGTTGATTCGCCGCCGCCAACAAGGTTGATGTATACCGTTAAGTGGCTGAGCTGACACTGAGTGAGTTCGCTAATCACGTCGTTAATTGGGTCTTGGGGGTAGTAAATCAGTTCACTATAGCCGTTAATTCGCTACTCACGAGTTCGTTATTCGCGTATAATTTTAATGATATCATAAAGGACTATTGACGGGACTTTTAAATTTGTTCGCTATATCCGTTTGTACGCTATATCCGTGTTCGCTATATCCATGTTCTACTGTAACTTAATTTTCATCAAGATAAGAGAGCTAGTAATACCCCTCTTAAGCCTGTAGTGCTGTATGGCATGCACCTCCCTGTTGTGGTTGTAGTACCCTCGTGTATACAGTTATACAAAACAATGAGTGCACTGATAGGCTTACAGCTAGGCTGTCGGTCAGTGATTGTTTGCAAACTGTGCTCTAGAATGGTCGGTGTTGTTTATAGACCCATATACTGTAGTGTTTCATTACAAACTCTGTGAAAATGGCTGTGATTTTGTGTCTTAACTTGTTAGCCTGTTAACTTTATATGAATATGTATATGTATGCCTTTTAAGTTCAGTTATCTAAACTTGTGATTTTATATACAGTTATATGTAATTGTTAAATGTCTTTGTAGAGGTGAGTTTGTGTGACAGTTTTAGTTAGAACACTGAGAGAGCTCTAATTATGAGGATATAATAATGTTATAAATAACAAGCCATTACAAACCAGTCAATGTTATCAACAGGGATGGCAATTTTCCGCTGATCCGCGGATTTCCGCTGATCTTATTTCAAATTGTTCAATTGTGAATCGTCTAAATCCATTGAGAAACCCTCAACTCGATGACACAATATTACATTTTCAGCTGAAAATAGATTTTCCTGTTGCCATCCCTGTATCAATGACAAGCCATTACAAACCAGTCATGTTAAACTCCTGGTTCGTCTTCTTGCTGGATGAATTGTTTCTGACAGTTTGTCTGCGAACTGTTACCTACACCAGAGGTTGCTGACAGGGCTGGAGTTTTGCTGGTTAGATTCAAATCAATCTAACATCGCGTATGAAGCTGCAGCATTGCACAACATTCAGTAGAGAATGTCTGGGCTGTGTATCTGCAACATACAACAGCCCTAGAGCATCGTCTGGCCAGGTATTGGACACAATGATGATGACTCAAGGCAAGAAAGCTATAATGTTTATATTCTGCCTGACCACCAACAGTGATTTAATGGTAACCTTGGTAACTTGGTTACCAGTGACGGTAAATCATTATTTGCAATATTTACATGGTGCTGCCCTATAACAACAAACAGATGAAAACAAGTTATGATCCTTGCTGACTCTGAAGCATACCCTGAGTGTCTGATGTAGAAGAAGTGACCGCATATACCTGTGACCAGGTGGACCAAACACAGGCTGTCTTCCATGGCCTGATACAACACACACAGGATACAACTTTACCAAGATCTATATGTTCATATACATGTATAAATATATATGGACGGATTATATGTTTCGGACATGACTTGTGTTTGGATTTTTGCTTACCTCTCGCTATAGCCAGTTGCCTTACACTGATATTGTGAAATGCTCAGAAGATGGCTAGTGTCTTTAATTACTTAGTGACATGTGAGTGAGTGAGTGAGAGAGAGAGAGAGAGAGAGAGAGAGAGAGAGAGAGAGAGAGACTACTTATCACATATCACACACATTATATATTTGTTTCATGTCATATATTTGTTTCATGTATGTTTATTTCAAATGTTGTTTGTTTTTGTTTTGTTCATTTTGTCTAGAACAGATATTTCGGTACATGATTATATTGCTTATACACATGACATATACCTTTGATCATATTACCCATTATCCTAGTTTTCTTTCTCTGGTTTCTTTCACATTGTCTTCCATTGTCCCAGTCATACCCCGCTTGTTCAGTATATTGCATTTCACCACACTGTGGTATGAACCAAAACAAACATATTGTAACAAATAACCTTCTTAAACACACTGTATGGTGGATGGGAGTAGATATTGTACAATTTCGTGAGGGAATAATAGTCTTATTTGATTCCATATTATGTAGTGCTGGAAGGGGTAAAACTGATTCCAGTGTACTCTCTATCAATATTGTTCCAAATGTTTGGAGTCAGAGGTATTCAGAAGGCATCATTATACTTGCTTTGTTTTGGTGATATACATCCCTATGCTGGTGGTATCAGTAAGGTAACATGTTATATTTGGGATTACACTTTCTCAGTAGAATACAGTTTCTGTTCCCATCTGGGATTCAAACCCACACTCTCAGAGTATCTTAGTATCATCCACAAATGTTTGCAGATATAGAGAAAATTGATTTTTGTTTATGCAGAACTTAACGAAATGTTGTATTATGAAACATGGATATAGTCAGATATTTCTGACAAGTAGTTCTTATGTCTGCCTTTATATCTTCCAGTTCATAAGGATGCACAGTCATAAATGCTGGGGTCGCCATATATATATAAATGATCTAAATCTATTGTTTCCTTAAAGGTCACATGCAACGTAAAACACAACTTTGCAGATTCTGATACCTTTCGGTATGGACTTACCGAAACAAATCATCAAAAATGCAAATTCAACTTATAAAGTTGAAAAATAACGCGATGACAAAAAACGCGCGAAATCGTAGTTCAAACGATTCACTAATTTTCCCCCAGCGTTCGGGGGGAATTCAAGTGGTTCCAACAGCTGGGCTGCGCTCATAGCACGTGCGCAGTGAAATAGGTTCGCGCAACTTGGAAGTGGGTTGTCCGGTGAATACGCTGTGAAGGCTTTGGTGTGAGCTATTTTTCTAATGTTTTGTTGATATTTCACAGGCGCGAGCTTTTTATATGTTATGACAGTAGATTACCGATTTAACTGTTTATATAATTTCATTTGTCTGTTTCACCACACGTTCTTCTTACCGAGTCACTTTCTCAGTTCGATACTTAAAGCAATGTCATTATTTAGCGTTGACAGAATTTCTAACTGTTATATAGATATGTCGTTGTCACATACAAAACTCAATGTCTTGTTTTATTGACACCTGTGTGTCTGCCTGCCTGTCTGCTAATGACAATATCCAATACACAACTGCGATCACTGACCACATGCAATTTGAACTTAACACCAATCAGGCTATACACCATAAACAAAATGCATTGATTTATGGCCCGAGTTCGGTCTCTGTCACATTATGCAACTACACAGACAGGCAGGTGTGATACTTGAACACATGACATGTTATGATGTCTGTTGATTGCAAAATGTTATACACAAAAAAATCAGCATGTATTTACAAAACCCAACATCTCTATATATACACACACAATGAGCCGTGAGGGCATCTGCAAATGAACCAGCCGTTACACTTGAGTGCACACCCACCCGCTCTAACTGGGTTCGGTATCCCGGCTGCTTCGTTTCTTGGGAAGTAAACCCAAGTACACAATATTGCACTTTTGATTTGCGATTGTACGCTTATAATTTTGTTTATATGGGTTTTTTTGGTGTTTTTTTAGGATGATTCAATCTTTATTTCGTACTGAAGAGGCCACAGGCCTTTAGTACATATACATATATAATGGGGAATTACATAAATAAATATATTTACATTACAGTGATAAAACTTTTGTTCTATACAACATTGCAATGTGGATGAACATGGCAAGATTTTGTAATATATTTTGATTTTTACTGCTTATAAGGGTAGAGAATTTTATGATGCTTGGGTGGATATAGTAATTTCTTTTAATGTATTTACATCGTATTGAATTATATGATGGACAGATGAGGAGAAAGTGATATTCATCTTCAATTTCATTTAAACGACATAACCATAACCAGCAATGTATATTATATGTCATGAATAAGTGATAATTGTGTTTTAATAATGTTTGATTTTTTGGTTGCATGTGACCTTTAAGATTACATGATATAGCAACCCAAAACATGCCATGCAGATATTTCTAATTCTAAAGGTAACACTTATGGCATAGTTAAAACTGAAAATATATTCAAAATATTTTCAAATGCTCTTCACATCATCGCATGATCGTCGAGAAGGGTAGATATTATAATATTCCCCGAGAATTGAGGATGACTGCCACATTTTTCCCTTGCTACGCAGACTTGAGGTCTATACATCTGCTTCAATATAACCATTCATATCTTAACGCTGTAAAGTTAGTTTGTTTATGAATACTTCTTATACAAGTCATATTCTTTAACTTCGTTTGTATATCCTCCATGCTTCTGTAGCAATGTGAAAAGGAATCTCAATATTTGAAATATATGATCAATGTCGAAACAGTCCCTCCATGGATTTCAATGTACTTTTTAGTCCCTTAAGATCACTCCTCTGATGAGACCTCGTCTATGTCAGTGACAAATGTGATGTGAATTAGTTTCACCTGCCCCGATAGTAATGCACTTTAACTGTTTGAGGTAAACGCAAAATGCTAAGGACAGAATTGCACTAATCACCTGAAAGTAATTATAGTATGTTGAGAGCTGCGACCCTTGAAACAAAACCCTTTACGGGTTTAACCTCTGTCGTAGTGAAATATTTGTACTGA